TGTACATATTTGTGTGGAAATGGTTCAGTCTTTATAAAGTAAGCCTCTGATACGAACAGTTATCAGATGGTATGAATGTTTAAAAGTAACTCGGTTTGCCAAATTCTTGTAGTGACAGTTACATGTAATTAATAACGTCCACGATAATGCATATCACGGATAGTTTTAATACAGAACAAAAGTGTAAATATTTAAACTATGTTTGTAAGTAAGAAGTGCGTGAGAGCAAGTCTCACATCAAAAGTAGTAATTAACAATGTGTTGCCACTTGTAGCTAACAAACAAAATTTCGAATTGAACAATCCAAACAAGACCCTAAGGGAGGGTACAGGTTGGCAACTAAATTGGCAGACGATAATTTTAACTTCAACTCTGAATATTTGTGACAAATCTGTTCAATTATTTATACCACATTGTCTGTGAGACACATTGTTTATTTAGCCATGACAAAGTATCACACTTTTTGACGTGTTGGTATTTACGGAAACTGTTAAATATCCTTTTGAACCTGGCTTACCTTGTGTTTTCATCGTGATTTTAAAGAGTAAAAGCCAAAAAAGTATGTTCTTACAGTTTTCATCCATTTTTTTGATATTTATACTCTCGCAAAAATGAGTTCGCGTCAAACGTCATCGCTACATTTTTTGAAACTACATTCTCGCAATAGGTTGTTGCCCAGATGACAGTAGAAAAAATTATTCATTTTTAGGTTATAAACAAAAGCCTAATTAAACGTCTGAACCCAAGAATTGAGTGTAATTCAAATTTTGTAAGTTCCGGATTCGAACATATTCCTATAGGTTATATATGGTCATTGTGCATGTTATGTTGGTTGGTGTAGCTAATCCAGCTTTATAATCATGGATTCCATCGATCTGGAACCCAAAATAAAGACGACTGGAAAAATTTCTGCATTGTGAGCAGAAATAGCTGGCTTTCCTATGGCCTCCTGTTTAATGTCACAATTACAGACGGCACAGTGTGCGGTGTACTCATCCTTCAAGCTTTGTTTAACTTGGAATTGTTTTCCGTACTCATCACAAAAAACGTTCTTACGTTTGCTAATTTTTAACCACAAAACACAAGGATCGCCACACTAACAATGGTTCATGCCTATCTGTGCCTTGCTTCTTTGTGTTCCAAATAAGATTGTGTTGCTTTTATGATGCCACGATAAAGTTTTAGCGATAAGACAAACAACACAAAGTTTCCTTTATGAAATCCAAATGAGACAAAATAAGTACAGGCAAGCCAAAAATAAGGATGCAAGCCCAAAATAGGCCAAATATAAGGACATATCTTAGAAATAAGGACGGTATGGAATTCCTGTTTATAATAGAATTTATCCACTTCTGTTGGAAATAGCGTTTGTTATTTTATCCTAATTAACCAGGGTGTAAAATCGAATAGATGCCTGTATGAAGGTTTAAATAATAGAGTAGGAAAGTAAAACTGACAACCTATTTACTGGTGCATTGATGTATGTTTTATTCATTCCTACACAACAACACGGTATAAACTGATGCTCGTCAAATGAACACTTATGATAAACTGTGACCGACCTGTGGTATAGTTTGTTCGTAACTGCTTCTGTTTTGATTTTTTGGATAAGATAATACCTTCTACTTTGATGTCCATTTGACAATGACACCACTTTGATTGTCATTATGGTGTCCTTATTTCAGGTGATAACAACGACAAAATCTCTCTCGAAAGTTATTAAAAATTCAAGGGAATTTCCACATCGTGAATCTATTTAGATGGCGGTCCTTGAAATTGTGCTGAAAAAAGACAGACCCGGACACGGATCTGAAAATTGACAGGAAGTTTCTCGATAACGGGCACGATATGACAACAATGGATAAATAGATAAAGTGTTTGATAAACCCCAAAAAGCTTTTATGACGAGTTTTACTCTGCAGTGATTGTATCTCGGTTATAACATATTGACTTTACAGATTTTTCATTTCAATAGGAAGATAGATTGTGTTTTTTCAAGTCATATTGACCACGACACGTGATGTTTACGTTCAGTTTTTACATTACGTCATTGATCTGTTCATTAGATATCTTAAAATGAGTGAAAATACCTGAAATATTACATTTGGAATTACAAGCGATGTAAACATTGAGAAAAAAATTTTGACGAAAAATATGTGAATAATTTATCAAGTCATTTAAAAGGAATCTGCTTTGCTTGTTTCCCATGTTTCCTTATTTAGTAACCTGTTTTTTTTTTTCAAAATTAGAAATGAAACGTAAAATGTTACAGATCGCATGAATGACATCATATAACAGACTAAAAAATATATTGATCATTTTTTGGAATTTTGGGCGTGTTTAACCAAATTTATCCTATGAATCATGACTTAATCTGGATATTTCCCAGAACTTTCAGAAAAAAGCTGACATTCCTATTTTGCCAGAAAATGATCATACTTTATATATATGTTGTAATAGTAAGAGGTAGATCATTGAGTAATTAAAAAAGTGCTATTGACGTATTCCCTTTCCTCACACTGTTGAAAGGGAAATGAGATTGCCTAACAACATTTGTAGGTTATCTAGTCAGGGGTGCACAACTCAAATAAGGATACGTGGGAAAGTTTTGAAAATAATCTCGTCGCGTGGTACTTTCAAAAAATTATTTATATTGTAACAAACTTCCGTACAACACATAACAACAAACTTCAATCAAACACATATTAACAAAAAACTATTCATTTAAACAATTTAATGTCCTGAAGACGTTTTTGACGTCGTTTTAAAGTTAATCCAATATAAACTTGAGTTGTTAGGATTTATTACAAATACAAGAATTACCTTCTTCCAGGGGTTAGCGTTTCACGTTCGATCATATGCCGTGCCACATTTGGCATGCGTGCCCCGTGTTATGCACCTCTGATCTAGTGGTTAATATGGTGAGGTAAATAGTAATATTTTTAGGAATGTGTGCATCAACAGGCTCTTCTGTCATTTAATAATTGTTTTAAGAAGTTTATGTTATCATGATATATAATTATACCCGTACTTTATTTAAAAAAACAGGAAAAATTTATTGTTTTTGACCACGATGAACTGATTCACAAATTTTCCACTAAGAAAGATCTTGAAAAATTTACTTATTCGTATGCTCAAATATATGTACACAAAGCCAAAAATACTTTTTTTACGAACGATTTCATCAAAATTATATCCCGAACGAAGCTAGAACTGCGGAATAGTAACTTACCAGTATCTGTATTAACGTACCGGTACCCGGATTGCCCTAACTTTCTCAGGACTTGTGACGATGATGATTAATGCATCCAGTTTCAACGTGACTTGAAATACCAAATGATTCGAGTCACAACTGTATTATCGAATATTTTAAAGTAGCGGTGCCGTAGTATACAGTACCTTCTAAAATAAAAGGCCGGACACGGAACCGCTACAAGTAATTTTTAATTTTGATGACGTAACCCCACACAACTTTGAAGTGAAAAACAAATCCCATAAGATCCACAGATATTTTTAAAATACAAAACAGTAATAGCCGTCTAGCAACAACAACAATCTATCTTTCAACACTGAAAATTGCTCCAATGCTCAATTGGTCCAGTAGTTAGAGAGAAAGGCGATTTTTGCATAACAACAACAATAACAACAAATTGGAAAAGAGGAATAGCAACTACAACAGCAAAATACTAACAAAACGATCCATAGGTCCACTTCGAATAACGAGAGACCAATACTGAAATATATGGGCACGAAGATTTTGCACCGGTACCTACAGGGTCTTTGATTAATACCAAGTTTACTGGAAAGGTCGGCGGAAAGTGACCAAATAGTGTTTTCATGCTTCATAAAATGTATTAAAACAAAATAGAAAAACTTTGAGGATTTGAGAAACAGAATAATATTAATAGCCTAAAGCAGTGGTTCTCAAACTTTTTTAGTCCCAGAGCCGCATTTCAAACCTCAAAGGTATGAAGAGCCGCACACAAACAACCCAAGGTAAAATAGCAACAAACCTTAAGCGCGTAATTAAAATACTAAGTCATCGTAACAACAACAACGTAACAACTAGGGCTGGGCAAAATTTTCGAATAATAAAATATTCGAATGGCATTTTACGATTCGAATATCCGGTACCACGTGACCTGCACCGCTCTGCTTGGACACCGAACTCGAGCGTCTCCAACTCAATCGTGAATTGTGCGAGATTTCCCAACGGCGCTCGCTATCAGAAAAAAAAAAACTTGAAAAGAATATGCTTATTTTTGCACTTAACGTATCCTTTCAATTCATCATTTTGCAAAAAAAAACGTACCGACCGTTCCGTAAATTTAGAAACGTCAAACCAGATTAGGTATTTAAAATAAAGCTCCCAGATTTAAACTTGGCATGCTTGGTGACATGTCATTAGCCATTTCCTGCATTACCGAACATAAAGTTGCTTGAAATTATATATTAAAATGACTTTTCGGCGTTTCATTGTGAAAAGGGCGATTTTAGGTCGTTAAAACACTCTAGTTATGTAAATAGCATGGATTTAAAAATGACCAAAGGTTTTTCCAAAATCTGGTATGAGTTACTTGCATGGAAAACACTCATTAAGTTGTGACCAGATAAGAAATGTCATGTCCCACTCCCTTTAAAGCACTTTGTATTAGCTCTTTAGTGATCCTTTGCCAAGTAATGTCTCGAATATGTAAACATTTTACTCGAACCTGCATGGCCGTTGAGCCAAGAGTAGAACGTAAAATCAATCGTGAATTTCGTTGTAACAATGCACACTGACTCGTTCACGAATTGTTGCGTCTATTATCATCGAAAATGATTACAATTGTTAAATTTTGAAGCATTTGGGCAGTAATAATTAAGCCTGAAGGGATGACATAATCAAATTCATTAAGTGAAGTGCTGAATTTGCAAATTCCGTAAAGAAAAATGGGCATTACTCAGTACGTATTCTAGCTATAATAACCATCGGGGTTTTGTTTTGTTGAAAAAAAAAACGTTAGAATGCTAGAAATGCCTTTATTGCCAATTTATTTAATCGCTATTTTAAATCAACATTCAGGATTCACGCAATCGTAATTTTGCTAGGTTTATCTATCTAATACTAAAATAACACGGACACCATAGAAAAGCATGAGAAACTTAAATATTATTATAATAAATCTGCATCTCGGTTACCGTTCACTTTAAACATGCACGGTTAATTTACAAGCGGTGATACGGAAGATCGAATCCAAGGAAGAGGATAACCTTAGAATAGAATCAATTTGGTTTTGAAATTAGTCCTTAAATGTATTCAACAGGTGTCGCTGATGTGAACGCAAGGGTATACTAGAAATATGAAATTTCGATATTCGGCGACCGCTTATTCTTGCAAAAACGAGAAAGGGCGGAAATATAAAATACCAACTTTAGGATATCGCCGCCAAAACGATCGCGGTGACAAAGACAATCAGCATTATGATAAAATTAACCATTAAAAAACGCTTTATTGCCGACTTTTTAATGTTTCTATTAATTTCCAAATGGAGTATCGACCCCCGACGTTCTGGATCCCTGTTATGTATAAAAAAACATTGAAATTATCCGATTCGAAAAAAGATTCAATTTTGCCCACCCTACCCTAACAGCTTTTTAATTAGGCTTTGATTTCTAATAAGTTTGTCAAAGCGGGTCGTAATCGTTGAGGATGCAAGCTGCAGTAGCTGCTTGAGATGATCGCCAGATTTTCGGGACTATTTTCGATTACTGGAACAAAATTAAAATGCTATAGAAATTAAAATAATCATCGAGTTATTTGATTTATACATAATGAGATCTGGAAGATCTGGAAATGCGACAAAAACTGAAAATCCACGAAAGCAAGCCAATGATTACAGCCATGTCTAAAATCTTTCCAAGTGAAAAGTGTCCGATTGGCCGCGAAAACGCTCACTGTTGCGTCACTATTGCATCGTATAGGTTAGTCAACGCTACGCAAATAAACACGGGGGAATCCATTCGACTAACTAATAGACTTCAGCATTTTAATTTCGAGTCAATGATTAGTTTTCAATGAAAAATTTTCTTTGAAAATAATTAATTTTTAAAACATTAACGGGAGCCGCAGGAAAGGTGGTTGAGAGCCGCATGCGGCTCCCTAGTTTGAGAATCACTGGCCTAAAGCCTTCCACCGAGTTCATCCATCTTCAACAACTGAAAATTCAAAATTGATTGAAAGCGATGTTTTCTAACAACTACAATTTAGCAAAACAATTCATATGTGCATTTGGTGTCCAAAAATATTGTGAATACTATACAGAACTAAAGCAATGGCGCTATCGCGATGGATAGAAGAAGAGGGAATGCATGACTTAAGCTTGCCACCTAGAGGTATAACAAGCTGATAACGTCGAAACAAAACATATCGAAAATATTTTTTATGCAACGTTGCAATTAAAAGAAATGAATTACAAATACACAGAATATTAGAATAAAATTATCCTATCATATGAATTAAGAAAATGGAATAAAATAAACCTCATTCCACTGCGAAGCATTAGTCTTTCAATAAACTAACCCGGCTTCAAAGATGTTCTGGCCATTCTTTGACTTTTTCTTTTCTTTGTGATTGTTCGTAAAATATGTGAAGACCTCGATGACTTTAGAATGTTTTAATTGGCAAAGAAAATTTTATTATGAGCCATCTCAAATCTCAAAGCATAACATATAACAAGTGATAGGGGCAAAATAAAATAAAAATTGTCAGTGCAGAATTGGTTGTTAGGAAAAAGGAAATTACTAATCTGTTTATTTTAAATTAAAAACGATTGAAAATTTCTTCCTTTACAAATCAATGAATCAACAAAGCACGCGATACAGTTGTTATTTCATTGTTCTTGTATTGTTCCGTTGTTTTTGATTCTGTTGTATCGAAACACGCCTACAATTTTCATAGCATTTGAATTATCGGATATTATTTCTTTTAGCAATGAGAAACTGCCCTTTTCACAGTTAGGAATTGTCATACAGTGGTCAAATGAGTTTATTATGAAAAATACTGATAAAATATCATTCGAATTCGATCGATTCAAATCAAACGAACACGGAGCAATGCTTATATAGGTACCGGTATATATACAACACATAATTTCTATGAATTCCTGGGCATCCGGAAATCAATCGAATCAAAAGCAACAGGGACTTTCACCTTTGAACTTAATATAATTATAAACGGGTAGGGTAGATTCAGGTTATCACCTGTTTTAAAATATTTCTGGCCATAATTACATTACAATTTGAAACAGATCTACGATTTCGCGCGCTTTTGTCAAAAATTCAAAACGTCACTATGGCACGATCTCTTGACAATTGCGGGCAATTACGGGGTCGGTCGATGGGAGGTTACACATATCACATCATCGAGTACCATTGTATCTACACATTTCGTCTTTCGAGCCAGGTTATCTGTTTTCCCGAGTAAACAAAGCGCGGCAAAATAATATGGAACAGAACAGAGGTCTTTGTGTGCACAACAATAGCCAATTATTGACTTGCCCGTTAAGGGTCGCACTTGTGTACCAGTGGAGTATGTGCCTACTACTTAGTCATGCTGAAGTCAATCAGAGGGTTAACCCAGAATAACAAAAGATTACACGGTATGATGAATCTGAATTTGTAATTTCTGGGAATAAAACATTTTTTTATTCGTCGCAACACAACGAAAAGCCTCTTGAAATGGATTATTATCGTCAGTACAGCTCAGAATCCTGATTATACCGAACGTTGATAGTGCGTTGTCAGGGACGAATGAACGTGAGAATATCACAGTTTAGCTAGTCATTTAAATCTTATACTGAATATACAGAGAAAGCTTCATCAATTTTTGTTCTAAAAAATTCAGAATTATTTGCCCTGACAATTGGAGGTATATTTTTATAATTATGTTTTATTAATTATTGCTGTTAGGTACCGTACTTAGCCAACATCATGAAATTGAGTAAATATTTCTGCAAAGCGTAATATTTTAATTGACCTAAACAAATTTTGACAACTCTGATCCATTAAGTTTCCAAAGAAAAAAAAGTTGATGAGAAATATGTTATGGTTTCATACAATAATGTGAATCTGTTGAATTTGTAAGATTGTTGTCGATTTTGTAGAATATTTATAAAATATCATGCGACGTAATTTGGACTAAATCTTATGACTGTATTCAAGTATTTCACAATAAATTAAATTATTTGTATGGCGCAGTCGCAGTTTAACACCAGGAACAGATGGGCAATAATTTCCACTAATATTTAACAGATGTAGACTGGATTTTTCTACAACTTTAAGAGAATGAAGACAATATAAAATGTTGCATATAGTGTTCGGAAAATTAAATGTATTGTGGATAAGGATTGTGGATTAATGGAATGTGATAAGAACGATGTAATAAAGAATAATGGCCTCTTACATGTACGTAGAACGCACCCAAAGTACAGACACCTCAATAAACTTTTATATTTGATTTATTATAAAGCATGCCGACCGACTCAATAAAAGTCATTGGCATCTTATTTATCCTTGTGAATTTCTCACGTTAATCATTCACCCTGTCAAATATTCCACCACAGAACAAATGGATCTTTTGTCATAGTTTCCCTAAAATACGAGTAAGTAAATTTACCCGAAAGACTGAAGCAATTTTAAAACATCGTGTGGGCTTTTTCTGAGGTCGATTTCTGAGTAGTATCAAGACTCAAAAGACACAGTTTGATTGTGTGTTGTTTGTCAATAACAATGCGAAACAATGTTCGTTGGCGATCTGTGGCTCAAGATACGATCATGTATATTCATATATTGAAGGAGATTTATCAGAAATGCGTTATATCATCAACGTTCGAGTAGATAAAAGCTTCAAAATTACTTCTGTATTTACTCACGTCAGTTTATTGAAGTTTTTACTGCGAGGAAATAGAAAACTTTTAGACTTGTTAGGTTTGGTTACGGCGGCAGTACATGTACTAAATTGAAACTTTATTTTATCGCCCAGTTTGTGAGTGTTGTTACAGCAACCAGTCTGGAGCAGATTGTGTATATATGTATATATATGGTTCTGCAGATTTTTTTTTGGGAAATTGATTGACACCAACCAAATAGATAATTTGACAAGTTGAATATACCTTCCAGCATAATATGCAGTAGTGTTGTAACAGATAAAAATATTGTAACCATATGAATATCTGCTGAATATATTATAAAAATCGACCTCTCATGTATAACCTTATATCGCACATTTATTATGTTCATCGAGCAACAAAACACCCAATTGTTACGCGGGGGCTTGTCTTAGAATGACAGTAATAGCGTTGTGGACAAGAGTTGTTTTGTATTATTATAACCTGGCTATGATATGACAGATCTTCATACAAGAGAGCGATTCTAGTGAATACACAGAAGAAATCTCGATATTTGATAAATATATAGTTCGTATTTCCAGAATAACAAAGTAATTGTTAAGATAGATTATGTCTCATTCAAATATATTAATAATTCAACGGCTATACTTATTCAATTGTGTCAAATGAAAACAGGACTATAGAGAACCTAGACTTAATGACAGAGTTTCAGAATGGTATCATTTTGTTGTAAAGTTGGCAGTTTACCATTTCGATATATGAAAATATTTGATGGATAGCTGTGAATGATATACAATGTCAATGTTCCGTGCTAGCCAAGATATCCCACTTCTACCCAAGCCTTGTGATACAAAAAATATTTTTGTAGGTTTCCGTCTTTGTTTACTTAATTTATGGTAATACGAACATCAAATATAATATCGAGTAACAACGGGATGTATTTATCAATTCAAGCGGACGACTGCAGACGTGACAGTGGAGTATCTGACATGGACTCCAGTGTCGGCGGACAAACAGGAAACTCAAAGGTATGAAATTATATGAATATATTGTGCTTAGTTATTTGTTACGTCGAAATTGGCTTTTGCTAAATAAAAATGTATATGCGAGAGAATAAAATAGTTGAATTTTAAATCATGATATGAATACTTTCAGGAAGAAAAAAGTGTTCAACAAGGTCAAGGAAGTTTGGAATACGCAAAGCTTTGGGAGGTGATATTTAGTTTGCACATAAATTTTACTATATACATCGCTTCAGTTGAAATGACAACAATTACTTGTGGATAATAACAAAAATTACTAAAGCCCATTTATTCCATTATTTAAACATATTCATAGGAATTAAGACACACCGGCCAAGGACTGGACAATTTATTTGAAGAAAGTAAAGAAAGTGCGTTCGAAATAAAGAATGCTTACGAATCAATACATCAGCTTATCACAATCAATGAAGGCTTAAAAATCAAATATTATGAAGCACTTGCAACAAAGAAAAAATTTGATGAAGAGAGAGATGATTATTTCAAGGTAACAATTACTCACTCATTTTTATTCAATGTCAATAGGATTATCTCTAAAATTTAAATTTGAAACGTTAATTTTAGAGATAATTTTGAAATGCATATTTTTTTATTCTAAAAATGTTTATTTTTAGATTGACACAGAACTTTCAAAAAAGAAAGAGGAATTTATTGAAGACAGTCAGAAGCATGCTCTTCAACATTCAAGGTCAGAAAATTCCATAGTGTTTTTATTATAATGTGATTTGTGTGACAAATATATATTATTTTGATTTAGCCTATTAAGTTAGCCTTGAAAACGAAAAGTTAGCTCCTCAAGAGACCGTCAGCGCTTTATTCTAAACATAGGTTAAATATTTAAACAAATATAATGTTTACAGCTGCATTTTAATCAATCAGTCATATTGTATTTCGACGGTGATTTGAAGTATTTATTACAATTCCAGATATGTTGAATATTCAAAAAGATTTTCGACAAGACGAGAAGAATATATTGAAAGATTATTAAAAGACGTTGAAAAATATTTGGGTCAAGTTGAAAAATTATCAAAAGAAAAATTGAACCTGAGAAAAGAGGTGACCGAATTTAATATATCTTCTATTCATTAAATAATATATATATATAAATATATACATTGTGTTACGATTAGTCAAATATGCTCAACATTTTCAATGTTTATGAGAACATAAAATACATTAACATTACTAAATTACAAAACACCATGATTGCAAATACACAGGCGAATTACTAGTATTTTCTTTTCTGTTATGCTTTATATTTTCGTATCACGCGTGTTGGTTTTTCTTATCATAAACTCAATATGAATGAAATATAATTCAAAGCATTAAACGAGAGGGGAATGGGCGCTGCTAAATCAATATCTAGGTCTACTTTTTGGAACGGGCCGAAGAATTTTTTGTGTAACAAACCATTGGTAGTCTATCGATTTAGTAAAATATTATGATTGCTTTTAAACTTAAACTATTTAAAAGGTAATTTATTTGCCATTTAGGTTTCCGAACAAAGATCACAAATAACGTCGTTGAAAAATGAGTTGAAAACTAAAACTACACAACATGAAAAAGCAATTCATAATTGTGAAAAATTAAACAAAGATCTTGAAAAACATAAAAAAGAACTACAGTGGATGAACAGACAAGCTGAAAAATTGAAAGGTAAAAATATTTATGAATTTGAGAGTATCGGTGAGATTTTTCTGGTGTAAAGGGGGATCTTTTGGACCCTGTGCAATCAAAATTTACTGGCTTTATCTATCTTATTTGAATACCATTATTCAAAAAAAAACATGAAAATGATTAATCTGTAAAAAATGAAATTCGTAACTCAAGACAGACGAGAGTCGACGTGACTAATTGTGTGGTTATAATTATAAATGACTGATTATACTGAGGACGTACTTGACATAGGCTGGATGAGTATGTATTATAATCTATGGCGCATCTTCACCGAGTGGATTATGTAAACAAAGTTGGGCGATCCAGACGATGAAGCATTCGATTAAAATAAACATTTGTTTGCCATGAATTATGCTAAGAGGCAAATATTACGACCGCTTGACTTGTAATTTTTAAAGGCGAATAAAAGCGATATTTTTTAGCTTTGAATCAAAGACTTGACGAGGAAAATAATAACATGAGGAACAAAGAACAGGAATTGACAAATGAGTTGCAAAAATATATAAAAACAATTGATGATTTATCCGACAAAAGGCGACAACTTCTAGACAGGTATAAACAACTGCTTTTGGATTTTAGCGGCATAGAATTCTTCATGCACAAACACGCCAATTTCTCATGTTTAGAAAAAAGTTATACATATATTTTTTAAGTTAAGTAATTATTGTTAAAACAAATTATAGTTGCAGCTTTTACATAATGTCCAATCGTGTTTACGACTTTAAAATGGTGTAACTTCTAAGATCTAACATTCTTTTTTGTTAGGTGCTCCCAATTAAATCAGCAAATTCAAGCCACGGAAGAAAATCTTCAGCGAGAATTTGATACGAAAGAAGAGGAAAGAAGGCAATATGAAAGCGAGAGAATCTCAATGGAAAATTCGATCAAATCTTTGGAAAAACAAAAATTAGAATTAAAAGAAAGTAATCAGAAAGTGTTGCGGCAAATGGCACAACTGAGACAAAGGTAACTTAATTGAACTTTAAAAAACAATGACAATGTCAAATGTATATTGAAGATAAGACAAAGATGATTTTGAAACAAGCTTCGCATTCATTGCGGAAAAGTTTGAATTTGTCGTCAGCGATTGCTGGAAATGTGTTAAAATACATGTATTGAAATTTGATATACTGTTGAAGAAGAATAAGTAAATAGGGGTTGACACCTAATGAGAATTTCCAGATTAAATTTAACATACACCATTATAGATTTGACTCGGCGAAACGTAAAAGCGTCGTGGTTGAAAAAGAAAAGAACATTATTGTGAGGAAAGAACACAACACAAGCGAGAAAAACGTTGAACTTGCAGAAAAGCAGTTAGAACTTATCGATGAAGTTTTAACATTGAAAAGAGTATTTTATGAAGATCAATCACGAATGAAGAAGGGCGGAAGACAATATAGAAAATTAGAAGGAAAAGTGGGAAATTTGAAGCAACAGGTAGGTATATTATTGCCAAATGCAGAACTCAACAAAATCAAATCGATGGAGTGGACTATATTGAACCATGTGCCCTTCGCCTAGAATTTTTTATATAATGGTGTATATTGTACAAGCTCGTTACAAGCTATTAAATGGAACAATAACAATGTTTTGATATTACAACATGGTGATAATTGATAAAACTGATGCGACAAATCTCTTAACAAGTTTGAACCAGGATAAATTTAAGGGTCGAAAAGTTAACAAAATATAGAAAACATTGATATATATTATCATTATCGAAAGGCTTTTTAACTTAACTTAGAAGTTTGTTCAAAGAATATTCATTTTACAGATAGAGATGCTAAAAGAGGACCCATCAATTCTTGATCCTCTCGAATTTTCACAAGAATACAGGGATGTTGTTGTGAGAAAAATTGTTAATTCTCCTCCCCAATCATATCCACGTCCTGGAACTACTTATTTTGATTTACCATTGAAACAACATATTCCTGTTATTGGACAAATACCAGAAAAGAAAAAGGGTCTGAATTCTGGTGGAAAAGGTAGGTGAGTTATATATTTTAAAACACATGAGATGGGCTTTACGCTGTGACTATGGCATGTCTATGATTTTATTGGACACGAAATGGCCCGTTTTGTTGTTGATCATCATGTTAATTCTTCTTATATAAAAAAAATTGCTTATCTTCTTAACTACTAGCTAGACCAATTGCTTTGAAATTTTCAGTGGTGAAAGATTTTCCCCTAGAAGGCTGCTATATTTATTTCTTTCAAAAATGTCTGTGGCCTTTATGGGATCCGTTTTCTGTGTGCGATTACATTATCAAAATTAAAAATTGCGCTCCTTGTGACGATTCCGCTTTTGCGTAAGTTCAAATCTGCTGCTCAGCTGCGATACGGTACCAGTAGGCTATTGTGGCAGATTGCTTCGTATCTATGTATCTGGGCATCGCCCTCCTTTTTCACTTAGTTAATTTATTTTAATGAAGTCAGATTCGGTTTTGCTCAAAACATTGCCAACACATTTGGGGATTTTTATGCAGTTTACATTCAAAACAGTGAGCAGTTTTTCAGAAAATGGCTATGCTTTCTTGTCCCCTATCCAGATTTCAAACGAAATAGTGACAAGGATTTTTCACACTATGAATAAAAATGCGTGCTTTTTTCTATTTGAATTTTGACCATTTGTAGATAAATTCCAGTAAATATCTCGGAACCGAAACAACAAACAAAAATATAAGATTGCTACTATCTTTCGATGATCAGTTTATACCAAATTTTTTTTTTTTTCTGTTTCAGATCATCTAATCCAAAAATAAAAGCAGTTGCACAAAAATGACAGTGACATTAGGAAAAAGTTGGGGACATTACCCAGAGAACAAAACATGTGAAATGATCTTACTAATAGTAAAACTATACAGTTTTATCAGAGAGACGGCATGACGCTCCAGTATTTGGATCCCAATGTTACAAAAAAAATTCTCTTTGGTGCATTGTGATTGGTGGTGCACTAAAAATAGTTTTTTACCTTATGAAGCAAAAAACGAGTTTACGTCGTTTGAATAACGATTTCCAATCGTCACTAGTTTAAGTTAACCTTGATGAAACACAAGCTCTGTTTCTCATTTTCTCGAAAATTTTTATATATGACTCATGCAACATAAATGCAGTAATAAATATATTTTCTACGCAAATATTTTTAGTGGAAGAATAATATAAGATAGTGTTGAACTGTTTTTTATTTTAATTTCTAATTTTTATATTAGATTAAGACGAATATAAATAAAGTTTGTTGCCAACGATACCGCTATTTACTATTCTACAAATAAAATGGAATTAATAAAGTTACATGCATGGTTAATATTGCTGAAAATCCGGAAGTATGAAAACGTAACCGGCACAGTCTAGCAATTGCTTGCAATCCTTATTTGCCTCTTTCGTCGATATAATTGGACCTGGATAATCACAAAACTGATTACCTAATTTGAACTATGTAAACACGCGTATGGCAGTGGAGTCGGAAGGAAAGCTGACCTATCCGTGGGTTATAGTCGACCATGAATTGTCGAAACTTACCTGACTTGAGTCTGATGTTTAACTGACTGATGTTGATTAAATAAATATTGGATGATGACTCTGCATATATAAGAACGTCATAGGTTAAACTAAGTCTAGCTATATCTAACAAGTCAAGCAGTTGTCTTTGACTACTGCCTCGAAACTTATGCGACGTTAACTGACATGATAAAGACGACATTAAGGCAAAAATCGCTTTAAAGTTAAGAAACCAGCAGTAAGTTATAATCATACTCTTTCAAGTCAGTTCTCATATGCGACGTTCAATGTTAAGCTGTACAGAAGAAGTATCGCGCAATAAGCTAGTATTACGAACGTTTGGTAATGTATAGCCAATGTATCTTGCACGCATGAGTGAACATGCCGATTTCAAAACGCTTTTCAGCAAACACCCCAGGATAATTCATCGCTCGTATTTGCTTTACTGGTATTGCGGCATGTTTTATTTTTCTTGGCTGATTAACACGATGCACAGACTAGCATGAATTTACATGTTGAGCAACAAGTTAGCAATAGTTGTAGGCGGTGGTGGGATTCAGCCGCTTCTATAGAACCGTCTCACAGAATTTAATGAGATCACCGAACCGGTTAGCATTACTAGTTACTGCCAATGTCTTTTAATAACAGAACCGGCTGAAAAATATGACGTTTGTGGAGGAACCGGCTGACAAAAAATTGAGTCCCATCACTTGCTGTAGAACAATAAAGCGAGGTGATTTCATTTGCGTAATACGTGAAGTTGATCACGCATACCGTTTATCCATGGATAAGAAAGCATGGATCTGTTGAAGTATCTTACCTTAGGCTACATGCTTTTTATTAAAATAACTAACATGTGAAAAAGGAGATTCATGCAATTCGAAAATGCAACATTTTCATAAAAAGCGTTACGTCTTGGCTCTAAAGAATGTTCTATACCAGTAACCAGTTTTGCCTTCATGCCGCCCGTGCAACGGTATGTACAAAAAATGATATGGTTTGAGATGGAATGTCCAAACTAGACACCATGCCGACTTAAGCTTTATTGTGTTTGTGATATATCTGTTTACTATCGTCCGCGTACCAGTAATTTTATTTTGCTTACACACAAAAGGGTATTTTCTATATATAGATAAACATTTAGGCCTGCCTTAAATTGCGTCTCATCTGTGCCGGATCATGGAAAATGTTCATTGGTTAAACTTCTTCTTAACTGCTGTTCTTATGGCCGCTATTGCATATCAAGGGATGCGAATTATTGAACATGAAACAAACGATGCCGCTGAATTTCAATATTTAAAGTCACCTCTAACGTCAGAATCGGATATGACAGAAGCAACGCGGGATTTAATAGTACATTCAAGAAAGGAATTTTTAAATCCCGAAGTGATAAAAGTTACTGATAATGTTCATGTGGCTGTTGGATTTGCAATAGCAAATAGCGTTATGATAGAAGGTAAGCAAGACATATATAGATTCCGGTACATCTTTCAATGAAAGCATAGAAAATTGGCAACGTCATTGGTGCTCTATTACGTTATCTGTTCAGAAGCCGTAATTTACTGAAATCTCTGTGACTTGTGGGAATACTACAAAGGTGAAAAATAGATTCAGTTATAAGTAATATTGGTGAGAATTATCAAATAGTCAGAAACTACTGCACGCGCAACTATACACCAGAAAAAATCTATTCTAATTTAGAAGAGTGTCAAAGTTCTTGAAACGGCATGTTTGTAGAATCAGTTAAAATAAAATACCTACTAAGGTTGTAAATTTCGGGTAATAGATGTGCGATATAGATAGATATGTTAATGAATACTATAATTTTACTTTGTGACTAGGTGATGACGGCCTCATCATCGTGGATACAACAGAAAGCGGTGAAATCATGCAGAATATTATGGAAGAATTTAGAAAAATTTCAACAAAACCTGTGAAGGCTGTTGTGTTCACACATCATCATCCTGGTAAACACAAAAATGTTTATATTTATGCTTATTTTACCACTGCTTCTTTCCTTAGCACACATTTGTAATTGGATTTGCAGATCATGTCTCTGGCATTGTTGCTGTATTGGAGGAAGGCAATAAAATATATCCGAATCAGAAGATTGATTTGTACGCTCACGAGTCAACCAGTGGTTTCATGGCTGCTGGAGGTAAATTTCTACTAAACTCTATAATAATTTGCTATACGTGTATGGATTTAGTAATAACAGTCATAAACCTAATATACCCTAATCTATATCAGTCGTATTTTGGATTTCATTCAGCAAACCCGTACTAACCATAATGTGAAAATGTGCAATAGATCTCTACTGTATTTTTCTGGTATGTATGTTCCTTCGTATTTTTCATGTTCAGGTGGTCTGCAAGATATCGGGTTCAAGCGAGCGTTTAGGCAATTCGGAGCTCTTGTAAAACGTGATCGTCTCGCTCATGCCGGAAATGGAATCGGGCTGGAATTAAAATTCTCGAAAAAGCTGTATCATTTCGAGCAGCCACTACCAACAATAACTTTCAAGGATAAAGCGACCTTCAACGTTGCTGGTATGATTATATAATTTTTTATTAGTGGCTACTGATACTGCTTCTCCACATTATTTGATATTAATGTATATATTTGCTCAAGCCTCAAATACACAATTTCGAAGTTGAGTTTATCTACATCATTGGTTTTACGACTCATTTCACCCCATGCACAGGAATAAAGTTCGAAATGATTCACACACCCGGAGAAACAGATGATACGTCTGCTGTTTGGTTGCCGGAAAAGGGTGTTCTACTACCCGGGGACAACATATACAAATCATTTCCACATCTGTACGCAATCAGAGGAAGTCCTGTACGAGATTGTAAGCAATGGTACGAAAGCATAGATGTGGTGCGTGAATTGAAGGCACGATTTTTGATTCCCGGACACACCAGGCCCTTGGTTGGCACTGAAGAAATTTTCAATACATTGACAATATACAGAGATGCAATAAAGTACGTCCATGACCAAACAGTCAGATACACGAATAAAGGCTATCTCCCAGAAGACATTATTGGAAAAGTGATTTTACCTGATAATCTGGCTCAACATCCATACTTGGAGGAACGTTACGGTACAGTGAAATCTTCAGCGAAGGGCGTGTATAACCAATACTTAGGTTGGTTTAACGGTGAGCCAGTAGATTTGGAACCGTTGCATTCTAAAGATCGAGCTACTAGACTAGTTAATTTACTCTCGACTAAGGGATCGAATGGGATTGGAGTTCTTGTCCGCGAAGCTCAAAAATCGCTCGAAGAATCACGCCAAAATTTTGTAGAAAAAGGAAATCATATATCTGGAGATGACCAGTGGGCGCTTGAGTTGGCAGAAATTGCTTTGAAACTGAACCCTGACATTAAACTTGAGTCCGCTGCCAAGACGATAAAGATTAGTGCATTGAGAGCACTAGGTGTAGAGCATGGGTGTCCTAATGTGCGAAACTACTATTTTACAACCGCGTCAGAAATAGCTATGAATATGACGCCCCAACGACCGCAGGCAGCGCGCGCTTTTGAATGGAGTTCTTCGCCAATTGAAACGGTTCATCAAATGTTTTGTTACAAGATAAAAGGATTCGAATGCCAAAATGCGAATTATACCGTCCATCTTAATCTGACCGATTTATCATCGGAAATTGAGATAACTACCAGAAATGGTGTTTGTGACATTAATGATGATGTGTCTGGCTCACCATCGGTTGCTCTTACTTTGGATACACACACTTGGCGACTATTTCTAGGCGGAGAAAAGAATTTAGAATCTGAGATTGTTGCGGGCACGGTGAAATTGAACGCAGGAACAATGGATGTATTCGAAAAATTCATGAATTGTTTTGATGCGATGGTATAACAGGAACCGTACCTGCAATGTGAAGCAATGTTTTTTTCATGAGCAATCCAGTTCACCCACAAATTCTCAAAACTATCTGAACAATGAAGTTGCTGAATACTTACGAACGAAATACATATAAAATTTTGCACTCCTGACTTAAAACATTGTACTGATATCAGAGGATCACAATTAAAAATTGTGCTTGAAAGCGACCAACTACTGCACGTTCTTTCTTTCGGAAAATTGTGTAGATTTCAGGATAAGCTAGCAAATTCCTATCGAAAATAAACTTTCACAAACAATGCCAAACTGTAGTCGATAAAATATTAGGTCAAAGTCAAGGCAGCTGTCCAATCGCGAGTTTGTCAAAGCGAACAAAAACGAGTTGATATCAATTAGTGTTGTTATTGTTTTCATTAATGATTGGTATTCAAAGTCGACGAATTACCGTAACATGTTGCGAATCATAGAACAAAAACGTCATTATTTCAAAGGCTGAATAAGTATGCGCAAGTAAAATCGATATAGTAATGAAGGTCATAAATATAATCGAGAGCCGAAAAACAGAGCGAGAAGTTCGCGGCAAGTATATTAGCTGTTCCGATACACAAACTGCCCTTTTTATTCGAAGTTTCTCTAAAGTTGGATATCTATAAAATGCATGTCACAGCAAGTCAGAGTGTCAACGTATGATAATTTCGTGTGATATTTGTACATAAATTACGAAGAAGCAATGGTGTTGTTATATTTTAAGCGTGAACAATTAGAAAAAGACAACTGAACGAAACTAAATGATGAAACTCAACATACATATCAAGCCAAGGATATTGACTCGATATTTGATGAGTCGCAGTTGAAGACGTAAGCGGAGGATGACTCCGTAAATAACTAAGGTCCTTCGATTACATTAGAGCAGGGGTCGGCAAACTTTTGTCGTTCGCGGGCCAAAATTAAAGGTTGCAAATCATGGGCGGGCCGCACATACTTTTAGAAAGTTAAATGGATATGGCCAATGAATCACATTTTCACACAGATTTCAGTTAAATTTCAAGCAGCGCGCGAAGACTGATCATTTGAATATTTTCTGCGCCATTAAACAAATCATTTGCACTCAGCATCAAATTTTTTAAATTCTGTTGTCATTTGTCTGATTAGAATCAATTTATAGGCTCATTGAACGAGTGATTGTGAATTATATACTTGTTAGGCTATAATATAATTTAGTAACTCAAAACAAGTTCTGTTACGTAAAGAATATAATCGTCAATACAGTTGTTTTGTTAATATAATTCAGTGAAGCGTCGCGGGCCGGATTATATTGTTCCGCGGGCCGCAGTTTGCCGACCCCTGCATTAGAGGTAAAATCGGGCCCAAAAATTCTAGCCCGGCCCGTGGGTATTAAACCCAATAATAAACTGGATTTACGATTTCTTTACTGGTACTTTTAAAAAACAGATCGTTGTATGCGATGAATGATAATGATGGTTAGAAACAAATAACCCATTTTATGCGAAACCACTCTTAAAATAAGCCCCGAAAATTCTGCAATGGTAAAGTACTATTATATTTTTTATGAACATATATTTATTTAAAAATAAAGTCAGCGATAGAGAAGCCCGATCCGAACGTAATGATTGACATTTCAGGCCCGACCCGATCGGGTCGGGCTTCAGATCTTAGCTCTACCTTCGATCAAGGAAATTTGTATTCAATATTAACTGCCTCAAACTGTATCATTTAGCAGCATTCCAGAGTGAAGCCATAACAACATAAAAAAATTTACCCGGATGTATTTCGTTTCAAATAACAAAAATAATAACGAAAAGAGAAGAGAAGTAGTAATGAATGTAAGACGATCACTATCAAGAACAATTTCTAATCTTTGAAAAATTTCACCATGGAGAAAAAACGAATACACAAATTCTAGACCAAATATTATAAACAGCACTAGACAGGCTGATCAAAACAATGAAAATATGATTACATTACAAGAATAATGAAGAGTACCTGAAAAAAAATTAAACCGTTTATAGTTGGGGAGACAAAATCAAAAATAAAGGAATTAAATCAAAAGAAACTTTTGGCCACACAAATTAGAGAAATTATTAAAAAATATGTATATAATATGCTTCCATCATTAAGAATTTAGATAGAGGTGACATCCTGCTGAAAATACGTTTTTCTTTGTATAAATACGTTCAAAATTGACAATATTTAAACCCAACAAATAAGAACTTGGTATGATAAAAAATTTTCCACAATGGAACACAATCAAAAATAAAACATTTTCCTGTGAACGAGATGCAAATCTAAATTGGACAATTTTCCCTATTCGGTTTTTGCATTTATATATGCGTAATATGTATTTAACATGAAAAATCAGGTCTTCCTCTGCATCCACTAACAGTTTGGACTGATTGTGGTGCACAGAAGCAAAAATATTACTTTTAGTGCATGCTGTATTAAATGGAAAGCCAAACTAATGAAGGGTAATAGCATAAATCACGTAAATCCCTTGGATTTATTCAAAAGTGCCAGGCTGTTTTCAAATCACTGAATTAGGCTGAAGTGTAACAGCTTGCCTAGTCAGTGATTATAACCAAACTGCAATAACCAGGGCAATAAATGGACTTCCTTGGGAGATTGCCCTTGAAACGTTCTTTACTATCTTTGGGTGATATTTTGGTTGTATATGGTTCTTTGCACTTGAGTGGAGAGGCGCATGATATTTGAGTACTGGTACGATTTTTGATTAAACATTGAAAAAAGGGTTGAAAAGGTCAATACAGCAGCAGGGGAGATTGACAATTAAAATAAAAACGACTGATTCTGAAGTATTATATTATTTATTAATCTTCAAAAATTTACAGGAAATTTTCAGAAAATTATTAAAATATTGTTAATCATTGGTGTCTCAGTCAGCGAAGATCATTCCAACAGTTGGCCAAAAAATATAGAAGATTCCGATCAGAATTGCGAATAATGCAACAAGAAGTGGTTTCTGTAAACAAAAAAATGCATTAAGTTTCACCGAATTGAGAACCATTTACATACTAGAAATACACTACTTGGAATGCTGTCTGTCTGATAAAAGCAACAAAATTCATGCTGTTATGCAAGCGTAGTTTCGATGTTGTACAATCACATTTTGCACCTGAAGTGTGGCTGTAAATTCAACATATTATGATGTCCCTTCTTACTTTTAATTGCAACTAATAACTGTCTTAGACAAATGGGTATACAGAACATGCAATTATAAATGAACTTACACTAAATCCACTGTCGCTATCACCCTGTTTCTTTTGCAAAAGTTCTTGTTGTTGACCCAATAAATTATCAACTTCCTCTTGCTTTGCCATAAGTTTTGTTTCCATTTCCTGATGTTTGTTTCCGTGGCCACAAGGATCAAGGGTCATACCGTTTTACAGGCAGAGTTTGAGGAAACGGGATCATTAGTAAAAGTCACCGTTTCAGATCAAATCAGGCATCATCATCACCATGCAGGTAAATAAGGGATCAAGGGTCATAGGTTGTTATTTGTCATCCAGGGAGGGATCCAGAATAGCCAGGTAGCAAGTGAAGACATATATAGAAAGAAGAAAACAGCAAACAAATATGGTTAGCAAACTATCGAAGCAAACATGGATGTTACCAGATCTACAGTGACGAACAAGGTTTTCTATTAGCAGTGTTCCAATTAAAAAATTCATATATTTGAGCATAAGTGATAGTTATATTTTGGTAACAATTTCATCCAGATTTTTTCAATGAGAACACTGCCAAAAATTTATCGTAACTACATGGTAGGCCAAAAATTCTATCTAAATAACGATTGGATAATGACAATAAGATTATCCATATTAAAAGCAGACATTTTCTGATAAATACCAGGGCTTGAGTATAGATAATCAAAGATAATTACCACCGAAAGGGTCGACACCAAACCATGCATAATTTTGTGCTCGTATCAGTAAAATTTTGATAAAACATCCAGTGATCAAACGGCGACAACTTCAATATATTGTTTAAATTTTTAATTTTTTGAAGTAAATCGGCTAAAACATCAAAAATTAAAAAAGTAAGAATTTGATATTTATATTGTAGCACCTTACATAAGAAAAATATATATCAATAAAATTTCCTAAAAAACGTATATGTAAAATAAAATGATGACCAGACCAGCTAGATGATAGGATTTTCAACCAAAATATGTGGTTAGAATGAGTAGGCTAGTCATTATGTGTATGGTTATATGAGTTATTAAGTTATGTTATAGAACAACCACCAACAATGTGCAGATCACATTCTTCGTTTGCACGATGAGATAGGTCATTGCCAAACAAGCTTTCCGTAATTGCAGTTTTTATTCACACGGAGAAAGCCTATGACATGGTTTGGAGGAATGGACTACTTTATAAGATTCGTGCCATAAGAATAAGGGTTCTATTTATAGGTGGATTGGCTCTTTTTGAAATGGAGAACATTTGATAATGGCATAGTACAGGGTTGTGTGATAAGCCCTTTACTCTTTAGAGTCTTTACTATCATGATTAATGACATATCAATGGGGATTTGGGCTGACGATGTTGCATTTTGGGGAAGAGGGGGATTTTTTTTTCAAAATTAACTATTCCAACTTGGGAAACAGAAATAGTTATTTCTTAAATCCCGCAAAAGAGTCTTTTAATTATAAAACTGTCAAAGGTTTATCTACACCATTTATCACAAGCCCAAAGCATCAAAGTGTGAAGCACCAACTGAATATTTAGCAAACTTTGTTGTTCTAATGAGCAAGCTAAGCTAGCACAGCAATTCCCAATCGCACCAAAGCCTAACATATTTATAGTTATAGTTCTCACTTGTACTGCTACCAAATTAATTAACTTTATCATTACCACATTTAATAGCTTAAACAATGTTACTACAACCAGGTACTACTGTAGTTAAATCAAATTTGTATGTTTTGTTACATGCAATTCTGCTGTTAATATTGAGTCAGTAATATTTCATAAGCTCATTGCTTATCTCATGAAATATGGCAGTTACGTAAAAGCAATGACGTATCTACTGATAATAATCCAGCAAAAGGGTACAAAAACTATAATGGCAAGATTTTTTTGAAATTTCAAATCATGTGAAAAATACTGTTTGTTGACAAAAAATATATCTTATTTTCTAGAAAAGTATAAAAGTAACTGATTGTCATGTATATACAACAAAAATACTTTTTTATTGACACTACGTTCACCGTATATTGGCATTTCGTTGTCTATAGTAAAAGAAAGTAGTCTATTTTTCTAAAATATTTGAACTCTATTGCCGGATATGTCATGTTAATATTATTAATAATAATATAAGCGTGCTATTCATCTACATCTCAACTGCAGAGTCATATTGTTAGCAGTGAATGTTTCAAAGTTAGAAAGAGAAGTACAGTAGGTAGAGTTTTGTGTCACGTTGGGGATGCCTGCGTTTAAAAAAGACGAAAATTTCTAGAATTAAGCGCAATCTTCAAGTAACAGAAAAAGCTGACAGAAACATTGATAAAGACCAAAGGGCATCCTGGTCTCTTTTTGTGAAGTAATAGAGCATGACTAATTTTATCTATCCGTTTTATATCTAGTCTGGTTGGTCATCTCGATTATAGTAAAAACAAACGACTATTTTATTATTATCAAGCCTTTTTTTTTACAATTTTCAATGTCCAAAACGACTTCCGGTAACAGAATCTGCTTCTAGTAATATAAACCTTCTTCATATAAAAAGTTGACCTCCAGAACAAGGTCTTGGCCAAAAATTATAATAAATTTAATGAGTGTGACACAAACCTGCTCTCTTTTTGCATCACTCTCTTGTGAGTCAGATACTTGTTTCTCTAATTTATCGTTCAATAATTTCATGTCGTCAAGAAGATTTTGTTTGTCTTCAGAAAGTCTGTGAAAAAATTTACAATTAAATAATGCATAAAACTTACGGGTGGGAAGGTTTTTATAGCAACTTAAATAAAAGAAAAAAGATCCAAGTGGTACGAAACGAAGAAACAGTTAAAAGGCAGATAGCAGTGATACACTTCTTTTCGGTTAGTAAAATTTACAGAATATAGGTAAGCCGCTGGTAAACCATATAATCATATCTGTCTGTTACTCTGTTATCAGAATCTCGCATTTTTAAAATTAAATTAATAATTCACAACTAAGTCGAGACAACAAAATATATTTTCAGCACTTCGCCTCGAATACGAAGAGTGGAACAACCACTAATTCTAACCTTCAATGCTATCATATTAGGCAGCAATAACAGCACAGCACCGATTTTAATACCCCTGTACTAAAACTGACTAAAAATTCTTGTCTAAGGTTAATCACCGTTTAGAATCCTCCTCTTCTAATTTTTCTAATTCCTCCAGAATCTTGTCTTCTTTCGCATTCAATGCAGCAAGATTTTCTTCCTTTGCTGTTTCATACATAACAACTGCATCATAATCATCCAAAAGCTTTAGATCTAGCGGAGGGACAACTGGCGTACTTTCCTCTTGTGACTGGTTTGATAATCCCGAAGCAGAATCCTCATGGGAACTTTTGCTTTTATTTGTGCTGTCAGTATTCTCAGCGCTAGATTCAGAATCTTCGCTATCGCTCGTACATCCCGGTGGAGGCACTACATCAGAAATAGGAATTAGGATCTCAGATCCACAAACTCTCTCGAAGATTTCATCAGAAACTTTTTCTAGTGATTGTTTACGTGGTGGTTCATCAGTTTTAGTTAATTCTTTTTTTGAATTCACCTTTACCGGTATTGCACTTTGCTTTTCCAGACTAGTTTTCAATTTCTTCGGACTATGAGGGATACCGATTTTTGATGGTGGTCTCAAGCTGCTAGGTGAATTTGGTGTTTTAGGTATAGAGGTTACTTTCGGTGATGGTTTGGAAACTTTTCTGGGTATGGCCAATTCTGAATTTGACGGCTTTGTTGATGACGTAGATTCTGTGATAGAGGTTGATTGAGACGTACTTTTTCGTACTGGACTCTTTGGAATAACTCTGGGTGATTGGAGCTTTGACACGCGTAATGATTTCGTTGATTCCCCATTCGTATCCTTTGGTGTTCTAGGAGTGCTCAGTTTTGGTATCCTTGAAACCGTTGACTTGCTAGCACATCCAGATATAGGAGGTGTAATGTGGGATTCCATATCTGTATGATTGTCAGTTATCAGTATTCTTATTATTATGTATTGGCTTGTATCTAGACCATTTTTATCAATCAAAATAAACAATACACATTTCATTATTATACAATAATACACTGCGCTTCTCTCTGTATCAATGCGTCACTAGCAGGCTCCATTCCTAACAAGCTTACAAAGGATTTATATAAGCATAATGCTCAGCAAAAGGTTATTTACCTACAATATTAAATGACTTCATTTGGCCATGACTATAATAATATCATGATACAGTATTTCTTAATACACAAACCAACTGCATATTTAATAAGTCTGCAATAAACATAATATCTATAATAAACAATGTCCTGAATATAAACTCCCTTTGCGTACCAAGCTTCTAAACTAAACAATAGTTAGAACCGGCAGTTCATAATATCAACAACATCACTTGTCAACTATATACTGAAATAAAATGAAATAAATCCCACAGGAGCGCATTTCACCACGTCACCAAATAATATGAACCGAGAAAATTGAAGCCCTGTGGCTATAACTGCTAAGCCATTATTAGGAAAGATGTATTAATGGTGGAATTTGCGTCAAAACGAGATTGATTTACGTATAATTTAAAACGAAATGTTTGCGATATATTTGAGCAAATTTTAATCCTAACGACATAGAGTAGTTTGAAAAAGATATAAGCACAATAGGCTATACTCTTTTTGACAAATTAGTCTTCATAACTGAGCTATATTCCATGGTTACACTGTACATATATGACACAAGTGCTGACCAAAATTCCTCCTTTCCAAAAACTATTCATCTTTCTTTAAAACACTGTAGAAATGTTATGTTCTGACATACTTTGTGTTAGCTTCAAAACAGAGTAGAGAGTCCTATTCAGATTACAGACAATAGATGGGTAGATTATTGGCATAACACAAAGGATTTGATTCGATTATATGAAACGTCAGGTCATTCCAGTTGAATATCATTAAATTTATTTACAGCAAAAGGAAGTTCGCAAATAGCAAATTGAAATAACTGAGTTGCAGTAGTGTAATTTGCAAAAAACAAATGAATTATAAAACGTCCATAACTAAGCAGTTCAATAAAATCTTTCAGGTATTTTGAGTAGAGAGTATTTTTGTTAAACGTTTTATATATGTTTTGGAATTTTGACTAATATTTCAACTTATTTGAATTTTGTATAGAGAATCGACATTATTCTAACCAGTTTCAGTGCTTTACAATTAGGAGACGACCTACAGTTCTCTCCTTTGTAATAAATATTTAGATAATATCATATATATATACCTTTTTAGCATATAACCTGAAGCTATCTAAAAGATACAATTGTCTACAAACAAGACAAACTGAATAAAGCCAGCTCACATACCACTTATCCATTGTATTACTACAGGTAAAGCAGTAAATATCTCTATTAGTACAGTCAGATCATGTAACCATTGGCTCTATCACTATTTATAAAGTGTTGACAGACAATAAATATCACACAATAACATTGGATAGATATCCACATAGGCAGTTACATGGAACAAATTCCTGAATTTATTGTGGTGAAATGAGGCAGGAGTATTATCCGTACCTCCTTAAAATATTATTATATCATGAATCATTGATGATCTGTGTTGAAATGTATCAAGAAATTGAACTAGATCTAGTACTAAAGTCTGTATGACTGCATAGGACAATTGACACAATAATTAGGCAAGTAGAAAAACATGGTAATAATTGTGAAATACAAGTAACTATTTTTTCTTTCTTTCAAAATGTCATTTTCTTTCTGCATAATTAATTTCAAATCCATAATATATTGCACCTAACAAGCAAATCGTTTGTTTGACACTGAAATTCTTAAATTACCAACAAGCATACATAAAATTTATTGTGATATGACAATGAGAATATATTTCTCTTGCAATAAATTTCAATCACTGACATTCTAAATAATTGCAATTTGCAAATAAAATAGGACTGCCCACTAAATGCAAATTTAAGTCTGCAATTTTTACATAATCATAAACGGTGCACATTAAGACATTGATCTCGGTACCAATAAACATGATATCGATGTATCTATCTTGGATCGATATCCAATCTATCTTATTTCTGTCTTTCCAAAAACGAATAATTTGCAATAATGTACAAAGTATTTCCTTTGAACAAACTTGAAAATGATTGCTATTCATCCATTCTATCATTCAAACACTTGTATCAGAATCTGCACCTCAATCTATATTGTAACTTTCTAAAGTTCTGAATAAGACAGGCTATTCATTCCATACTCAATTAGCTTTACATTCTACTAATAATTCAATACAATCCAAACTAAGTACACATGTAAAGTTTGCTGCAATTATTTTCACCCATCCATGCTTTATAAAATACCTCTGACAATTTAAACGTAACACAAAAACTTGGATAATATCAATTCATGAATAATACAAAAACACGAATTTCTGCACTGACTGTCAATGGACGAAAACTCTTAAATAATTCCAGCGTATTTACTATAAAATAACAGACATTGTAATAATCCCAACTTACTTTTTATTTTCCTTGGCAAGATCAGCAGAGTCAAGTTGTATCTGCTGCAAAGTGTTGATCTGATTCTTACATCTGAAAATATTTTTGAACATGCATTATGATGTCATATTGAGGAATGCAACAGGTGAGAATGAAATAAGGTCCTTATGACATCACAATGTCATATAAAGCTATGAATTGAGAGCAAAAATTAATGAATCCAAAATCCAACTTAGACACTTACTCTTTCAGTGTAGCTTCTAAATCAGATTTTTCTTTTGTCAGTGCTTCATAATTCTCCTGATGTTTATTAGCAGATGACAACAGTGCTTCTACTTCTTTGATTCTTTTGTCTTTCTCTTGTTTCTCTAATTGGAGTTGCTCTGAAATTGATAAAATTGTCAATATTGTTCAAGGCAAAAGTTTTCAAACATTTACACATTTATTTCCTATAAAAAAATCGCTTTGGAAAGACAATTTCACTTTATGACCAATTTATTATGACAGGGAAACATTATAATATAATGGATGAAACATGAGCTTGTTTCTGTGCGCTTAATAATCATAATTTGTATGATGTTTGATATAGACAGTCCCTCAATATCAATAGATTTGATCACTTTATGTCAAGTTCTAAACGCGGCAAGAGGAATATAACTTTTTAGAAAATGGACTGATATTTAATGAAGCATTCAAAATTGATGTGACAGTTTGAGGACCACCGATCTAAGGAAAATGATATTTACAGCACTTCGTAGACTACATGAAGTTCATAATAAAGGGTAGTTGGGTCACAACCTTTAAAATTTCAAAAAACATACTTCTAACGTAGCTAACAGAATAAAAATATCTCGTCTTCAAATACTTATTGATTAATCCACTTTTTTGAAAAATTTTCACTACACAATCCAAATCGAAGATGAAAATATGTCATAAGCAGATAAACACAGTTACCTATATTTTCAATAATGAGTTAGTTGTTTCAATTCTTACGAACTACAAACCATGACATGTGTATACAAATTATTTAAACGCAAAATTCAATAGAAAATGAAACTTTAGCCTCAGCAAATTTCATTTCCTTCTCAGAAAAAAAGTCTCGATTATTCAGGATTTTTCTGTCTACTTTAGCAAGTTTCAAAACTTTGGTGATTAATTTTTTGCTAGATTCAAAGACGAAACATACTGCCGACTGTGTACTGAAAATTTGAATGAGAGATATCACAAACAATACCTTCCAATTCTTTCATATCAGATGAATCACTTTCTGAAGCAAGTTGTATTTGTTGTTGAGCTTCCTCATACAATCTACACTGTTCTCTTGCTAACTGTCTCGCTTCTTCGAGTTTGTTGCGAAGTTCTGCGCTTTCTTTTGATGAATTTCGCAATGAATTCAATTCAGCTGAATAAAGAGATAAAGGGTTACAAAATTAAAATCAAGCAAAGACAAATAATTTTCATGCACTACAAATTTCTGATTATTTTACAGTAATGACCCAAAAAACTTGAATACAGCACGTAAGTTGAAGGGACTGCGAACCTCTTCAAAGATAGAGAAATACCCGTTCCCCCACTATAACATACCAGAATAGACTGGTCAAAAATACTTGATAGTGTATAGAGATAAGTATATCTTAAATACCTTCCATCTTTTTCACACTCTCTTGGCTTTCGTGTAACAATGATTTTAGTTCTTCAATTTCTTTAGACTTTTGTTGGTTTTTAGACTCCGTCTCATCTAAAACAAGCGTATCAGCTTTACTAGTGGTAATATAATGATACACATGATACAGATGAACATATAAAATATAATGGGATTTGAATTTGAATACCTTCAACTATTTAAATTTCAAATGAAATAAGTTGTTGTAAGAACGATAACGCAGTTGATGCTATTTTTGTAAATAAAACTGTTGGTAATATGAAAGAACAATAATAAACAAGTTGTTACAAAAAGGGCTCTTGTAATTCTATGCTAAATGTGGTATAAATTTAATGTACAGTTGTGTATCATGTGACTCATGTCGAATTCTAAATTAAATATGATATTCACACGCTTGTGGTAAATCGCCTGAAAATTATTGAAAAAAAAAAACAGGAATATACCTGACATCTCAAGATTCGACTGCGCAGCTGCTAAAAGAGCGTCTTTTTCTTTCAATTTTTCTAAAATGAATGGAAAAGGAAAAATAGAATGACAACAAGTTTACAACTACTAATGTAATAAATAAAGTTCTGTTACAAGTTCAATTTTATTATGAAGTCCGTTCTCATCTCAATGAAGATAAACCATTTTTTTTTAATCAGTATTTATTCAAGTTTTTTTCCGTTTAATACACTTGTAGAGCCTAACTAACTATATATGGTAATAATAAATTTACTTTGCAATTTAAAATTTTTTTAAACTTTATGAATACCGTGTATTGTGGTATAGGATAGGATAGAATTTACATAATTATTCTGGGAGAGATGAGAGTCGATAAGACGGGCTAATCATATGGCAAACCACGGCCTCTCGTCCGGTAACCAGTCCATGTCGGGAATGGGTTTAGTTAGCCAGTTATTTGTTTTCAGATGCATGGACTTAATTGTGGAGGAAGTCGTAACCGACCAGCAGTTAAGTAAACCACCCTATGTCGGCGAGAAGTCTAGCAATCCTCTCGCATATAATTAACCCCACATGGGATTCGGAACTGAAAACCCACGCAGGGTAAGTAGAGGTGTGGTGACGAGCGTATTCCTAATATTTGATGAGGTAATTGACAGATCTTGGGCATGAATGCATTCTTACATTGAATGGTTTCCTGGGTCTAAGTCTTATATAAAGCCTTGCTTTGAACAATGAGGTAAAAACCTCGAAACAAAATTAAAACTCACTTTTCAATTCTTTTAATTTAGCTCGAGCAATAACAAGAGATCCACAGGAAATGTCATCATCAGCATCACCTAGAAAACGAAAATTTTGATATGAAACGCAGATTTCGGAAACACATTTTTCTATCAAAACACTAAAGTGATTTTTGAAACTGTTTTGTTTGCTGCTTTCAGTCCTGAAAGCCTTTTATTCAAATCAAACCTTACAAAATTGTTCGATTCACTACATTTCATTCTTTAATAAAAACTATTTATATATTTATATCATTATTAAATCATACCTTGATTGATTTCCTCTGTTTCACTACTACTGCTTATGCTGTCTGTATCACAGGTTCGTAATAAATTTTCAGATTCTTCAATCCTTGATCGAAGTTTTTCTTCTTTTTCTAATAAAGATTCTCTTTCACTGAGAGCAGCTTGAAGTTCCCTAGCGTAAAAAAAATAGTAACAATATTGATGGCTGAATTCAATTTGTTTTGGACAAGCACAATAAAACATTTTTTTCATTGGATTTCTCACAAAAGTTGCAGGTTTGTATACTAACTATGTCCATATTCTGAAAGTTATCACCATATCACCCTGGACTAGTAACCAGACTTAGTATGACATATGATGAACAGGTTTTTCTTTTCTTTGGAAAAAAATTAGTTTGATGTTTTTTGAAGATGATTCTTGGATACCTTGTTGTCTCCGTCAACATTTCTTTCTCATTTTCTCTCTCCTCTTGTAACTGACTTAATCGAACTTCGACCTCTTTTCGTTTCGATTCTTCTTCTTTATGTAAAGTTTGTGACGTTTTGACGAGATCTTCAAGCTGAGATATCCGAGCTGTGGAGCAAGTATAGTTATGTTACCATACTTTGCAAACCATATGGTATTTTAAATCCTTTTTATTTCTCAAAAATGAAAATTGATCGCCTTATAAGCCAGTGCCAGTAACAGACTAACGGTGCTAATGTTTTACAAACAAACCGCCATTTTACATTTATATTGAGTTTTTTTGTTCAATGAGCTTTGTACAGTAACCCAATCAATACTATTTAAAAACCGTTACGCCTTATAGCATGGTGCATTTTATGACAAATAAAAACCAGATCTAGGCAATTTATTGAAAGTGTGCTCAATAAACTGATGCGCCTTATGATACATGAAATACGGTCATAAGAATATGCGGAAATCATGCCGTAAAAGCAAGATTTATTTAGTAAAAATGAAAAATTGAACTTGTAAACAAATATGCCACATATGGGCACAGTGTAGTGGCCTGGTGGGTAAAATGTCTTTTAAATCTTGGATTCGAATCCTCGTCTCCTCATCGAGGTTGTGATAAATTGAGTCTAAAATAACAGCAGGAATAGCAGCAAGAGATAACAAACCTTCTAGCTTTGTGATTTCCATTATTTGGTCTGAGTTTTCTTCATTTTGGTTTTGATTTGTTGACGATTGTAAATTATTATTATATTCAGCAAGAGGTACATTAACAATATTCATTTTTTCTTCAACTGGTTTCTCACAAAGTTCTATTGCTGTTAAAAAAATTGAATCAATTATTAATCATTAGTAAACCAGATATCACAAAATTTTGAGTGATCAATTTGGATAAATGAAAAACAGGGTATACATGATCGGGATATACAAAGAATTTAGTTCAGATATGATTTTGCCTAAAAAACTATTTGAAACACACAAAATTGATAGCATTATCGATAGCATTATACACTCCCATACTATTCAAATTCAAGTCAAAAAAATGACTGTCAATGACTGGTACTACCTGATATGTACTGAATATATTTGAACAGATAATCTAGAGTCTGATATAAGCAAACACTGAAATAAACCAAGTATAGCAAAAATAGGAATTGAGTATTCAGTCATAAATGAGCCTTACTTCATCTTCTAAATGAAGTAAAAAAAAGAACACTGTTACTCCTGACAACTAGCTAACTTTGAGATGCAGGAAAATTTATATTCTCCTCCAATTTGAGAGAACCTAACCAGGCTATTATAGGAATTTAGCCTAACAATTTTTTACCTGACCAAGATCACTTTGGTGGCAATTTAGTACTATAAATACCAAATAGGCCTATACAAAATAGGTTGAGTTTAATAAAGATAGATTCATTTTCTCTTTTGCTAATTTAAAACTACCATTCAATATCTATACTGTAACACAATTGAAAGTGCTTCCTTGAACCTAAGCCTTCAACCATGCACTTCCTGTTTATTGCTCTTTGCATGAGCCTTTCTGCGCATGTATGTCCAAGCTTAGCTGGAAACTACAAACCAATGAAAATCTTTTTTTATGTGAAGCATAAAAAGTGTGTACAGCTCTGGATAGTTTGGTATTTCACATTGCAATTAACTTCGGTTTTATATATTAAAATGATGTATTTTGGAGAAAAAAGTATCAAATTTTAAAATATCGCAAACATTTCAAATTAGAACGTATTTTTGCATTAATTTTTTTATTGAATGAAGTTCACACTGAAATTCTTTAGACATCCCTAGCCACAATGCAATTTGCAGCGAGGAGCACCAACTTCTATATTCCTGATATTCATATTAACAATGTTGCAAATGATGACTACATCAATAGAATGCCATTTGGAAAAAGGTTTTCAGAGCATGAATTCCATAATGACGCATTCATAAACTTCCTTTTCATATGACAGAGATCAAAATGCACTGACTGGTGGCTAGCTGTCTAAAATGGGACCTGATATAGCACATGCTTATAGAATTGAGCTAACACCCTCTTCATGCCATTTCACTCAAATTCAAAGAGGAAACCCTTCCAGCCATGTTTAGGCCAATTCTACATAAATAAACCCCTTTTCTGAGGACTCAAAAAACCTTCTGTATAAAATGTTTACTTTCTCTCACTGTGAACAACTTGAACATACTGTGCTGTAATGTACTGCTCAGTCAAACAAGTATGCTTGTCATTGTCAATGAAATTTTTTCAATATAGGTATTGGCGTGGATCATGTTTGGTTCTGTTGTAACAGTGCACTTTTATCTTAAAAGTGTTTGCCAACATATACCACCGAATCATTGTTTAAGTAAGCAGAATGATTTTATGTAAAATAATGCAATGAACATTCAACATGACTTAAAATAAACTTATAATTAGGTAAATACTAGATTACGGTATATGGCATTGATTAGGTATATGTTTCCTAAGCTACCGAAATAAAAGTAAAAATTCCATTGGATATCGCTATCTGATGGGGTTATACGAACATATGAAACTATTTATCCATCCTATCATCCACCATCTACCCCATGCGTTATGTTGGTGAATCCAAAGCACAAGGCCTTATAATTGCAACACATTAGGGCTATTTCTCCAAACCAATCCAGCGTGAATTTGTTAATAATCTAGCTACCTACACACCCCAGTATATTTTCAATAAGAAACATATGTTTTAAGAGACTACTAATTTTATAGGACTATTATAGTAGGTAATAAAACATCAGTAACGAGGTTACTAACTGGGTGAGAAATTTGTGGTAATAAATTGTAAAAAGCTGTCATATTAATGTTGGTGATAATTTTGACACTCTAGTTGCATCAGTAAAATACCCAAATAGGATTCAATACAGCTGCAGGATACAAGCCTAAAATAACTCAAAAGGCCACAATATACAAAAGTTGTATAAGCTTTTTTCCTTACCGTACTTCTACATTATTCCAACATTTATAGTTTACGTCTCGGCCTCATACACTACAGACTTGTCTAAAACAATACGAAAATATTCTATCCAATATTTCATATTCTTGCGTTTAAATACTTTAAAACAGTTTTAGTTTAAAAATGATCATTATGAGCTATTTTCCTCTCACAGCACGGCCAAGAAGTATTTTAATTATTTCTGAATATTTCAAGTTAGGTTATGCTCAACAAAGAACATAACCTAACTTAAAATATAGTCGTAAATTGCAAATAACTCAGTTTTGGCAATTCCTGCAATACATATATATCTAACTTCTGCCTAATACCTTCTTTACATAAAGTACATTTCTATAACCTACAGAAAAGGGAGTAACACAGACAGGCTACATGTATATTGTGTTTTTTATCAATAACCATCACACTTGTCCAGACAAATAAGGAATGCTAGCTTAAGAAAAAAAAAAATCAATATTTCCAATACACGTCACATGTACATGCTGCAATTTCAATATATATTCAAATGAGTAATGTATGTTACTGGTACAGCAATACTGTTGTGAAAAAAATTGCTTTCAATCAGAAACTCAAGTCAATGAATATTTCTCATTACCAATGATGGCACTTTTTTTTCACAAGCAAATTGTTATTAAAAAAAGATTGGACATCATATTCACATGGTCAGTAAAATTTAATCTAATGGAAAAAAACAAGCAACATGTGTGTTGTGCAGTAGTACAGGGTAATCATAAAGTTCTGTGCCAACACAATTTCAATATTGTTATGAAGTCAGTTCTCCATACATCTCAACCGGATTCGTTATATTTTAATTTTAATCAGTGTTTATACAAGTTTTTTTTTACATCATTTAATACACTCATAGGGGCCTACAAACAACATATAGCATTAATAAATTTCCTTTGCAATATAAAAAGTTTCCAAGACTTTATGGAAACCCTGTGAAAAAATATCTGAAAACTTAAAAAGACCTGATCACTAATCATAGTTGAAGCTACCATGAATTATTATTAATATAACTCTGACACGAAAGATTTTGTTTCAAGCTAACATAACTGTTGCCACCATTTAGCTCTCTTATTAACCTTCTGAAAGCTATGCTGCATAAACTTATCTCCAACACAACAATTGCACTATCGGTAATTATTAAGATTGATTAGAAGATTAGAATCGCAATTCATGACAAGCAAAATACATACAAAATAGCCCTTCCTAATTACCAGTAAGTCTAGTTGCCTTGGTCAAGCTATCTCAGTCATAATAATGAATCTATTGCCCAAAGTTCAGAATGAAAATTGTTGATTTGAGATAAAATCCATACTGAATAAATAATATGCAACATACTTTTAACAACTTCAATTTCATCTTCTTTTAATGAAACTTTGATGTCTGTCAAGTCGATATCACCTACAAAAACAAAAGTATATCAGAGTGAATACCAAACAGAAGAGATCGAGCCATATTTAAAATCTAGGTTTTCTAACAAAAAACCTGTCTATGTATCTAAATTGATGTAGTCTACCTTCTAGTGTAAAAGAAAGGATTGGAATTGCAAAGCATGCCAACATTCCAAGCAATATTATGACATGATATCATCAAATAGTTCTAGTATAGAAAGTTTCGCAAAACACTTTCTCTGTGCGTTCAAAAGAAATTTGATTTCATTATAATTTAAGTGCAAGAAGAAAAAGTTTCATTTTTTATAATCTATACAGTTGTATTTATTCATCTCATTAAATTTTACAGGTTTGTTTATTATATGTCAAGTTTAAAACGCAGACAGAAAATTTTAGGAAGTAGATTCATACTTTGCAACATAGTCAAAATAATTACACTAGCGCTTGTCGATGAATTGATTATGTGTATTCACAATCCTCATACATCCGGTATAATGAAAGCCCTAATATACTAATAATATCCCATTATCATCTTGCCTTGATTTGATAGAAGGTCATTCAACTTGTCTTTAATATTATCAATATTTTCTTTTGGTGTATCTGGAAGACAAAAATTTCAATAACTTTACCCATGGTATAAATTCCTAACAAAAATGGCCACATTAGGAATTAGTATTGCTGTGATGAATCTTTGACTATAAAAATGTTTCACAAATTATTTATTTAAAAAAATAGTTCAAACAGATCATTCTGAGTAACCAACAATATTTTGTCATATTAATTATACCCAACCCTGGCTCCACACAAAGACAACTTCATAGAAATATTAAAAATAGGATATTCTCTCCTAAACCTTCATCTGTGTATTAAATTATATTCCTTACTAGACAATGAAACAGTACATTTCTGTATCATGCTCAATTTCATAAATAGATTTCCCATATCGGGCATCGGTAAGACTGGCATTACACTGCTGATAACCTTAACCAACTGCAATAGGACTGCAACTGCAATGCACATAAATTCACTCATTTAAAAACCACAATATGGTCACTGAAAATCCATACACTAAAGGCAATGTATCAAAAATAGAGAGCGATTCTAAAATGTTGATTTTGTAATTTAAGACCTTATGCCTCGCAATCAGATATGCCAAGCCATATTTAATTGATAAACAATTAGCGGTCAATGAATACATAAAATGGAAAAACAACATATGGTTCAAGATAATTGCTTTGATCTATAATGAATTTATTGTTTGTTTTTGTCACCAGGTCTGCTATTGTAGGGCAGAGCTAAATGACGTTTTTTTTATAATATAAAGCAAAATGAGATTTATTATATTATATTCTATTTTTATTACAAATTTTCACGCTTTCATTCCAAACAACATTTTTCTAGATTGGCATTGCCTAATAAATTCATTACACCATGAGTTTGTGGACTTATGTAGAAATATCACCAATTTGATAATACAGAGTGTCCTATTACAATTTCAGTTTCATTGTTTTTCAATATATCTTAACTATGTTTGTTTCAATTTAATCAGTATTTAAGTTTTTTATTTCAACTAATACTCCTTTATATGCCAACCATAATTGCACAAGGCAGGTTTTAAAGATCTTTTATTTAATTTAAAACAGGATTTTGTGAAAACCTGTATTTCTATTTGCCTTTCGCTCTTTGTGAATTGCTCAATTCAATTTCATAAGGAATTCATTCCATATCAAACAGCATTCAATTTTAACCACATTTAACACTAATGAAGGATTTTATTTTTCATTTGAAATTGAAAGTAAAATAGTGCCTAACCATATATACTAACCCAATAATATATTCCATTCACAGCAAAAATTTCAAAGTCCGTGACACAAAGCTGAAAAAAACGCGGGTGCTGCTACGCGATTAACGCCTATGATTGTTTTAGAAAGGAAACCAGCAAAAATGATAGGACGATAAGTGTCATGAATTTTAACCAATCAGCAAGCTTTATCAATCAACTGTCAGCTTATCTCCTTCCCTCCTATAGCATGACCCAGCTATCCTTATCAGTTTATCTCCTGTTCTAACAAAATCTACAGCTATATTTAAAAGCCTATAAAATATATAGTATGTTTGCATTCAAACAACCATCCAAGCCAACTCTCTTTAACAACAGTAAAAAAAGTTTCCTTCTTTGGCTATACATACCGGCATTTCTATTTGCTAAAGCTATTTATGAATGTAAGAACTTATTTTCTCCTCCTGCTTGTTAAAGAAAACTTATATTCAATCTAGTGCAGAGTAGAACTGTGAAACATCACAGACAACAGCTCGTGCATAATTTATAATATTGCGTCCCTGACGAAAAGGATGAAATTTTGTCTGTCAATCACTCTCTTGAAATAGCAAAAAAAAATGAACTGGTTATGACTAGTATTATCCAGTATGCATAAGATTGCTATCAAGTATTAAACGAATTGAATGATGTTTCAATTCAAAAGTGATAATACACAAGCTTAAGAAAAGATTGTTCAATTCGTTTACCAGATCATCTGGGTGATCAAATCTAATAAAAACAAATATTCTAGTGTATTTGTATTGAATTGTAAAAACCAAAGGCTCTAGAATGATGAAATATGATATTTGGCTAAATGAAATTTCGGAACTTGAAACAAGCAAAAAGGTGAAGCTAATTACTGCCATCTTGCGGATCAATTGATGAAACAATCATGAAGCAAGAATATTTTGATGACACATACCTTCATTTATCTCTTGAGATTTGGATATGCTTTTTAATTTGTTTAGTTGGTCTGTAAAATAAAATGATAATAGTGAACCTTTATAATGCAGTAAAAATACCTAAATTACTTAAAGAGTTATCAAACTTGTCAAATCATCTAGCATTTTGATGGAAGATTTGAAAATACATGCCATTTTTTTAAGCAGTTCTAGAGATAACATATAAAACGGTCTTGAATATAATATTCTTTTTGTAAACAATTTTGTAGTCGACTGATTCTAATCACTCCCACCTCAATCAGAAAATCTAGTAATATAGACTAAAGTTGCATGAACATCATTTTTAGCAAAAAAAAAAAATTCAGTTATGAATTATAGGAAAGCAACCAGATAATGTACATTCCAAATATTCTAATATAATATTTTTGAACTGGAATGTCCAGGATACTCTAAATGGGTGGACAAATAAGATATAGAATGCAGTGTATATACATTGAGTTTGAATTTGAAGAGCAGAGAGTCGATTGGTTTTCTACTTTTTACTTGCTGTGAGGCTTCAATCCCATAAAATGACAATTTCCAAATGAACTATTCTATATTACTGCCAAAATCAATAATTTAAAATGGCTAATATATTTGGATTCAATTCATTTTGGACATCCCTGCATAAAGTTAATTAAGCATGAAGTCACCTCTCATATCATTCATCTCCGTTTGATATTTTTCGATTTCTTCGAGTGAATCCTCGAGTCGTTGTTTCAAATCATTCGCGCTTTCTTCTAACCTCTGAATATTTTTCAAATGATCCTCGTTTTCATCTTCCAAACTTTTCTGAACTTCTTTATGCGTTCTTTCTGCATCCTAAATTAGTAGAAAGGCGTTAATGCCAATAATCAGCTTGATTGACACAAAATCACCAAGATAATATATTGAAAATGAGAGCCGAAGATGACAAAACTCACTTCTTTCTTAGATTGTAGATTGTATTTTTTAACCATTAAATAGTCCAATAAGAATTCTGATTATGATTTTATTCACTTCTTAAACAAAGCATCTAACATCACATTAAAACAATTTGTAGGACAGTACATCCTAATGATTATTTAGAGCAGGGGTTCTCAAACTTTTGATTTTATGGGGCCCGTGAAGCGATTGATTATTATTCACAGAGCCCCACATTAGATTTATAAAAATAGAAAATATTTATTGGAACTTATAGATAATGTCATATTCAAATTACCGCCTTAATTATTACCACATTTTGACGCTATCTTTGTCAAATTTTAATAATGTTGTTATTGCTTCTTTGGATAGTTACAAAATTAGCCAAGTCAGTATTTTAATAAGTGAACGAATAGCTAGCACAGAGCCCCAAGGTTTCTCTCATGGAGCCTCTGGGGCTCCGTACAAAGCACTTTGAGAACCCCTATGATTTAGTGCATTTGCCAAACTGGGATAGCAATATATAAATGACAGAAAGATCAGGTTTGAGAATGAGTCAAACTTGCAACTGTCTGGAAAAACACCCGATTCCCTACTCCAAGCTGTGAGTCATTTAAACAATGCATTCGACACTAGGTTCGATCTTAACGAATTTATATTACAAAACTTTATCGTTACCTTTAATTGTCTATTTGGAATACTGAAACAAGCAACTGTGCAATGAGAAACAACTTTCCTATTTAAATGTTACATATTTAATACTCCTTCAAGGTTTTAGGTTTTTAAAAGGCAAGAATACTGTAACAGTGGCATAAATATAAAAATATGACAATTACTTGGGCTTTTTCTGATATTTTTTGTGATTCCCTGACATGAATTTGATGCTTTTCAGAAAGTTCTTTCAACGCTTTCTCTGTTTTTGCACAAACATCTCTCAGGTGAGTGCATTCATCTTCTGTGTTACTGTACGAACGCTGAAACAAAGATTAAATATTTGTTGATTGAGAAATAGATATTTAACAATGTGAATTCCTTTGAAAAGAATTAAAAAAATTCAATTTTTATAAATTATAAAATAATTTTGTTAACTCGAAGTAGTCAAGAGAAAAGTTCAAAACAAAATATGCTGCAATCAGTGCAATTTTCGGAGTTTGGCAATTTTGGCCTCCCAAAAGCAACATGGTCTACAAACAACTACTAAAAATAGTTCTGCAACAGTATGAAAGAAATCCATACCTCCAGGTTTCCTAGTTTTTGTTGGGCCTCCAATTTTTCACCAAGAACTTGGCGTAATGTTTCCTGAAAAACCAAACAATTTTTATTGAAATATTACACCAAAATGTAGAAATGTTTTGTACACACATTGAATTAAACTTACAAAAAGACAGCAGTATATTCTCACAAACTTATCTATATATCACACATCTATATGCACTTGCTTGGATGAAGTTAAAATAAATGAGGTTACATGCATGGATGCATCGATTTTTAGGAAATAGTGTGACAATACCTTTGAGGTAGTTTCATAATTGTGTTTTTCTTCTTGTAATTGAAGTAATTCTTTCTGTGTGCTCTCTTCTGACAGTGTCTGAAATGATGAAAATTAGTTTTTATAAATTTCAAACTTTCAGAAATATTTCAACCCGCATCCATACACAGTGTATATCAATGTTTTGTCTCGAAGGGGAAAAAATAAAATATAGATTAAATAAGATAGTTGCAAATTACTCAAGACTCAGTAGCACTTGAAATTTACCACCAAATATGCCACTATACATTCTTTTAATTGGCTGGATTCCTAAAATTAGAGTGATAATAGTAGCATATTTATTCAGATTAAATACTACAGAATAAACTGTTATTTAACATGCCATTCAAATGATATTTAAAATAAATAATAGTAGATTTTAAATGAAATGACAATAAAAAAGAAAAAATGCCATACTTTTGCGTAAGTTTGCAGTTGATTTTCAAGAAATTCAAGTCTTGATAATAATTTATCTTCATCTATAAGTGCTTGCCATCCTTTCTCAGATGTTTCATGTGAATCTGATACAAGTCTTTGTAACAGTGCTAGTTTCTGTTCAAGCATTTGTTCCCTGTGCAACGCTTCCTGAAAGAATTGTTACTATTGTAAATTTTATTTTCCTATTTTAAAATGGACCCTATAGATAATTGGATATAATATATTGAGTGCTCCTGAAGTATGCGCACCAAGATATCACATAACCTAAACCCTAACCTGGTACACAACCTGAGCTCAAGTTGTGCGCCATCTTGGTGCACATACTTCAGGAGGTCCATATATTGCAAAGATTGGCTCACATGAATGAAAATAAGCATATATTATTTGAAACTTATCCTAATAGACCTGGAAATTGAACTGTGTAGAATATTGTTGAGGGTATTATTATCAGGAGAGAAGGCAAAATGTGAGGCAAGACTCCATCCATTTCATTCAGGCAATTGGTTATTTACAATGTTTTTTATTTTTCGAAGTAATTTCCTTCCAGGTTTTTGCTATCTTTTCCTTGGGGAAGACCATTGATAAGCATCTGCTGATAATCAGGGAGTTATTATACTTTTCGACAGGATCTAAATTTCCGAGTTTGGTAAAATCTATCAATTCATGTGGTGGATAGAGATCATCAGTATATGACATATATCAGAATATTTTGATCTGAAATTTGATTTTCAGACAGATATCAATAAATTTGCACAAAGTTTTTGGTGAATAAATACCTCTACCAACTGCACCAAACATTGTTACGGGCAAGTGGTCATTTATATTTAATAAAGACCACACAATGACAAAAGAAACCAGATTTGATTCAAACCTGTGATGTCAACACCATATCATCACATCGAAACAGTGAAAAAAGTTATGCAAATACAATTGCATTGAATACGACAAACCAGAGTTTCCTAACTCAAAATGAGAGAAAAAATAGAAAGATGAACCAACTTGATTGACTTCATAACTTGATAAATTATTTTTATTTTTTATAAATTATCAACTTATTTTAATTCATTCCATATTAAAATTAATATTTCAATGACTAAAAGTATTCCACGAAATTGTCAGGTCTGTTACATCACCTTTTAATCAAAGAAAAGAACGAAACATCAAGGGAGTTAGTTGGTTATTAATAAAATGTCTAAGACTAATAATGTGGTTGAATGTGGAGCATGATTAAATTTGAAATATAATAAAGAATAACAAATGATGCATTTAACATTATTAACATCACAACAAATATCAGTAACCAATCACAGCTTTCCGCCATATTGATAATTCAAACATGTATAATAGAATAGCAAAGTCAACCATTAATAATAAAGATGCTATAAGTTTGGGTTATGAGAGACAACAACAAATTCTTTGTTATGCCCACTACATTACTAAGGGTCTGATAAATTGGGTAGGTGGTTGAATCTGAAAGACTCCAAAAATATTAGATCTTAAAGTATCTTGTTTAAAGCCTTTCTCAGATAAAGATACGAGTATCGAGAGGCCTCACAAAAAATCTGAAGGGTACTGAAAGTATACAAAAATATATTGGTTATAAAGTTGCTTACTTGTAAATATTGATGAAGTTGATATAAATCTTGTGATTGTATTGTTGGATATACAAGGTTATGTGGAACCTAAAAAATTGATGATGGTTAAAAAAAATTGCAACGAAGAAGACAAGTTTATTTGAGGACTTTAATATATAAAATTGGATTTTGCAAGACATGTATTCCCATACATGAAATAGTTTTTATAATACTAGAAAGCGACAGCAATGGTATTTTAGTCTTTTCAAATAAATAATCAGCAGATAATAATAGGATAGTCCAGGGGTGCACAACCTTTTTGCTATTTGCAGCCACATTGCATTTATTTGTACTCTGCCTCAAGGGGGTTGATGACGTCATAACCGCGTATTTGACCCATGCGAGGTGCAGTCTGCCCAATTATGAAGTATGAAGTATAATATTCGCATTTTAAACAGATTTTCTTTTCGGTGGACCTATTCTTGAGCAGATTTATTGCAGCAAGTTGCATAATGGTTGCACAATTTTAATAAAATGTCAAATATTCTAATGAATTTATTCTATAAAAGTTTGCAAAGCATAGCCGCCAAATCCTATATTTTGAACTTTTTTGTTTGTTTTTTGTTTATAGGATTTTGAATGTGGACGGCCGCATTATTTTTGCACGACGGTCACAGGTTGTGCACCGTTGGGATAGTCTGATGTGGAAGTTTTGGACATAAATAAAATAATGTTTGAAAAATATATCAGAATTGATAAACAATATCGAGTTTGTGAACAAACGAGTCCTTGAAATTGTCAGTAATGAGAGATACATGAAAAGAGATTTTAATTCAATAAATACAATAAAAAGTTATTCCTTCCATTTTAAAATCAAACTTTTGAATCATTGTATTAATTGATGAACTTTAGACGATTCCTACCCCACCAAACTACAGGTTGAGGAAACATTAAAAATTAAACAACCATTAATAAACAGAACACAATGTTACAAAAAAAAATAATAAACTTTTTAAGCAAAAATTACTCACTTTATCCAATAGATGTGATGTCAGAGATACGTCACTGTGAGAAAAAAGAAATAGAGTTAAATCTGTCGAATAACCTTCAAAACACGGGACAGCTTCAATAATGTTATACAGAATGTAAAACAACATGATATGGATTGAACATTGCTTTTTTACACAGCATCTAGAATTCATAACTTATTGTGTATTGTATTTGTATTGTTCTGGGTTGACTGAGACAGGGTTATCCAAAAAATTTAATAACATAAACCAAGTTTTTAGTACATTTGTATTACAACTTACAAGTCAAAATTGTAGAATACTAACAAATTCTGACACTGACATAGACAAGAGTTCTATTATTTCAAGCCATGTAAGGAAAACAAGGGTGATCATCATAAATACTGAATGAGATACATGACATTGAAGACTAGGAAAACAATCGCCTTTACAAAATGAGGTCATCAATCCAAATATATCCTAAGGAGTTCATAGAGTCGTGGCAAACTCGTAAATGATCAAATAAAGCAAATTAAAAGTCCGAAAAGTCATTAGTGATTCGATATGCAAAGGTCAACAAATCAACACTGAAGTTTGTCACATATAAGGTGAACTGGCTATCAATAAATAACTCATACTTCATGTAATGGATAAATCAGATAAATCTATAATATAACATGGATTTTGAGTTGAGAAATTAGGTCAAACTAACTAACTATATAGGAAAATTTTTGAATAAAATTAAAATAGAAAAAAATTTAAAACAATATCTGGCAATAAAGGTGAAAGCTCTCACTGCCCTTTCCAATCAACTTATGTTGACAAATTTAATTTAGAAGCATGACTGAGCAGTAACGCTATGCAAAATCATCCTAAGTTTCTTTGTAGTATCATGACACATTCAATGTCATAACAAATCTTAAGATTATCACTTATTATTACATGGCAAAAAATTCTTTGCCAGGAATTTTTATGCTTGAATAAATATAAATAATCAAACATTGTCAGACTAAAAAAATGACATCATCAAAATAGCATGGAAGCATTTAAACTGGGAACAGTTTCAACAGATTTAGTAGCAAGGACATCACATACCTCTGCATTTCTTGAGTGTTCCCTCTCAGTTTTTAGTACAAAATAGACAAAACTAAATTCGTTGGCATATATTTTTGAAAATGAAACTAGACTTAAAAACAATTAATGAAGAACAAAGCGATATACCTATTGTCAAAGAATATAACAATCTACCCACAAAAAGAAAAATAATTTACGATTGGAACACTATGCTGACAGCATTCAGTGTAATGTTACAGGTTTGAAAACAGTCAGTTGGGACGGGAGTATTTTGTAACAGTGATCTTGATACACATAGACACAGAATAAAAATGTCAATTGAAAAACAAAACATGAGATGGTATTGGGGCTGGTATACAAATATGAACAAAACTGAATGACATACTACTCCAAATTCAAAAAATAATATTTTTCAATATTCAATTTGTAATATCCAATATTTCTAAAATGTGTCATGTAGAAGCCATTTTCACATGTAGAAGCCATATTTTTTAACTAAATTTAAATTTCAAATTGTTTTTAATGTTTTTAAATGAGGTTTGCAAGGTTTTCGATGTTTTTTGGTGTATTTTCATGGTTTACTTTCTTCTAAAATCAAGAAATAATTATTTTCGAATCGATTTGAATATCCGATTTGTTTATGAATGCTACTAATTTACAGTAAGGAAGGAATCGGGTTCAATTTTTCAAACCTAAATCATGTTATTCTAAGTTTATATCAAAAGTTTCTAGTGATCAAGCATGGCGAGAGATGGTTTTGTCGGCTAACTAGGACAGAATCGTGATATATACCTTGCTCAATTATCACATTAATTAAGAGAATGACAGTCATGACACTACACCTGTCATGAAATTATGACAACCAATAACAGTCTTAAGTTTAAACCATTTCGAATAAGTATTTATCCTATGTGTGTTGGTAAAGTAAGTTGATACAACAAGGTATTTTTTATGTTCATAAATAAGATATAAAAAAGATGTCATGGTGTCAAATGAGTTCATCAAAATTGCCCAAGGGGGGAATCACATAAGATAAAGATTTGACATCTTCTACCTTGTTTGATATCATTTTCAGATATTATCAAGAATCACAATTAAGCATGTAAGGATTTTATTCTGGTTTTGTTACAACATCTAAAGTGTAGCAACTTAAGATTGAATATTAAATAAATGTTTCGAATATTTTTCAAATTAAATTCAATCTGCTGTCTTTGCAGTCGATTAGAAAATTTTATTTTAGTCTATACACAAACATTTTTCCTACATGTTGTGCTATTTATACATGTGTTTTCATGGAATGAATTTTCTAAAATTTACTTTTACATAGGATTCTTTGGTAGGAACTGCTTAGTGATTTGATCTAATATTATAAGTGAGGTGATTTCTTCGCTTGGGGATAAGTTAATGCAGAAATACAATGTCAGACACAATATAGTTGTTTCAAATATTAATTCAACAAATATTTTTACATAACTTATATTGATTAATTTATAAATTACTTCTTGTCTACAATCAATTTCTTCAATCAGTCTCTATTCATTACAGAAGTTATCACAGCATATTTTAGACATCAATATTAGAAAATACCATGCCATTTCAAAATTATCTCGTAAGGCAAAGCCTAATAATCTATTATTTTACTGCTGAATATAATATATATTAAATTATGGAATACATCCCAAGTTGGCTCGTGTTCATAAACAACACATATGAGTCAACATATGAATAAATAAAGTAATATAATTTGTAGATAAATAGTAGTTTTATTGGTGGCAATATTTTTTCAGAATTTTCAAGTTTTCGTTGACTTTTAATCTTACTGTGAGACTTCAATTGTTCATGATAATCTTTCAAATGAAACTATTTCAGAATCAAGAATTCTTAATTTCAAATGTAATCAGAACAGAATCACATATTTGACTAATTACATACAAACAACCCAGGTAGAAAACTTATTTATATTCAATCTTCACTGAAAGTTTATAACGGTAGTTTTTATATCAGCACCAGGTAACTGTTTCCTATGCAATTTCTTCATATTCCAATATGAGGAAAGGTATTTAGCCATTCTCAAGCACCTTATTTGTATATTAATTTGAAGCAGACACTATCTATATCATTGATAAAAACTTCACCATCCATGGGTGTTTCTATTTTTATTGCCTACATATTTCTATTGTATAAAAAATGAAGCACAATGGGAAATGTGTTTGAGTTTTTGACTTGAATTGTAATTTTGTTTATTCAATTGTGTAACTGAATCATAAAATGTACAACATTATTAACACTTTTATATTGGATAAATGAGCCTGTTTACGCCAACCACAATTTCAAAATATAGAGGAAAAATTGTTGGAGGAAAACCTACACGTTACATGAGCATTTTACCTCTTTAGATAATGTATATTTCAGTCGCAATTGGCCTATTTATTGCATCTATCCATAAAAATTTCATATCTCAAATCAGTCACAAGGCACAAGTTTGAAAATATCTAGCCATTCAAACATGAAAATTATTGATTTCTCTATCTATTGCCAATATATTTTTAAAAGTATTCTATCCAATTTATTTAATCGCTAAACCACAATACTCTAAGATCACAAATATTTCATCCTTTTTAAACAGCTGTTACTGGAAGACTAAATATTTGAATACAACTAGTCAACTACTATACAGTGCACCATCTATACAGAAGTTCCTACAAATGCTGAACCAAAAGCACCAACAAAGAGTAAATGTCAAATAGACAGCACCACAAAGAGCAGGACAGCCCAGGAAAGTGTGAATTACTCAGTCACAGGGTCATGTCTGACTCATTATTTTTACTGCTTTCTACCACATCAGTTCACTGGTGTGAACAATTCAGAATAGCCCACTATGCAGCCCATATTAAAAGCTATTCAATATAAATAAACAACTCTTCCTGTATGAAATTTGATCAATCCAATAGCATGGATAGTATTTTATCATCGAAGAATTTAATATATAGTTGAATGCTATGCAGAAGCCAAAACCAAGGACAATTCTCGATTATAGTACCAATTTTGAATATTATTAATAGTATAAACGGTGCAGCTTCTATGTAAAAAAGGTTGTACTGATTGACTGTCAGCCATGTTTATCTACGGCCATTGCAAATGAATGTAAAGAATTATTCAGCCAATATCTACACATCAACATCCATTTACATTCTAATAACAAATAACTTTTGAATAAACTACTATTGCTTGTTGTGATAAATAAAAGTCATATAATTACCTTTGTTTGGCTTCATCACCATTTGGAAGATATAAACGTACTTGTGAAACAATACAGCCATGAGTTACTAAAAATTAAAAATATAGTATTATTATATAGTGAAATAGTAAATTTACTGAGAGAGATGGAAGTATCTGAAGCATTACAACTAAATATTACCTTCTATATATAGAATGCTGTTATGTAAACCGCATGAGTAGAAAAATATCACTATATGTACCACATATTACATGCTATACCGTAATTTAAACTTAGAGGGTAAGCAATGGTGTGTATGACTAAGGATGATCATATGGTTTCATAATCGAGAAATTTGATTGGAGATTAGTTTCGAAATTTGATTATGTAAGGAATGATTTTCGTCCCAGGGAAGAATGTTACTATTTTTGGGGAGAAACTTCTGTACCTGCGTGTAGTATAACAAATATTGACTCATTTAGCAGTATTGTAATACAAATTTATACATTTATTACAAATTGTACGTGAGCCTGCATGCAAGATGTGCATATCATCAGCTAATTAACATTGCAAGGGGGAATGATGAGTTTCATAAAATATAAAGGGGGAATGTATCAAAAAAGGTAGGAAACTATCAATCTAAATATATGAATGTATTCTGCAAAAATAACCTATCTGCTGGATTTTCATCCATAAAATTATATAAAAATCACTAAAAGCGGTCATGCATATAGAACGTATGGATACTTTTGATTGATATACCTAGTATATGTGTTATACCTAGTATATGTGTTATAAAACTGATATAAAAATAAACCAAAAGCATTGCAGTTCATTTCGAGAAAGGACATATTTTATATTTACAGAATCCCCATCGGAGCCATTTGTGTATACCCTATTACTACGACAGGATAAGTAGGATTGGACTATTGAGTGTCTTGTTCAAGTGAATGAATTCAAACTGCTACTCGAGAATTGTTTGAGGCATGAACTAGAACAATTACGAGAGGTATAAGCGCAAAATCAAAAGTTGTTTAAATCAATTTGATTGTTCGTGGACACACATGACTGCATTGCTACGATAATTTAATTATTCAATATTAAACTTCCAATATATCTAAAATTTGAAATTTAAGATAATTCAACTTTACAAGTGAGAATATGATTTGTAATTCATAGGTGATTATGCTAATGAGCTTGAAAAAAAATCTTCCAACTTATTACGAGTTATCATAACATACTTGTTATGTTAAATTGAAAGGAATATCCAGCAGAAAGTGAACAGTAAGCAAGGTTCAAAACCGAATAATATACAATTCTAAATACATTCTGAAATAATGTTTGGATATGATTATTAAATATATTCTAATTGGGCCATGTTAAAATAAAACATAAAGAAGTCAAGTTGCATTGCATTCAATGAGTTTGAATTTGCAAATGCAGGAAGGTTAAGATGAATAGCCTAGTGATTTGATTGGTCAACTATTTATTGTATACCTCCTAATGAGGCCGTTTCATATATAATGTGGATTGTGGAGGTTAAAATGATAAATTTTGAAATGAATCTCTTCTAAATTATTCCTAAAATCACGAATTTAAAACATCAAATATAATTAATTTAGAATTGATCAGTTTTGAACTTCCATTCGGTCAATATGCATCATTCTCTTTTGATACCTAATTGGCTTATTTTTAGGTGGTGGCTGGTTCTCCAGTTCGTACAACTTGCATTTTTAACAAAGTTAAAGCCAAATTCATGATACATTTACAGGAGTGGTATTCAACAAATACAAAATTTAGATGCAGAAGAATATTATATGGAACACTCAAAAGATATTGTATAATACTGTCAAAATTTCTACCAATACAATCAATGTAATTTCAATATTTAAAGATTGCTCCTAGCAAATCTGAATGAGGAACTTGCAACAAAAACAAATTCTTGCTTTATATAACTGGACTAGACTACCAGAACTAATCTTTAATAAACCACAAACTGATTTAAATATAACAATTAACAATGTCAGTCAATGCTATATAACTTATCATATCTCACTCAAATCACCACTCCATTATCTAGAATTATAAGAAAAACACCAAGTCACCTCTTCTTGAGTTCTCCACCACATCAACGCCGAACTGCACAATGTCACCAGAATTTACTTCGAATGGCATACTTTCTTCAGCACCTTTACTTAATCTTTGGTTATTTACAAAAGTCCCATTACTGCTTTTAGTATCTTTCAAATAAAACTGAAGAAAAAGAAACATAAGATTAGATTGATATAGCATACTATATTTCCATCACATTGAAGGATAATTTTCTCGATCAAAGCAAATCTACACTATTGAGATGAAACATCTTGTACATCACCAAAGTAATCGTATAATGGTGTTAGAATATATATCATAGGCTACCTATTTCGTGTCATGTCTTTTGCTCAGAACAAGACCCTGTTACTACAAGCAAGCTGGTATCTAACGATATTTAGAGCTCCTATTTTCTAGAGGAATTGGGAAGTCTGTTACGGAATTGACAACTCAATTATTGAGATGGTGGGCATGAGATGTTTCCCTGAGATGTCTACAAAGTCAACTGTTGACCCATTGTGCCCACACAAGTTGTTTTCATTTCCGATTTATAAGAACAAAACCTAATTTCATTTCACATTAAAGTTTCAATTTCATGAAATTCCAACTAAAGTTTACCTTGCCATCTTCATACCATAACAAGGCATGATTTCTTGACAGAACTTTACAGTCAAATATTGCATTGTTTGCTGCTGGTCTCGCTCTGGCGACTGAACGGCCAATTTTAGCTGGCTCCGTCAACGAAACTCTCCTCTCTTGGAATGGATGAGAATTTGTACGACAAGTGAATGTTGCAGTCATTTCTGAAATTATGATTTCACTCATATCAAAAAAAAAAATATGAAGCAGCACCATGTTTTATCATTGAGATGTGCTTTTAACTCTTGTTTTTATAAAAATACTAGGTTGACCTTGCTTTTCTGCAGTTTTGATAGATGTCCAAATAAAAAAGCCAATATCTGAATATATATACCATACTCATGAGAGAAAAGGAACAGTAGCAGCCTGCAAGAACAATACATGGTTATTGACGAGCAAAATAATTACTCAAAAATAGCAAGTTTACTAATCATGGAATCCAAAATCTCGATACAATACAGCAATACCAAGAAGCATACCTCTGTCTCAAAATAATCTGTTCTTACCTGTTTGTACTTAGGGTGATATATCCTCAAATTGGAAATTGCTCAAAGGTACTTTTGCACTTCACCAGTGTTGAAGAACACAATATGTAGTTGTCATTTTATTGCAAGTTTTTAGAATTCTAAATCAATTTACATGATGCTGTAGCTAGACTATCATCTGATCATAGTTATCGTCCAATGATATTAATAATAGTGTTGATATTGCTGTATGATGTAACAGTATAATGACCTCATGAACTAGTATATAACTGTAATATATAAAAAAAAATGCTTTCATATCAGTATTCAGGTATTACTGTATTAAATTGGATGTGAAACACATTAATTAAGGGTGTTTAACGAATTGTAAATAAAACATAAATTAATGATAAGCAATTACAGAAAACTGAACACCGATCTTTTATTATGCTGGTTGGAACTTATTAACTTGACTGTATTCTTGTAATACAAATAATCACACTTACTATCACCCAGTTAAATAGACATTATGAGATTGGACTATTTTAAATGAATGACAAAGAGGTCTTATTAAAGAATACTTGTCTATGACAGATATAAACATCTCTAAAGGAAACAGAATACTACTGCTTCAGGAACCACTCAAACGAATCAAAACAATACTATAAAATTACTTTCATATCAATCATGTATTATAATAATTGGCACAAGACTTGTTCAGTAAATTACAAAAAAATTTAAATGCCCAGAATATCAATCTTCGTCAATAGTAGGTACGCCTGTACGCTGGATTCAATGCTGGGACTGGGTTATTCATTTTTTATAGTTTGTGTCCACGTAATTCAATTTATTTTAACAGGATATAAATAAAATTATTATTTGATTCAAACCCTACATGATGCAGTGATCAAGGTTGATAGTTTGGAAGCAATTACAAAATTAAATATCAAAACTGAAGATAACTGATTATTCTGTTATTGTAACTAAGCGAGCAGTCGAGCTATAGGCCTTTTACATTTTTTAATTAGCTGTGGTACATCCTTTATATAAACATGCATTTTGTGATATTGCTGTAGAGTTGATTTAATGCAGCAATGGCCAAAATGTAGATAGTTTGATGTGATCAAATTTGAGTGTTTTTCAATGAAGTCATAATTTTTTCTGTATCCCCAATTCTATCTCCAAATTCAGCAATCAGCTTTTATTTATTTGTTTTTATCAATTATTTTTCGGCTGTTATGCTGATTATGATGTCAAAATAAACTTATGCTTAACTTATAACAGTATAACATATAAGAGGTGAGATTTATTCGGGAAAATATAATTGAAATAGAAAAGTCAGAAAGTTGAGCTCTGGCAGTCTGGTCAATTAAGTTGCTGAAAGAAGATCAGTCTGTCAGTATCAGTGTATGAGACAAGTTCAGGCACACATCAGTCACAAAAATTTCTAAGTTAGGAATACAACATGCGGACATAAACCAACATGAGTCCGATAGTAATATCAGAATATTGGGCTTGGGCCTAATAAAATTATGATTAAAATACCCTTAAAAATATTCTTTCACTTGTCTAAGCTTAATTAAGATTTTGTCTAAACAGACACAACAAATTTGGGTATAGATAATTATCAAAGCTAAAGCTGGGAAACCAGCACCATTGCCTATATAGTCTACTCACAACCTCCTAAAAGTGCACAACCCAAACTTCTGATTCACTGTCCCAGGATTTGCTCTTGAATTCGAAATAATAAAGACAAACAAAAGGCATTGGGAAGGGTTTACGTGAAAAATGGATTTGATGCAGCTCTCGGGCGCCGCTTATTGGATAAAAGAATAATGAACTTGAATCGTTTCAATCAAGAAAAACATTATCAAATCAAATAAAACAAGAGAGCTATGCCCAAATATATGCACACGTCTGTTCGCAGTACAGTACGGTTTACCGTACCGTCAGATCACAGTCTACAAATATATTCACACCAAGCGAAGCAGTACAGTAGGACACAAAATGGCGTCCGATGGCCGCAGAAAGTTTAATGACGTCATAGCAAACGAAAACAAATCTCACAGAGCTAGCAGACATATTTAAAATGAATAAAAGTAATATCTTCAACCACTGAAAATTTCAAAGCAATAGGTCCAGTATTCGAAGAGAAAAGCGTTTTTTTTCAATATTTCCACTAGGTGTGTTATTCTGTGTCAAACAACAAGAACAACATAATATTGAAACGATCGTTATGTCCACTACATGTCCAACAACAACATAATATTGAAACGATCGCTATGTCCACTACGTGTCCAAAAATGAAATCTAGTTAAGTCAATAATCCTGTCAAAACCAACATCATACATAAACCCTTTTCTCCATCGCGGGAAATTCCATTCAAATCATCATGAGTGGACATTTGGTCCCAAACATTTGGAAATCTTTCTTTTGTTTAGACTTTAGACTAAATGTAAAAATTACATTTGCCCTTGCACCAATGATATCCTGATGCAGGGTTTTCCAAACTGGGTGTCCGTGATGACTGCTCGAGGATTCTGCAACGACCGGAAAAGAGCTGGGTCAATCTTCAACGATTGATTTCAATCAAAACTCCATTGCTTATTTTTGGTTGACTGCGGCGGACGAATATTCATTGCTGTCAGAAAAGTCAATTAAAATTTATTGCATTTTGAAACAGCCTACATGTCTGCGCAGCATTTTCAGATCTTACCAATATGATGACAAAATATATGCCGAGATATGCCGTAGAGTTGGATCTAAGAATTTGCTTGTCACAAACTGCCCCGAGAATTGAGAAATTGTGCATTGAAAATCAACCGCGTTCATCACATTAATGTCGTTTGCGTTGTTGTGTTGTAAATGAAACATTATGTACCTCGTTGGTTAGGGACAGAAATTGTTACAGCATAGGATGGGGGTCCATCATAAATAAAATTCACAAACAGCGGTCCGCGGCCCAAAAGTTTGGGAAACTCTGTCCTAATGCATGACGTTTGACCAATGCAGTAAATATAAACCAAAGAGACTGTAAACCCTATTCCACTTGCAGATTGATTGGTATTTCTTCTGCATGAGAATTTTGCTGTATCTTACTCAGTCTTAGTCTCTGCCTAAACTTAACCACGCCACGTCCTAATTTAAACCCACGTGTATTTACACCCGCAGATTTTGGCACCCACACATAATTGGCACTCATGGGAGTTTGCAGCCCTGTAAATCCCCACTCATGGACACTATTGGTTTATTTTCGAATCATAGCTTATTAGGGATGTAAGCCATTTACACGAACCTCTCTGGTTTAATGAAAATATATCTTGCCAAGTAAAACTTTTATATATGGATGAATGAAATAGTAAAAATATTTGTTTTGTTGAAGATACTTGTGATTCTAAACAGCAAATTGCAATGTTTCCGCATATTTTTCATCCTTATTGTTTTTATGATGAGATGCTAGCGCAGGGCTACTCAACTATTTTCACCAAAGGTCCGTTTACGAAACTTCAAAATTACTGGGGTCCGGACATTACAGAAAATTTATTTCATCAAATAAACGAAAATTCAAATGCAATATTAAATTAAATACAAGAGCAATGAATGGCTCGCAAATATGGACACAAATAATATCGCCCATCGGTACCAGTACGACAAGCTGTATAGCTGTGTATTGTATCAAAATCATCTGAAACTATAAAACGATGCTTATGCTGCCAAAATAAACAAGCAGAGCGGTCCAAATATTATGGTCGAAAGGTCCGGATTCGGACCGCCAGTTGAGTAGCCCTGTGCTAGCGTATTCAAAAATTATATCATGTATATATACCCCAGGAATGGGAAACTAATTTATCAAAAACCTCACAAGTCAATCCACATCCTAGTCTGATCGAATCGTTTCAATCAAGAAAAACATAATCAAATAGAAAAACGGCCGAAAGAATTGTGCAGAAACTTAGATAATTGGTTGACATTGTATGAAAAAGTTTTTATTGCCCCATTGAATCCAGACATAGTTCATTCCATGTTAAATTTGCTTTGCGAGCAGTGCCCACTAATGACCTGCTATATAGAATAAATAAAACACAAAGTCCAAAAGTTACATTTTGTAATATGCATGTTGAAACTGTGTTACATTTATTTTATCTCTGTGAATTTGTGCAGCAATTTGGGGAAATAGTTAACGCTTGGCCAACCGTTGAATATGAATTAAAATATTTGAAAGGTTTAAATTTCCATTTGAAACATGGAGATATGTTACTGGGGGTAGGGTAAAACCAGGGTGTAAATTATGTTTTATTATGTGCCAGATATTTTATATACAAATGTAAACTGCGTAATGAAAGGCCTCAATTTTTATAGAGGACTTGCACGGGTCACGTGACCTTGTTACTGGACGGCAATAAAACAAAAACGTCCATTTGGCTCCTGTCAGTTGCAAGTCGGATTATACGTTTCCGTTTTGTTTGGCTGTTGAAAATGGTTATTTCGTATTTTTCCGCTGGCTGTACGTATAGTATAGACAACGAAATGGATCTTCAGCTATATTCCACTGTTTTCAAAAGATCCGGAACGTCGCGCATCTATTGGCAGGACTGCTTGGTGTCAAGTCCAGAAGCCATCTTACTTGTTTTTCACTGTTTGCGGACAGCACTTCGTTGATGGTGAGTCATGTTGTGCCGTTATCAATTTTTTTTAAATATTCATAAGCTCCCTCATTTCAATGGAAAGCAGATGACAAGCTACTGTTATTGGTAGGCATAGGCGTAGGCCTACCTGAGTACCTGCAGACTTGACTCGTGTAAGGTATTAATCAATAATTGCCATAAAGTATTGTTTCCCTAGTTAGCAGGTAATCTATTAGTAAGTGTGAAAATTTGAATAGATAACTAAAGTTTAACGCCAGTGCTAATGCAAAAAATAACCAGAATTCAATTGAATTCTCTGAGGATACGCTCGCCACCGCAACTCTGATCCCCCTGGGAGTTTCACAGGTTCCAATCCCATGCGGGGATAGTTATGTAACTTATGTGCGAGGGGATTGCAGCTCTCCTCCCACTAAGGGTGGTTCCTGGTCGATTACGACATCCCCCATCATCAAGTCCATGGTTCTAAAACAAATAACTGGCTAACTAATCCCGACATAGAATGGTAATCGTACGATGTTGCACCTTGCAATCTGTCCCCGACCACAGATAAATTCTATCCTAAAAACTTGGTAGGCATAGTTGCGTTTTAAATTGAAAAAAATCTTCATTAATGGTCAGAAGGTGTTGTCTGATTGTTTTGTTAGTTGGCAGGTAATTTATTACTGATCTGATACACAAACTTGGCACTGTCAAATGATGATTAGTGTTTAATTTATTTTCAGGAAAAAGGGAAGATAACCCATTATCAGCTGCTTACATGTCCCATCGATATTTGAATTTTCGCCATCCCCAGAGAAGAAGAGAATAGTTAGAAAAAGGAGGATTTTGAAATTGAAAGGCAAAAGGCAGGATCATTTCAACAAATTCTGTTAACTTGTATGCGTTGCAATATTAATTCACAGTTGTTAGCATAAACATTTAACGTGTCTTTCGACTAGACCTACCACACTTTTAAAAAAAAGCCGCCTACACCCCTTTTCACTAGAACCATACTGTTAAATATTTGATAGAAATTACCCCCGAGGCATCATATCTTCCATTCGAAAGGGCTGTGGAGGCAGATACATTTTTTACTCTAAATTATGGAATGTTACTTCCAGGTTTTCTTATCCTTGCTTATAGATATCTTGAGGTTAGTGACTCCAACTGACCCATGCATGTCACACTGAAAATTCTCTTGTGTACCCATAAAATAAGGCTGTTGGAGCCTTCAGACCTTGAAAACAGTCGAATCTGAGCACGATGGATTCATGTGAAACACATACCGTAATACACGTAATATGCATTTAAAGGCAAAAATATCCCATCCTGAGCAGCACCGATCCACAACATCCTGCCTATGGAATCAAAACATTGGACAAATTGGTGTACTGTGCGCATTCACAAATTTTTGCGAATCAAGTGTACCTTTTGACTAAAGAAAATTTAGCATTGAAATGGTCAATCTCAATATCAACCTAGTATCTGCAGATAAAACCAATTGTTTTTTAAAAATACATTTTTGATGTGCTTTATTTTTCAAATATAATTTATAATTACTGTAAAGTGTGTGATACATTTGGTACCATGAATACTATTTGCAAATTAGCTTGGGTTACACCCCTCTCAAATAAAAGTTTAGACTCTTGAGTCGTATCTCATAATATTCTTTAAACAAAAGGTTGCGGCTAGCCGGCTACCCATCAGAATTTCCTTTCAGATCACAAAGTCGCAATATTATGCCTCGCTTAAGTTTCATTGGCAACTGTATCTGGTTGTAGTATCGGTGTCCAACGTTAGACTGAAACCTTCACGACCAGACCCACCGAAACAATTTTTTTTTCTTGATAGGGTCGTCTTGAAGTTGATTTCGTTAAAGCACAATGGACACTTTATCTCCACCAATCCACAGTAATGACAAGTTACTTTGTCATTACGATAAGCATCAATAAATGGATACTGAGGATGTATTATCAAGTCACGCAAGCTGAGGTCTTGTGCCACTGTGGTCTTGTTGCAACTTATACTTTGCCATCCATCTATTCCATGGTCGCACCCATATCTGTAAGATAATGGATACAGATAAGAGTTTTCATAAAATCTAACGATCAAGGAGTGTGAAATTTATGTCCATATCCCACCACAGCCACTAGTCGTAAATGAATTCGATTCCGGGTAGCATATCTTTTTTACCAATGACAATAAAAAGACATTTTGAATCAGTTGTACAAGCACCATTAGGATAGGATTTATCTTGGGGGGAGCCAGTTATTTGTTTTCAGAAGCATGGACTTGGATGGTGGGGAATGGTCGTAACCGATCAGCGGTCATGTGAACCACCCTCGGTGAGAGTGGAGCTGCAATCCTCTATCACATAACTATACCCGCATGGGATTGAAACCTGTGAAACTACCAGGGTGATCAGAGATGCGGTGGCGAGCGTATTCCAAGATGGCAAATTCAATTGAATTCTGGTTATTTTTTGCATGAACACTGGTGTTAAACTTTAGTAATCTATTCAACCTTTCACACTTAGTAATAGATTACCTGCTAAGTAGGGAAACAATACCTTATACTAAGGCTTATAGCAATTGAATATTAATTCCTTACTGTCTTACACAAGTCCAGTCTCCAACTGCAAGTAGGCCCACGCCTAGGCCTACTAATAACAGTAGTTGATTATTAGATTAATTCCCTACTGTCTTACACAAGTCAAGTCTGCAACTAGGCCTAGGCCTACTAATAGCAGTAGTTGATTATTAGATTATTGATTATTAATTTCTTACTGTCTTACACAAGTCAAGTCTACAACTGCAAATAGGCCCACGCCTAGGCCTACTGATAACAGTAGTTTGTCATCTGCTTTCCATTGAAATGAGGGAGCTTGTGAATATTTAAAGAAATTGATAACGGCACACTATCACCACATTATCACTCACCATCAACGAAGTGCTGTCCGCAAACAGTGAAACACAAGTAAGATGGCTTCTGGACTTGACACCAAGCAATAGATGATATCCACATTGCGCGACGTTCAGGATCTTTTGAAATCAGTGGAATATTACTGAAGATCCATTTCGTTTTTTTTTTAAAGGTCCACGTTGTGGATTCATAACAGTTTTGTAAAAATAAATAAATGATGAAAAAATAATACGTACAGCCAACAGAACAACGAAATACCCATTTTCAACAGCCAAACAAAACGCAAACGTATAATCCGACTTGCAACTGACAGGAGCCAAATGGACGTTTTTGTTTATTGCCGTCCAGTAACAATGTCACGTGACCCGTGCAAGTCCTCTATATATGATAAAAATATTATAAACTGTGAAAAGACTATTGCAACTAAAAATGGTAAACTGTCAATTCATAAGAAGTGGAAAACTATTACGCGCTCGTTTTTTCCAAATGCAACTGTATTTATGTTATGGACCCTTTGACCCCCGAAAAATTCTTCCCATACTTTACCATTGCAAAGTTTTCAGGGCTATTTTAGGAGTGCTTTTGCGATTTGGCGCCTGTAAAATGGGGTATGTGTTTCAAACCATCATTATGATACATCGCATACAACAATCTGTTTTTTAAACTAACGAATAGAGTTCAAAAACGAGGTAACGTTTACAACCACGCTTGACAATCTGTCTGAGCGGATGCGAAAAGGGGGCATTGTTACGTCACTTTTTGCATCTTGCTGATTGGCCAATGTCACGAAGTAAATAAGGAAGTCGATGCTCGGGGAAAGGTCCATTGTATCTATATAAATGGGTTATGTGATATTGTGATGTTTTTATTAAAAAAAACCATGGACACCAGTCTTCGAGTAAACAAGGCTTTATCGCCACTAGCGTCGCAGATCCGAATTTAATATAAAGTAAAGAATACGAACTCGCTGCATATCAACACGCAATTAATTTGTATTTTCATCAATCAAATCAGATCAAGCGAAACTCCAAACCGGTGAAAAATGATATAATATTAAAAAATGAAAGTTTGTCTGAAACAGAAATATTCGAGAGCGAAAACGACTGAGGATGAAAATGTATTGAAACTGAAAGGCAAATATCCACAAGTTAAATGTCCACCAGCGAAAATGTATATCCAATACTTTTCTTGTAATTTTGAATGCCACCGTTTACTATTGGATTTGAAAAATCTTATATTCATTCTACTTTTACACTTTTTGTCCATCTCGTCTTTGCCCTATTTAAAGGAAATTTTAACCTAATCTTCAAATTCCTTCTGTTGTGTACTAGTACAGTGGTTGGCGCGATCTCCCGATTGATGGCATATCTAGCCAGACTATAGTGCACTTCTCAGTACCATGAAATCTAAGTATTTGATGGACATTGGCCACGATCTAACATCAATGCAATCGGCCATACATCCCCCACGGAGAAAAAGCGATTTCATTATTTCCTGGTGTTTTAGCGGTCAACAGAAGGATAACATACTGTATCTCAATAATTAGAGAAAGATATGTTCAGAAATTCAATCAAATTTTTTAAGAAGTTGAAAAAAATGTTCAAAGCTAATTTATAAATCGGTTACGTTTGACTTCACAATTCCTCTTAAATGAGCAGAAAGAACTTTGATCTGACAAAGCTATATTAGTATTTAATCAACTCTGCCATCATCGTCGGTACAACACTCAATTACATCTGTCACCACATCATTCTCCTGATACATTTTCAGGTTTCGTGTCTTCACTTTTGCCATAAAGAATTTCATCCCAATCAATAACCTCTGGTTCACGAGGGCGATGTATCTTCGGAAAAGTATTGCCTAGTTTCATTCGAAATTCTTCAAAATCTTTGGCACCAATCATTTTCCAAACAACCAGACAGAACAGTGAAAATCCGCCAACACTGTACAAAGTTGCTCTTCCAAGTGCTTTTCGAGCTAATGCTATACCGTTTTCTGTCATAACAGGATCTACTTGTTGCCCTTGTTTCAGTTTCTGATTTTGTCGTTCTGTTCGTGATAGCATTGCCCCAAAACCACCCAAGGCACCCATTGTTGTGATTCCAAGAAAAAATAGCAATCTCGTTTTGAAATTTTTCGAGTCATCTTTATTGGATGGTTGCTCATCATTGGAATCATTCATTATATATTTACAATAATAGTTTTAAAGGCCCCACGATTAGCGAAACTTTGGTCGGTAAAGGACCTTCTACATGTTCAACTAAAAAGAATTGAACAAACGTTAAATGTCAACAGAATTATATACTTTTTACTTCTGTTTCAAATAATTGAAATGACGGACAAAATATACAAGTAACAGTTAAGGATCAGATTTCCAATAATTCAGGGATAAAGTAGAAAATATGTATTCCATCTCAAAATTTCAAGTCAGGTTATTCTCATGCGGCATATTTTTCCAAAAATACTCCCCCAGTTGATAAAGATTCATAAAACAATTGAAAAATAAAAAAAATAACTTCAAGCACCAGACAGGAAAAATACATTGAGTACAATACGATTTTTCTAAATTAAAAAAAAATTAATTCAAAATCATTTGCATGCTGGCAGTTTTAAAATGCCTATGCACAACTAGAGAAACAAAAAAGAGATTGATTGGTGATAGATAGGCAGCATCAACATGCTTTAAACAACATTAAGTACGGATGAGCTAGTAGAAGTGGTTTTTATTGTCCCGAAGTCAATTTCATGAAATCTCTGATAAAGAATAAAGTACAGGAGATGAAATTTTGTAAAGCAGCCGGAATTATAATATGGGACCAATAAATAATAGAATCATATGAACTAGCGAATGATGCCACTCTAAATGTCATTCCACTGACAGATATGCAGAAAATTATGAAATTTTACTATGCCAGACTTATTCTAGAGGATGTTGTTAAATATATATAGAACAAAGGATGGAAAGAGAAAACATTCCAAAGAAAAATACATTTTTAAGCCTGATAAGTCTATTATATTCAACATGTACCCACATTACAAATTGCTAATAAATCAACATAACTATCACCCAACACTCCAGAATGGTTAATTTCTTTGAATCAATTATTACAGAAATTGACCAGATATCAAAAAAAATTTGGCCAATAAAAGTATTGCATATCAAGTAAGACAAGAATTTAGCGAAATATCATCGGGCTGCGACAATTCGGACATGTTGAGTTACTGCTTGTATCAAACCATTTATAAAGACACTCTGCATGATATTTCTTTTTACAAGTTTTACATTTCAACTTGGGTAATGACTGGCTGCTGCCATGCACCAGTGAAAAACAAATCATGCATTCTTCAAGTCCTTCAAATCTCTTGTCAACCTTGTCTTTCCACAATAACAATCCGTCTATAATTCCACCATTTCGATATTGGAGAAAAGTTGTAATCTGCAAGATCCAATATCTCCACTGACCCATAACCACCCCAGCACGTTTTTCAGTGTTCACAGTGATTGGACCAAGTGGATGATTCGCAGATAAGCAAACTACTATTTCCATTTGCACCTCATTTAGTTGATAAGATGCATGGACTTCTCTCACAGTTGGTCTGGCAATGATTTCCATTCCTTCTACATTTTGCTGTTGCTTTGTTAATTGTACTGCTTTAAACTCCTTTGAAATTAAAAATGGACTGACGAATGTTGAAGTGAATTTATCAACTTTAGATCGTGCACCTTTTGCCAAGTTGTTAAACCATGACCTTGATGTTGCAGGCATCTGCATAAGAAAATCTTTGTAAACAGATGCCGCAATATGCTCCACAAGATCCAGACCCATCACACCATTGCATGTAAATTCAGGATCAGTTTTGAAATGAGTGGCCTGACCCACCATAAGTTTAAACAATTTTGGTAACAAGTCGTCAACAAGGTTGCTGTCATTTTCTTTCATTAAATTATCAATATAGATAGTTTTATTTTCTGCATGTATATGTGTTGTCATATTTATTAATAATTTCCAGCTCAGTAAATATGCCAATATTGTAACTATATTCTCTTCAATTAATAAAATATTTTGATTCATATCTTCTGCTTTCTCCTCTTCATCAGTACCACTGCTGTTATCTTCATCGCTGTCAGAATCTGGGGCGGCCTTCATTGTTTCAACTTCTCTTGACATAAAAACAGAAGCAATGTTTTTAGAAGACCTTTTCACTATGTTAAAAATAGCAACTGGAGGATTAACAGTTTCCTTTGTTACAAGCTGGTCCAAAACAATGGATAATAAATGAAAAACAGTCAGTTGAATAATATTAGTGTTAGCATCACCACTGGTTGAAGGGTATAGCCATGGGCAGAGATGATTTAAAAGAGTTTGTACTGCTTCCGGAAGGGCTGAGTCTGGAGAAAGACGAGGTTTTAGATTTGCTGATGATTCAAGAATACTTTTAGCACTGACTTGTTTTAATGAATTACAAATACTAGAAACAATCGATGAGCTTTCAATGTTTTTGGCAGGCAGGTTTAGAAATATTTTTACTAATGATGTATATATTGACATGGAAAAGAACTCAGTCCATTCAGAAACTAAATTCTGTGGGATAGTAGGATCAGCTGTTGCCATTGGTGATGCCATGAATGTTTCAATTTCTTCTTTCAGAGTGCATGTCATAGTTAACATTTTCAATGCAAAAACAGATAACACATTTTCCAAATCTAAATAGTTCGAGACATTGTCTATCCAGGATACCACTGAACAACATATCAAGTCCCACTGACTTTCTGAAAGAGCATCACCAAGGTGCCTTATGGCCAATGTGAAGAGATGAGCAAATTCACAGTTCAGTAATATAACTTCTGGCAATGCCGTCTTTATTGTGTCATCAAAGAGAAATAGTTCTTCTTTGTCACTCCTCCAAGTTATGAGATGATCCAAGTATATTAGGAGGAATTCATTTTTCAAGTCCTTTTCAGAAACTTCACACAACATAGAAATTCCCAAAGAAAAAATGTAGTAGATTTCTGATGGAGAATAATCGCCAAAAGATTCTGAAGCCATTCTGCTGTTCAGTTGTAATAATATTTTAAGAAGCTTGTCTTGGGATAAGTTTGCAATCAAATTGGACATTGTTTCAAACAGAGGTAGACCAATCTCCAATTGTGTATCACAAGTTTTAATCAAGGCATCAATTGGTACTTGGATCTCATTCTCATCAAATTGAGTTTTAATTTTTGAAACACATGATGGCCATACCCCACCTATAGTCATAGCCTTTTCCATCACATTCTTCCTGAATGCCACTCCAAACTTTTCCCCAAGAATATCAAAAAATTCCACTTGTACTGGACCATTTGTGATAGCACATGAAATGACATATTCCTCTGTCAGGTTAGAAAGTCCATGTATTTCTTTCCATGATATATCTGTATTCTTATTTTCACTCAGCACACTATGTACGCGTTTTACAATTTCAACACAAATATTAACAACTGACAAATAATGATCAGAGGTAGTACAATGCGAGGACGAATACCCAAGCTCTGAAGACGATCTTCTTTCCAGATTATAAGAAGAATCATCAGTAATAAAACCTCTTATATTATTCCACTCTTGTGATGTGGGAAATAGATTTTCAAAAAATTCTGATGCCATCACATTCTCCTCTTGATTTGAATTCGTCAAAATAGCATAAAAAATGTGCTCAATTCTTGATGAAGCATCAGTTACACTGGGTGGATTGCTTAAAATGATATGCTTCTTTATCCAACCAAGTTGTGAAGAAATATATTCATTAAAATTCAAAGCATAGCTTCTTACAAATGGCTTCGAAGCTTCCTTAGCAAGAACAGAATATTTTGTAAACAGAGACAGCAAAGAAGGCATCACGTCTTCTGTGGCATAATACGAATGCAATAAAGATGTCAGCAAATCTTCCCATATATTCTCAGTAGTCGCATCTAAATTCTCCCCAAATTCGTGATTGACGCACCGCAGCATTAAAGTAGCAAACTTTTGCAAGAATGAAATATAACATTGAGATGAAGTACAATTATTTTCCAAACGCTTGAGATTCTTCAACATGTTTGAAATTATCTGTTTAAAACCATCTTCACCACAAATGAATCCAGTTTTTTCATCAGATTTGAATGTCACTGTCAAAATATTCTCAAGCAAAAACCAAGCGTCATCAGCCATATTTTTACCAATAGTTTCTTCACAGCTACATTGAGAAATACAATCAATAAGCGACTTCAAAAACAGAAATACATTCGATTCTGTATCAGAAAAGATATTTGTCATCCAGATTGCTATTTTGTGGTTACTGTCAACTACTCCAGTAAGTCTTACTAACAGATGAAGCATAATTAAAAATTTAGGATTTTCAGCTTCGAAAACCATGAGGTTACTCAAATCTATAGGAAAGCTGTGGGAGGGTTCACAATGGATAATTGCATTAAAAAGTAAGTCTGAGACAAGATGAGACATTTTTTCATCGCTTGAGCTGAGAGTTTTAGAGATTCGATCCACATCGCTAAGCAACACATGTTCAATATAATCAATTACTTTTACTTCGGCATCCTTATTTTGCTGGACATGGATTTTCTGATACACCGAAATCAACAAAGATGGACTGCCAAAATGTTTAAAAACCAGGCTATATATGGATAGCATTTCCTCAGAATCTTTAAGAGTCATCAAGAGACCAGATTCAATCAAAATCATGTTGATCTTTTCCCGTATAAGACTTTGCACTTCATATTGTTTGTCCAAGGCTTTTGTTTCAGCCATATTTGTGGTTGATTTTGGGGGAGAATCATGGCTGAATTTAACAGAGCGTCGAATTGTAATGTGCTTTACTTCTGATGAGTGATTCAACAATTTGTCCAAAAACTGTATAAGCATTTTCATGATAGGCAAATTTTCTTCTTTTATATAATCATGTGCTAATGCTGAAATATCCGACCAAAAATTTTGAAATAATTTGGAATACAGTATTGAAACATCAGGATCCAACATTTTGCGAGTCCACATGCCAATGGCCTCAGAAACACGTTGGTAAAGGATACTTGATATTAATTTATTACCTTTCCCAGAAAAGTGATCAATAATAGTTTTCATTACATTTTCTTTAATGATAATGTTTGTCACATTGATAATAGACTCATCATCATTGTGAGTGGTTACGGCTGTCCGACTAACTAATAGTCTGCACAACTCAATTTGAGCTGAGATCGCTTGCTCGGATCCATGCCTGCTGAGACGTATTTTGTCCTGATCAAGGCAAATTTTAATAGATTCAAATATTTTTGAAAATATATGTATGATATCGGCCGAGTTTGGTAACTTGGCTAAAATTGGGAGTAGACTTGGGAGAACAATGGAACTTAATCCATAACACCCAGCCTTGAGAATTGAACATAACCCTGGAATTAATCCTTTATTTATGTCGGCAGCTTCATGCCATTTCTCATACGTTGCAACAATAGCAACTGCAGCAGAATATAGAGGTTTACACACAGTACCATTGCTCTCATTAAGCCTGTGAAAAACAGACTTACATGCATCAGTTAAATGAGTTTCAAGTATACTTGGTGATACCGTGCAAAGATGTTCAATGACAGAGTAAAACCCTGCTCTTACAGAATCACTAGCATGCTTTTGAAATTTCCAGAACTTGCTATCGCCTATTATTTCATCCATTTCTTCTTTGTCTGGCGAGTAGTTGGTAACAGTTTGGATGAATAAGGAAAGCGCCTCCAGTGATGATGCCAATATGCGATTAAAATTATTGCCCTCTTGATCTGTAAGCTTCTCCCTTTTGGCTTGAGGTCCAAATATATATGATGTTATTGTTTTTAAAATATCTTTTCGACAAAAAGCAAAAGCTTCAATTTTTTTATTGTTTGAAAATGCTTTCGAAATTCCTGCATCTGCCGACATTGAAGCTGGAGAATATGGATCACATTGGCTTATGAACCAACATCCCATAATATTTTTCAATTGAAGAGCAAGGTTCTTTCCCGCTGCTTCGGCAATTGCATTCATCGCATTTTGTGCATGTTCCCGTACCCTTCTGTCATTATCCTCAAATAGTTTGTTATAAACTCGAGGCCAATATGGCAATACAGTTAGTACTTCATGTTGTTTACAAGATCGACACAAATCCGCGAATTCCACTAATGCTTTTAGTTTTGTCGTTACGTCTCTTTTATATAATTTTTTTAACACAGTACGAAACTCGACATTTGCAATTGAATCCAATCCAGCAAGTTCAGGGATATTTCCCAATCCACTTGAAGGGGAAGATGGAAATAAACCTTGTCCACTTCCCTTCATTAATAAATCAGCAGATCGAACGCTGCTTGAAGGCAGCACATTACCTTTGGTCCTTTGTTGTTGTCCTTTTTTCTTACCCATATTTATTTTGCAAATAAAATTAACTTTATTTATAATTTAAACAGAATGCTATGATAATCTAGAACAAAAACACAACAGTCAATTAGTTATCACGCATGGAATTGCAATAAATATAACATTGTGTTTTAGAATTTTAAAACATAGTGCACAAAGTATTTCTCTTCTACACATACACTCACAATAATTATCAGAAATAAAAGTCAGTTTCATAGATTCAATTTGAATTTGACAACCAAGTGTATACACACAGTTTTTATAAATTCAGGAGGTTTAGTGCTTTGATAGTTTATCCAATTTTTCCTTATGATTTTTTATTTTCGACTTCAGTCTCTTGATTTCCTGCTCGTGATTTTCAATTTCGTCGTCATGATGTTCTTTCAAAGCTTTGAGCTGCTGTTGTTGCAATTTTCTGAAGTACATGTTTTCCTCAGCCTTCTCTTTATCTGAAAGAACTCCTCCAGCTTTTCGAATTGCTCCATCATCAGACATTGTTCTTATTGTCGGATTTATGGCAGCCACAATTCTTCTTGCAACAACAGCTCGAACAATGCTTGCCATTGTTGTGGGCTTGATATATAACTACAAAGTAAACTAAGTATGTAAAATAAAAATAGGAAACTTGAATGTAATAGTAGACAATTTTATGTTCAATATATTTTAACACTATATAAACATGACCCAGAAAGAGTGATTGATTGCTACGTTTACCAACATGTGGGCAGTGACCTTAAGTTGGGACGCCCTAAAGTCCTTTGGGTTGTTTGTTTTTTTACTAAAAAGATAGAACTTGAGATTATTTTCTAATAAATTTTATTTTGTATCCAACATTTTGAACTGTTCGATTGATATAACAATTGTATTTGTGGAAAGAATAGTTTCACAGTGTACAAGCTTGGCAGTTTCTATAGTGCTATGCTCAAGAAAAGCCTCACCCCTGCATCAAGATTCTATAAACTCACTGATAGCAAACAATTGCAGCTTTCTCACCTAAACAATTTCTGGTGAGATGAACGGTACGTAAAATTGATTAATTTGTATTAGTATTTTAATTTTTCAGCTATAAAAGTAGTACATGCTGTTTAGTATTTGAGCGTATCTTTGGATCAAGAGATTTTACAAAATTTATCCTTTAAAGAACCATGCATCTGATATGTTTACTATATGATTATCACTGTACTACGTACTACCGCACCTTATTTTTGTTACTATATTTAATGTTTCAATGTTTACTCTTTATCGCCACTTTACAGTTTTATAATATGAATTCAACAGAATAAATATGTACTTTCAAGGAAAAATTTTGCACCACGAAGTAACTAGAGACGTCTAGATTTCTACGACCAGTAAGTTCATGTTTTTTGTATAATCTGAAAAGTTCATTTCTGTAAACCTTGAGAACTGACAATCATTGTTTACATTATTGTGTATACCTTATTTATAGTCGATTTTATGACAATCATTCGATAGTTTGTTTTTTATATTTTTAAGCACGAAAAGTCAACATAGGTTTGCACATTATCATCTAGAAATAATTTGTTCGATTGTTTGTTTACATGCCGTCTCACTCATCACACGCTCAGCCGCTAGTCAGTTTACTATTTTGTTTGTGAGTAGGCTAATTGGACTAATTTGATTATGAAGTTCGACGCCTGAATAATGACCGAACGTTTATATTCATGTTTATGTTTGTTGTGATTTGTTTTCATTCTTCTTCCGTGAGTGAACGCGTTTAATATGTTAAAAACTTATTTTTAGGTTTTGTTCACTTTCCAGATTCTTCACCTTTCTCTTTTTTGCGTATTGCTTTATTTTTGGGAATGGATTAAAATAGAATCTATCTATCTCTGTAGACCAGGGGTTCCCAAACCAGGGGTCGCGACCCCAAATTGGGTCGGAGTGATACGGTAAGTAGGTAGGGTCGCGAACAGGTCATGGGGTCGCTGAGGTATGATATAGGATGGATGTAATCATCTAAGATTCGACAAATCATGTTATATTTAGTCATGGGTGTCGCTGCTCGATCACCAGTCTTGGTGTCTCGCGCCTCCCTTCGCCCTAAAGTACCATATTTCCTATTTCTTGTATTGTGTATTCACATTGTGTGCTTTAGAATGGTGAAAAAATAAATTACTGATTACTATTTAGCAGTTTGTAGCATGGCTTACTGTAAAACAGGCCCATAAGCATCGCTCTATGTTTATGCTATAGAAAATGTAAGTGCTTATTGTGACATCACTGTTTGATTTTAGCTTATTTTACCTCATACCACAACATTACCAAACTCAAAAGTCCAGTGAAAGAAGCTCTAAAGTTTCATGAAAAATATCGACCTGGGGTCGCACTGGACACTTGAAAGTTGTCCTTGGGGTCGTCCTGAAAAAAGCTTGGGGGGTTCCCAAGTAGACCCTACCGGTATCTAGAAAACATTAACAACGTTACCGTAATCAGTGAAAGATTTCAGAATCTGTACCGGTACCGGTAGTTATAGATTTTACCGCAATTTTTAATGAAACGTGTTATTAATTTGACATACCGGTACCGGTAGCCTGCAGGCCTATCTCACACCTACCTTACACTTTTTTTTTGCTAAATTAAATTCCAGAGCCAATATGGAATTATTTAATTATATTTTTTTAAAGCCAATTATATTGTCAAATTTTTTTTTACTACCTTACACTTACACAGCAAGTTCTGAAATTACAGAAAACTTCAGATTCAGATAGATTCAGATAATTTATTTCTATCATGCAAGAATTAACACAAAATTTAAAGCACGAAAAATTGACAAACGTGTATAATGACAATCGTAAAAAATTAAATATACACATTAGAATTCATACAAGTGAGAGATTCATAGCAATAGATAAGGAGTCGCGAAAGACTGTGACAGTCATCGAGTCAGCGACACCTATGGGCTGGAGATTTAGAGGGAATGACAAAAAAAAATTATACAAATTTAATCAATCATAATTAACAGAGAAACAAAATCATAAAATACCACCAGAGTAATAATACACGCGACAGCGCCCTCGTGGGGTTCAACTGTGCGTACATGGACCGTAACAAGAAATGAATGAAGCTCGTTGCTTGCAGCGATCAAAAGCTGGTTGTTGTAGCCTACTGAGGCATATTGGATACGAAACGCAAGGACCATTTTATTAGTGGAGTAGGATCACACAAAAAATAACTGTATATGGTAACAGCAAGAATTCAAGTAAATCGGAATTTGTACGGAACAATATCCCATCACAGTACCGGTAACAGGGCAAGGCATCAAGACCGGAAGGGTGCCGTACGTAACGGAGACTATATGAACGTCTATATACTGATATATACAATACGCCAGGAAAGGAAATCATATTATTTGAAAAGCTGACGGATCAAGTATATAGCCGCCTAGGTATACCTTTTTCAATGCTTGTTTGTATGCATCGTAATTCAAGTTTCGAATACTATCAGCCAAAGAGTTCCATAATTTAACACCTAAATATTTTATTGAATTTTGTGTTAGTTTGGTGGTGAAACGATGCACATAGTAAGAACCATGGGTAGAAGACCGTGTACTATGTGAATGAATATTACTTTGCTTATAGAAATAATGAGTAAATGTGACAGGGAGTTTATTGTTATGATGTTGATGCATCAGTTTCAGTACCTCTATTTTATGAATATCTGTCAGTTTTATAATTTGAAGTTCATGGTAGATTGGATTGAGTTGTTCGCGACGTCCACTACCAGAAAGAGCACGGATGGCTCTATTTTGGATAATCTCGATTTGATGTAATAGAGTTCTATTGGCTGAACCCCATGCAATAATGCCATATTGAATGTGGGTTTGGAATAGAGAATGGTAAATCATACGGAGAGTTGTTACAGGTACAAAGTGCCTAAGTTTGTACAGTATTCCAACCGATCTAGATAGTTTAGCAGCCAAGTTCATTATGTGAATATCCCATTTCAATCGGCTATCCAAAAATATGCCCAAATATTTGTAAGAACTTACATTTTCTAATCTAGTGTTGCCAATATCAATCGAAAATTTGGTTTGAGTTTTATGTTTATTTGGTGAAATAAGCATAGTTTTGGATTTGTCGACGTTTATAGATAATTTATTAGCCTTCATCCAATTAGCTACTTTTACTATTTCAGAGTTCACTCTTGAATGAAGAGCAGGGAGAGATTTGTCGCTGTCGAGGAGATTGGTGTCATCCGCGAATAATTTTGAGAAGAATGATGAACAATGGGCGAGATCGTTGATGTAGATCAAAAATAATAAAGGCCTCAAATTAGATCCTTGTGGGACCCCGTGTGTCACAGGTAAGATGCACGAGCAGTAGTTTCCTACTTGAACGTATTGATTTCGATCACTTAAATAACTATGGAGGAGTTTATTAGGTAATCCCCTGACGCCATAATGCCACAACTTGTTCATTAGGATATCATGATTGACAGTGTCAAAAGCCTTCTTCAGATCGACAAAAATTGCACTCACAAAATTCTTTCCTTTCTATTTTGTCATAGATATAAGAAATTGTATCTAAAATTGCGTGTGATGTGGACTGATTGTTTTGGAAGCCAAATTGGTGTTTGTTTATTACATTATGTTTTGTGAAAAAATTGGTCAACCTAATGTGAATTAGACGTTCAAATATTTTATTAATTGAAGAGAGGATAGAAATTGGCCTATAGTTTGAAACAATTTTTTTGTTACCAGATTTGAAGAGCGGTATCACTCGAGCGACTTTGAGTGATGAAGGGAAGATTCCTAATGCGAGGGAGCAGTTGAACAATTTCACGAGAAAAGGCGCGAGCAGTTCAGCAACGAATTTTAGGAAGCGAGGTGGGATGTTATCCGGGCCAACTGCCTTTCTTTCCTTCAAATTCAGAATTTCCATCATTAATTCGGATTCAGTGGCCAAAGTCATGAAAATGGATTTACTAACACGGTTACAAAGAAATGGCCTAAAGTCACACATATCATTGGAAAACTTGGCTGCCAAGCTAGATCCGACCGTAGAGAAATACTTATTGAATTCAGCCGCGATTAAGCAACCGTCTTTCAGTATACTGCCATTTTCAAGACAGATTTCCTGAATTATTTGTTTATTTGAGTTATTTTTTGTGGTTGTAAGTTGGTTTATAATTTGCCATGTATACCTTGGATTGCCCTTGTTCTGAGAGATAAGATTTTGGTAGTGAATTTGCTTCGCTTTTTCTAATGCGGAAGTAAGTATGTTTCGATACTTCTTAAAGTATGACCGTTGCAGAGGGTTGCCACATAAAAAATGGGTTTTAAATAACTTATTTCTATGTCTCGTACAATTGATCAACCCTTTGGTTAGCCATGGCTTTAACCTTAACCGTTTTTGCCGACGTGATAGTGGTCGAAGTGGGGCATGCCGATCGATGGTACTAACGAATGACTGTATGAATTCATCAAATATGCTGTCAAAGTTCTCAGCGTTTAAACTAATTGTGGCAAATCGATTATTTATGCTGTTTTGAACCTCAGATCGAAAGGCATCAATTGAGAACCTTGACATATCCCTTGACAATATACACTCATTCGTTTTAATAGGTTTGATGCCACTTAAACAGCAAAGGATGGGATAGTGATCGGTTACGTCAGAAAGAACAACATAAGAATCTATTTTTAAGTGCGTATTTCCCTCGACTTCCGTCATCAGCATCCAAGTGTATACGGACAACGAAAATTGGGCATATGGTCCGTACAACGTGTATGGCCCTTGCTTCAACAGTGCCTTTCTCACATCGGTATACGATGACTTGATTATATCACCAAGCATGTGAATTAAATCAGGAAGTTTATGTTGTCTCCAATTGGCAACGCATTTCAATACATGGTTTAAGGACTCGTCGTTGTTATTTGTCCACAGGTATCCATTTGTATGTGACTTTTTTTGCCAAATATTATTTTTAAATAACGGAAGAAATCTTGTTTTGAGGTATCCAACAATACCTTTGCACCTGGTTTTACAGTACGATACGACTTCTTCAGTCTTTGAATCAAACTCTTTTTCATTTTGGCAATGAAACAAACCGAAAGCTTCACTAACAATTGATCTCCGGAGGTTTACACTGGTACCGACCTTATCCTTAAGATAATTTATCAAATTTTCCCTCATGTGTCTGCTGCAAAGGACATGAGTTGAATCCGGGAAAGAAGATGTGAAAGCACCGTGTAGGGCCGATTCGTCATCAGTACCAACGGTCAAGTTATCCAACTTTCTACCAAGTTTGGATTTTATGTTGGTAAAAAATTCTGTAAATGTGGATTTGTCAGATTTGTGGTGTAAAAATATAGGACCGAAAAACAATGGGTGTTCACCGGATTTACATGACAGCAAGGAAAGATTTTTGAAAACTGTAACTGTGACGTAGACTCGTCCTAAATTGAAAGTTTTATCAAACCCAAGAATGGTTTTACCTGAGCAACAAAACCGCTTCAGATCCAAGCATTGCTCTTCAAAGAATAAAGTTACATTAACAGATTCCATTTTACTGTGGGTTACTTTTTGTACAAATTCGTTTGTTTGCGCCATGTTAATGACCTCTAATATCTCGTCAGCGTAATTTTTATGATATATTTTTATTCCTGCTCCCTGCTTTTTCTTTTTTTGATTGAACCTCGCATTTTCGATTTGTCTTAGATTTCTGAGGTTTTCCTCCGCATGTTGTTGAAGATTAACATAAAGTTTTTTTGCAGTAACGCATTCACATTTAGATATAATATTTTCCATAAAGTCTGCTGATGTTCTTATGTACGCCTGTTGGTTTATCTTTGCATTTCCATGGGGTGTATGACCAGGAAATATGCCCTTGTATTCCACTACTGCCACATTCATACCAATGTGGCCATCGATCCAAGTGATTCGTCGTTCATAGCCAGTTGGTTGCCGAGCATAATAACGTCCAATTCTTCATATTTCACTCGTTTTGGGTTGTGGCTCAATAACTGGATATGACAGTTTTTTTCCGTGGCGCGATCTTATGCGAAATCTCCCCCCTTTCTCATAAATATATTTAACCTCGTCATTTTGAAGTAAATACAGAGCGGAGGTATAATTGGTTTGTTTCCAGCTTCCGCAATCGTCTTCGAAAATTTGCTTCACTTTTTTCTCTTTTCTGCGTATGTTTTCGTTGTAATCAACTATGAAATAACAGTTGTTTTTCTCCCCCGTTGGTATTCTAGGACTAACTTTCACGGTTTTGTTTTTGAATATTTTCAACAATTCTGAAATACCCAAGAAAATACCAAACGGAAGCTCATGCCAGCCCTCGTCTACAGTGTTTTGGTCAGTCTGCGCATAAATCATACTGGATATCATATTTTCAGATTCTTCAGTGTGGCAATTTGAAATCTCCAGACCTGGTGCCTCCAGATCAATGCAAGTATTCAAGGACAATTTTTGACTTTGTCGAAGGTGTCTCTTTAATAAAGGAACAAAGTGATTGGGTACGAAATCAATAAAATTTGCAGGAACATTTGTTGTAGTCCACATTATGTGAAAATATGGACCCCGTCTCGAAGAAACCTCCCTACCCTGGATACTTATTGAATAAGCGGGAGATCGCATGTCTGTTGGGCCGGTAGAAGGCTGAAAGGAGTTGTATGAAACTTTCAATGCGGCGCTAAGAGCCAATAAGCATTCCATCCCACAATGGCTGCCAATTGTCGCTGCACAATGTAGTACGTTTTTCAGATCCAGAGTAACGATCCTAAAGTCTTTAAGGACTGGATGTAAATTTGTACTCTCGATGTCGTAACACTGGGGATAAGACAGAATTTCAATAATAGTTAAGAAGCGAAGATGAAGGAAATGATCCTGTGTACCAAACAAAGCAAAAGAAACTGCCCGATACAGGCAATTTCCATCACCTATCGTATATATCGGTTCATATTCATCTAAAACCGATGGCGACAATTGTTGTAATAGAGTATTGGACGGTTCATCTAATTCACCCTGAAAATTCCTCGATTCTGGAAACTCAGGAAGCTTTACTTTATGTGCGTCCATCAGCATTTGCTCCTGCTCAGCTATTTCTTTCAGGCATTTATATACATTTTTGGTATCAAAACTCACACGATCAATTTTGTTCATAACTCTTCTCATCGACACCTCGAAATCATAGCCATGGTCAAGAAAAACACAAGATTTACAATAGTAAGATAGATGTTTTTCTCCCCATTGTTGCCGTAATTCGGTTTCTATCCGGGCACAATCGAAATGGCACCAGCGTTCACAACCAGAACATTCAATGCAACCAGTTGAACAATCCAAACCGCAAAACAAGCATTTGTATGATGACTGATACATACCTCGATCCGGCAGAAATGAAAAAAATCGTTGTGCCAGCGTCGACAAATACAACATGGTGCCAACTCGCAATAAAAAGATACCACACTCATGAATTTTCCCAGCATAAACAATAAATGTGTTTTGCTAAATAAATTATAAATTATACGCAGTCCAACAAGCACTTCGAAAATGCTATCTTAATTTTTGATAATTTCCTTGTCTCTTTCTTCTTTACGGTATAGTCATACTATGTGGCAACGTTGGAAAAACTAGCTTGGAAATGTCCTTTGTGACGTCACTAATACGGAATATATATTTACAGGGTGGTCCAAGGTTGTCGCCTCGCGGGCCACAAAATTACTTTTGCATTGTTCGCGGGCCACAATAGTGCCAAGAATAGGTAAACAGTGCAATACAAAACAAACACTTTTATTGTGCAAATACATAGTTATAGACATAGCCATCCCAGGCTAATAGAATCCGCATTCGATTTTTAGTTTTCTATGATGCCTACCGTGTTTCCGCGAAAATAAGACAGTGTCTTATTTCAATTTTCTTTCGAAAAATATCACTAGAGCTTATTTTCGGGGAATGTCTTATAATTTTATTTATCAAAAACAAAATTAGAAAGTACAGAATTAGGAGATTTTCAAATAAAATAAAAATATTGAAACCGATATCCATTTACTTAAATGACACGTTTTCCTCTCCCACACGTTTTAGATTAGGTAATCATTTATAACGTATGGGAGAGATTTCTTGCTATCGACCAGGTAAAAAAAAAATTCGCGTTATTGACTAGGTCTTATTGGGGAGGACTTATATTGAAATCAATCCTAAAATTTGGGCTAGGTCTTATTTTTAGGGTAGGTCTTATTTTCGGCGAAACACGGTATATTGTTAGCATATATTCCCGAACAAAAAGATAGAAAGCCAGATAACGATTTAGACTGCCAAGCACATCATTCAACTTCGCTAGTTGCCTCAGCTAGCCATAACACTAGTCAATTCAGTGACATTATTGATGTAACAATATGTCAAAAGTTTTTTCTATTTAATTTTATTACGAAACAACACGAAATGCGATTTTTTGATTACTCTCCGAATGTGACGCGGGCCACAGATAATAAAGCGGCGGGCCACATGTGGCTTGCGTGCCTGGGTTTGGATCACCTTGATATCTACCTTATAGGTAAGTTTTAAACAAAATATTAACTACTACCATTCAATTTATTTTGACATTCTAGAATAGTTGATTTTAAAAATGTGCAAATTTTAAATCAAAATTAGAACTTGAAAAATTGCATATATAGTCTAGAATTTAGATACAAAGTAACAGTTGATTTGATGTTAATTTCAAAGTCTTTTTTCTTAACCCTACGTCACAATTGATTTTGTGGTGATGATCATCGATATAAATCTATCAATTTTGATCCGATATTCCAGACATAGCTATTTTAGTTGAAACTAATCGGAATCGCAATTTTAGAACATATCCATTTAGGACTATGCCATTTACGTAGGGACATAGCCATTTTAGTAGAGACATAGACATTTTAGTAGGGATATAGCGGACATAGCCATTTTAGTAGGGACATAGCGGACATAGTCATTTTAGTAGGAAAATATCGGAGTCGCAATTTTAGATGGGACATAGCCATTTTAGTAGGAAAATAGCGGACATAGTCATTTTAGTAGGGACATAGCGGACATAGTCATTTCAGTAGGAAAATATCGGAGTCGCAATTTTAGATGGGACATAGCCATTATAGTAGGGACATAGCGGACATAGTCATTTTAGTAGGGACATAGCGGACAAAGTCATTTTAGTAGGAAAATATCGGAGTCGCAATTTTAGATGGGACATAGCCATTTTAGTAGGGACATAGCCATTTTAGTAGGGACATAGTCATTTCAGTAGGAAAATATCGAATTCGCAATTTTAGATGGGACATAGCCATTTTAGTAGGGACATAGCGGACATAGTCATTTTAGTAGGGACATAGCGGACATAGTCATTTTAGTAGGAAAATATCGGAGTCGCAATTTTAGATGGGACATAGCCATTTTAGTAGGGACATAGCGGACATAGCCATTTTAGTAGGGACATAGCGGACATAGTCATTTCAGTAGGAAAATATCGAAGTCGCAATTTTAGATGGGACATAGCCATTTTAGTAGGGACATAGTCATTTTAGTAGGGACATAGCGGACATAGTCATTTTAGTAGGAAAATATCGGAGTCGCAATTTTAGATGAGACATAGCCATTTTAGTAGGGACATAGCGGACATAGCCATTTTAGTAGGAAAATAGCGGACATAGCCATTTTAGTAGGGACATAGCGGACATAGTCATTTTAGTAGGAAAATATCGGAGTCGCAATTTTAGATGGGACATAGCCATTTTAGTAGAAACATAGCGGACATAGTCATTTTAGTAGGGAAATATCGGAGTCGCAATTTTAGATGGGACATAGCCATTTTAGTAGGGACATAGCGGACATAGCCATTTTAGTAGGGATATAGCGGACATAGCCATTTTAGTAGGGACGTAGCGGACATACCAATTTTAGTAGAAACATAGCGGACATAGCCATTTTAGTAGGGACATAGCGGACATAGCCATTTTAGTAGGGATATAGCGGACATAGCCATTTCAGTAGGGACATAGCGGACATAGTCATTTTAGTAGGAAAATATCGGAGACGCAATTTTAGATGGGACATAGCCATTTTAGTAGGGACATAGCGGACATAGCCATTTTAGTAGGGACATAGCGGACATATGGGACATAGCCATTTTATAACTACCCGTACTCAGCCGTACCCAACATTCTGACAGTAAGCTGTAATGTGACCTCTGAGATATTGCGACACTGCTGGCGATGTTTCCCTTCGATCGGATTTTTCAGAGAGGATAACCGAAGGGGCCGTACAGTTATTCTGCAAAGAGACCGGGAAATAATGATCTATTTACAAATTCGGTCAGAAAGTACACATATTATAATAATCATGAGTTTATTTTGATTTTCCTTGACTTGATTTCCTGGAAAAACGTACGAGAAGCATAACGGCATACGAACAGAAATTTCGAGAAAACTGACTTCAACTTCAACGAGGTTTACCAAGGATTTTTTTACCCATCTTCGAGGGAGAGAAATGCCGATAACACGAACCATGGCCTCTCCTCGGTATAAGTAAAAGGATAAGTTTATTTCGACTCCATAATCAGCATAACAATACATTTGACAGATAAAAACAAATAAATAAAATCTGATTATGAAATCAGGGGAGCAAACAAAACCTTAGATAAAGTTTATAACGTACAAAATATAAGATGAAAGGTTTTGCCAAGAGGAAGTGGTACGTGTTTACTCACCTAAAATTATCAAGTTATTTCACACACGCTCACATGCACCCACCAGCCACACACACACACAACCACTGAGAAGTTATTCAAGTAAGAATGAAACGCGATAAATTTAGGGTATACTATACAGTAAACAAAAAAAATAAATAAATAAATACTAGAAAAGAAAATTATCTGCCACACCATATTGATATTTTTGTAATGGTTGCCATTGCCAAATTGATCGATCTTCTAATCGTTGATTAGGTATATAAAAGGAAGATTCTATTAAAAACATATTGCCAAGCTGATTATAGTTGGAGTCAAATGCCAAGTTGCCCAACCAAAGTTGCCAGAATTGGGTGCATGAAGAGGTGGGCGAGACCATTTCATTCCCCAAATTAGAGCCTATTATTGCCAAATTATAGTCCAGATTGTAATAAGTAATTAAGTTACCGGTAACAGTAAAATTACTATAATTAAGTAAAGTAGGATGTGGAAATGAATTGGTTACAAAGGGTGTAAGTGAGGTTTTTCATTCTTGGGTATTGATTTCAGACAAGGATATGGGAATGAGGTTGTTATTTCACAGGATATCGGGAGTCTTTTTTTGTTTTTTTCCTTATGTGTTTTACTTCATCCAATCACTTTGAAGTAACCTGAAAAACAAAAAATAAAACTGCGAGTAGATGTTTCAATGATTGGGTGAAGGGGAACGCTCTGAACTATTTATTACAGGCAAAAAATAATTGTTTAATTAAATGGGATGTATTGTCATTATATAGCGATGGATAGATGATCTATGATGACATTCTGCTTGGGACAGAGAAAAATTTATCACACCATGCAAAAAACACACAAAATTTTACTATCTATACCTTGGCCAACAAGTCAACTCAAACACCATGCCTTAACATAAAACGCATGCATACATAAATGATATAAAAACCACATCCAATTACAATGACCCACAGCAAATTAAAATCTGAAGGGGAGAATCCAACATAGCTCTACTGCTCGCCTAGTTGCAATAATTAGTAACCTTGCAGGAACAATATTGTACTATCTACAACCCTTATACCACCACTCAAACATAAGACCAAGCGTATATGATAGGGACATCACAGCTAGAAAAAGATAAAAACACGAGCGTGAAGTGATAGAATGTGTGCAGTTATTTAAAGAAAATATCACCCGAGTACGTTAGCTACCTATATATTTAAAAATATATATATATACTCATGCATGTCACAATACCATTTCTTTGGTGCTGGACTAGTTCTGGCCAAGTCGTGGCAAGATATTATTATAGTCGTGGCACAATATTATTATAGCTGTTCAACATTTTCATTAAAACAATAATGTGCAAGTGTGGAGTGTCCCAAGTTTTTGTCATCGAATACCACCAGTAGTAATTTTTAATATTTAATATTTGGAAACTAAATGAGACTTGACTTGTTTTTGAAAAGATTTTTTGGACCTTAACGTCTTCAAATTTAAGGGAAGAGAATTCCAAAGTTTGGGTCCAGTAAAAGACAAGGAATGCTGACTCACGGATTTACTCATGAAAGGTACGAATAAATCAGAACTACTTCTTCGGTTGGAGGTATTTTTGACAAGTATGTCATTAAAGCAATTGGGCAGCGCATTATTATGGAAGTCGTGAGCTAGAGATAATCTTTCAAATTTCATCATATCTTCAACCTTAAGTATATTTAGTGATTTGAAGTAAGAGTCTACACTTTCACGTTTTCTTTTACCAAAAACTATTCTTAAAAAATTATTACAAATACTCTGCAGTTTTGAGACAAGTGTTTTATTACCATGAAGCCAGACTGAACTTGTCTTTTTCACATTGCACATAAGGACTGTTCGGACTATAATTACCATTCGTGTTTATAGGTTTCATATTTTTGTGTTGTCGAGTGTCGTCGTGTTTTGGGCAGTGGAGCAACAAAATGACTGAAAAATGGTCAAATGAACTGTGCAAGAACTTGGATAATTGGTGAAGCAGTATGAAAAAGTTTTTTATTGCACTATTGAATCGAGAATTCGATCTTTTCATGTTAAATTTGCTTTGCGAGCAGTACCTACAAATGACCTATTATTTAGGATAAATAAGACATCAAGTCCGAAATGTACATTTTGTGAAAGGAATGTTGAAACCGTGTTACATTTATTTTATTTCTGTGAATTTGTGCAACAATTTTGGGAAATAGTTAATGCATGGCTAACTGTTGAATATGGTTTAAATTTTAATCTGACATATAGAGAAATTTTAATGGGGGTAGAGCAAAACCAAGGTATAAAATGTGTTTTATTGAGTGCAAGATATTATATCTATAAATGTAAACTACGTAATGAAAGGCCTCAATTTTATCAATTTTTATATATGATAAAAAGTATATTTAACTGTGAAAAAATTATTGCAACTAGAAAATGTAAACTGTCGAACCACATTAAGAAGTGGAAAGTTATCATGAACTCATTTTCTTAAAGTGCAATTGTGTTTATGTGTTATATCGTGTGGATAAAAAGTGATGTTTTTATTAAAAAAAAAAAAAAAAAAATGAAAAAAAAAAAAAAAAAAAAAAAAAAAATGACTGAAATGTCAGAGCGGTTACTAAAATTTCAATTGTTTCATCACCATTGTTAGTAATCCCTAACACGCTCTATTCTTTGGCATATGCCCTTCTCTTTTTTATCGCAATGAAAGCGTGGTGTTTTAATACATTTCTATGTGTATTCACGATTTTGCTGCAGTATGCTACTTAGAATGTGGTTTTTTATCAACGTAAATACGAACCCATTTCTGTTTTTATACCGGTAAATATTCCGTTTTGTTCTTCTAGGTGGGGTCGGCCACAGCCTATAAGTTATTATAGTTTGTCAATTTTTACCGGTACCCGTTTACCTTTTGTGGAGTCAACGATAGTTCAACCGCTCTTCATTTTCAGATTCGGTCTCATTTCGCGCTCGTTGTCCTGATTCCGCCAGTCGCCATAATCCGGTTTTGACCCGTATTTTTTGGATATGCGGCTTGTATTTCAGTATATTTGTTTGATTTTATGTGACGTCGTGCCAAAGACTCAAGCGGTTGGAGCATTTTGTCACATTGTTAAGTTACGAATTAGTTTTGTGATCGCTAGAGTAGGTGAGACTGATGCGCATATACCGTACGGTACAATACCGCAACTTTCGTAGGACTGGCAGTTTCTTGGTTCAGAGGTGCCTGTACGGATACGGAGTTATACAGAATAATTTACTACCGGTAGCAGTTAGCCCAGGGCAGCAGGGATGTCTAAAACCAAATATTTCATTACTCGAATACACACTGAAAATATATTTTCAGATTTTAGAATATGAAATATCGAATAGCTTACATTCTAAGATGGTGGCACATTCTTAAATCACCATATCTTCATGTTGATCATATCGAAAACCTGAAAACGACATAGTCCGAATATAATAAAATTTCATTGTTTTCTCTTTGTTGTATCTTACCAGCTGAAATATTGTACTGTTGTATGTTTTGATCTATTTGTCTGAGGGCTTGAAGTCCAATTTTTAAAGAAAAATGTTCAAAATTATTCCTAAATTAAAAAAATTACTATTCTATTTTATTACTATTATATTTTATTCTACTCGTATACTGGTACCGGTATGTAATTTGCGTATTTTCAGTACTTGTGGAAAAATAAATTACTGATTACTATATTGAATATTTTGGGCATCTCTGGTTCAGCCGAAGCGGACCTCTAAGTACAAAATAGCCCATGTCTGCGTGTAAAAAATGTGTTATTGATCTCATACTGTGTACTGTTATATCCGGATCTTGAAATACAATACTTACTGGCCTAACATTGTAACACAAACATGCAACTGAAACTATTAGCTGCCAGAAGTATAACATAATTCATTAATTGGTTGACAGTTCAGCAGTAGTCAATCTCAGAAATGTCTGTGTCATGACCACAGTAGACAGTACCGTACCATCTTATATATATTATTACCACATTTGATGCTTGAATAAAGAAACTGAGAAATGACATGAAATTATTTCTTTTGAGACATATCTGAGTTTTCCCTTTGAAGGTAATATCCATAAAACAACTGCTGAACAGAATAGTTTTAATCCTGAATTTTGTTATGATTGCGAGTCATATGTTTAATTTCCAAAAAAAAATTCTGTACCAGGATGCCAGGACTGTGCCACATGCTACAGTATGTGGCACACTTTACAAATAATGGATGCTCTTGATATATGAAATTTTAATTATAATGATAAATTCAAACACCTATTTTCTGAGATAGTTAGGCCGGGACTGTCCCTCCGCATCAAAAGTGGCAAACCAGAGCTATACAACAAATTAAAAAAAGCTCAATCTAAAAGCGCCACAATTAGAATCCCTAAAGAGCAATCTGATTCACAGAAGAAAAATTCTACTGTGCGATTTGAGAATAGTTAACAAAAAACAATCAGCAAGAATGAATTTTCCTCTTGGCGGCTGATGCATGTCGCAATCGATCTGCATTATTATCACTCCATACATCGCATGATTTTGCCTTTTTTCCAGAACAAATAGAGTGTTCTTAGACTCAGAGAACTGTCGTACTGTTCTGAAACTCTGCAACACTAGGTGTCAATTTTGAAAATTGCTTTATTTTGAACAGTAACTGAGTAATCACAACAACTGAACAAGTTATGGCAATTCTCTTGCGATCAATCAACAAACAGTCTCAGAATTTTTCCAAATTTTTGAGGCTTGATTTCATCAATAATTCGAGGCTCAATCCCAGATGTGTCAATTTCCACACTAGTGACATTGATAAGCAATCTTCATACATCTCTGACAAAGCTTACATTAATGGGAAATGGATATCGACTGATAAGACATTTGAAGTTTACAATCCTTTTAATGAAGAAGTGATCGGTTCATCTGCTGATTGCGATGTTGGTCTTGCGGAAACTGCGATTGAGGCTGCTGATAATGCACTTGGTCCATGGAAGGGTATGACTGCGAAAGAGCGCTCAAACATTATGAAAAAATGGTATGACTTGATCATGAAAGATAAAGATGGTCTGGCTGAGCTGGTTACCCTTGAGAATGGAAAACCTATTCTACAGTCTGCTACGGAAATTCTGTATGCAGCTAGTTTTGTTGAGTGGTATGCAGAGGAGGGGAAGCGAACATATGGAATAACTATGCCAACTGTTCTATCTGGAAAGAAAATGATGACGTTGAAGCAACCTATAGGAGTAGTTTCCATGATCACCCCTTGGAATTTTCCAGCTGCTATGATTACTAGAAAAGCATGCGCTGCTCTTGCTGCTGGTTGTACTGTTATCCTAAAACCCTCAGAAGAAACTCCATTCTCCGCACTGGCTTTTGCAAAGTTAGCTGAAGATGCCGGTCTTCCTCCTGGAGTTTTAAATATTATCCCTTCTTCACGATCTAATGTTGCTAGCGTTGGAGAACTTCTCTGCAGTCATCCATCCATAGCAGCTGTTTCATTTACCGGCTCTACTGCAACAGGGAAAGTTTTGCTGCGTCATGCTGCATCTACAGTCAAGAAGATGTCTCTTGAAAATGGCGGTAATGCCCCTTTTATCGTTTTTGATTCTAGTGATATAAAAAAGGCGGTACAAGGTGCACTAGCATGTAAATTCAGGTATTCTGGCCAGACTTGCATTTGTGCTAATAGGATACTTGTGCAATCTGGAATCCATGATGAATTTGTTGCGCAACTTGCAAAAGCCATCAAAAACGAGTTAATCATAGGTAATGGTATGGATAGCAGAACAACTTTTGGACCTTTGATTAATGCAGCTGCAGTGAACAAGGTCGAAGAGCAAGTTAATGATGCAGTAAAACATGGCGCCAATGTTGTCGTTGGTGGATCAAGAAGCAGCATTGGGAAAAATTTATACGAACCCACTCTCTTGACTGGGGTGACTACAGCTATGCAATGTTGCCAATATGAAACCTTTGGGCCCATCGCACCAATCGTGAAGTTTCACTCAGAGGAGGAAGCTATCGAGATCGCTAATAATACTACTTCTGGATTGGCTGGGTATGTGTACTCTGGTGATGTTGCACAATGTTGGAGAGTGGCGGAAAATCTGGAATACGGAGTTGTTGGAATCAACGAAGGTCTGATAAGTGCTGCTGAGGCTCCATTTGGTGGATACAAGGAGTCTGGTCTTGGACGAGAGGGGTCAATTTACGGTATGGATGAATTCATGGAAGTCAAGTATTTGTGCTGGGGAGTGTAGTAAGTAGACATGTCACCAACCTTAAAAGTCATTCATAATCTCGTTGTAGAAGCTGCAGGAATGATTTGATCTTAATATTTATGCAGATGTAAAATTCTTATTATGCTCAATCTGCTATGATTTATTGTAAATTTTATATGATTAACTTAATGTACCACCAATCTCTGTATATACATCTGCCAAACACATTTCTAATGTTATTCATTGAATTTGATGTTTTCTCCTGTACTCATTTCTATAAGAAGTTTTCACATATACCAGAAATTGGTTTCAATAGATGAAATAACATGAACTTTATGTTCTTGTGTATAACTGTATGTCATAGTTATATTATTTTCATCAATTTCTTTTTTTGCCAAATTTCAGTATGCTGACTTTCAAATGTGTCATTCCTTATAGTGTTTTTATATGTAGTGTTGAGAATAGAGAAAATAGGTTTTGCTTTCTTCATCTCGAATTTCAATTGCATTTATTTGTAATTCATCAGTAATCATCCAATAACAGCAAATAAGTGCTGTTGTTTCGTCGTTATATTCGGTATGTTTTATTTTTATTTCGCTTTTTGGTACTGCATTAGTATACATATTGTTACGTTTAATTATTTTTCAATAACAAATTCAATATTATTGTTTTGCCTTATGCGGATGTTGAACTGTGTATAATTTCTGATTTCACCTTTATAATGTTACATGAATATGCGATTGAAATATTTTGCAAATTTGAATAGTGCAATATTGAGATTTTATATAAAGAGAAGTAGGTATTCCTTAGTCCGTACCCTCCATTTTCCTTGTTTTCAATGGCTCTATTGAATTTGACTTGAAAATATAATTATCTTGAATTTTAATTAGCCTCAGGTTGGTGTTTATTGTATGTAATTATATGCTTTCTATCACTGCTTTGTACAATTTTCATTATCTCATCAATCATGCAATGAGCTTTATTTTAATATTCAGATTTATCACCAATTCCTAGTTTGAGCTTTATTAAAAATCTAAAAATGGCTGAACTCGATATCGTTGTCTATGAGGCAAAATTGTCTGAGCAAATGGAAAGATTTGATGATATGGTGAAATGCATGAAGAAAGTTGCTGAAGTTGGTCGCCCTCTCACTGTTGAAGAAAGAAATCTTCTCTCTGTTGCTTACAAGAATGTTATTGGTGCTAGAAGAGCTTCTTGGAGAATACTTTCCAGCATAGAGTCAAAGTTAAAAGACAGTGAAACTGTCGACAATGAAAAGTTGTCCATTCTGCAAGAATATCGTAGTGTTATAGAAGAGGAATTGAGCAGCACTTGTCGTGAAATAATGGATCTAATTGATGAGCATTTATTTCCGAATTCAGCAGATGACGAGTCTAAAGTATTCTATCTGAAGATGAAAGGAGATTATCAGAGGTATATCGCTGAATATCAATCGGGAGATAACAGAGGGAAAGCTGCAGAAAAAAGCTTGAAGGCATATGACGAAGCTAGAGAATTGGCAAAGAAAAGTTTGCGTTCTACGGATCCTATTCGCTTAGGACTGGCTCTCAACTTCTCTGTTTTCTACTATGAGATCCTAAATCAGCCTACAGAGGCATGCGAACTCGCAAGAACAGCTTTTGATAGTGCGATTGCAGAATTGGACACCTTGAGTGAGGCATCATACAAGGATTCAACACTGATCATGCAGCTACTGAGGGACAACTTGACCCTTTGGACATCGGACATGGCAGGAGATGACGCATGTGATCAAACAGAAGATGTCGTCTTGCAGGACGTGGAATCCAATGATGCCAAAGATTAAGAATTTTTTGAATATGTATAAGCATCTACAGTAACAATTGAATGAATAGTATAAAACTGACTGACTGGATAATTGGAATTTGCAAAATGTAACTTTAGTATGTAATATTGTGACTTGATCAACTTGTTATGTATGGCAACCGTCATTTGCACATCTCAATATCTAAATTAGCACTGAAAATAATTGTTTGGTTTGTAATGAAGTAGCCAGTTAGCAATCCCACAGCTTATAGAAAATAGATAGGCTAATAAAGAAACAATGAAAACATGTTAATAATATAAAGAACTTGACAATATGCTTGGAATATTTAGTTGATGTCTGTATTGCTGAATACTTGGTTTCAATTCAATGCTATTTCATTTTTTTTAATAAATATGTTCAATGTAATTTTTTACATGTAAAATGTCATTTTTAAAACTACGAATGATTCTATTTGGATATTTCGATGTTATATGACACTCTTGAGGACTTTCCAATGTGACATTCACTGACTAATCGTAACATATGTGAGTATACTTTCCAAAAATCGTTGACCAAACTTATCCTTCTCTTTGAGAGATTTTTTCCGCCTAGTGATGAAATTAGTCTTTATATTTTTGTTCAATAAGACTATTGTACTAAACTTCAAAAATTTGTCATACGGTTCCACTATGGTTACTACTGATGTATAGTAAATATTTGAAAAGACTGAATCAGCTAAGTATTAGTTGTGGATGGCCAACATATTTTCTACCGCGATCGACTAAAATATTCAAAATAGCTCGCGATCGACTGATCGGTAATAATGTCACACACAAAAACAAATGCAGATAATTGTACACATGCATACAAAAAATTCCGCTCTCGCCAATAAGTTGCGCACGTACAGTGCTTTATTCATCCCATTTTAAAACACACAATAGGCACTGCATGAAACTGGTACAAGTAAATTCATGTCATCATAAATTTTTTCCATGATTATTACTTGATTCGTAATAAATTTGATATTTCAATTTTAAATGATCTCTGGAAATTATCGCAGTACAGAATATTAGGTAGCTGTTTTATACTTGTAACAATTTTGATGTTTGGTAGATGTTTTTTGAAAGCCCAATACAAAGTAATGGTAGTTTTACATCTGTACCTGACATTATTATTTGATGTATCGTTTTGCTGCTTCAGTTTCGTAGCTTGCTTTTGTGGATTTGCTTATACACAGTGAAAAAAAAGCCAAAAAAAATAATCCCAACTGTAATTTGTTCAGTTTTCTATAAAGGAACGATTACCGTATTTACATCCTAAGAAATGTGATCGCTATTATGTTCATGTATATTGTCAAATTTTTGAAAGGAATTCCAATTTCTTGTGGGAAATTTTGTACTGCAACATTAGTTCATTTTTTATTGAATTTCTTAAATTGCTATCAATTCTTAGAGAAAGTGTTGAAAATGGCATAATACCAAATATCATTGTATCATAATAGGACATTATATGCTTGCTGAATTCTGTTTTTGTTCCTGATTTTATATGTTAATTTGAGTCACGATATGAGATCTTCACTAACTACTATAGTTCTGTAATTTGAAAAGTTCTTTAATTTTTAAATATATTCCACTTTCTAACATAATTGATGTTCATTCCAATTAATGTCAGTACAAGGAAAACAAGTCATTGTATTAAACCACTCCTAATAATGTATGTTAAATTCACAGAAGTATTCGGTGAATGTTGGCGAATATAACTTCTATTTCTTTCAAATCCCTCTGCTAAAATACTCAGTAATGCCACTATAATATCTTTTAATGATTGTCTTGGGGTTTTTTCAATTATGAGAATAGCAATTATATCGACCGATACTACACTCCCGTGGGTCTTGGAATTCAACAATTTTTCCATTGAAATTTTCTCCATCTACAACAGCAGATAGACTACCCTTATTAATGGCTCCTGAGCTCATTTTTGAGTAATAATGCGTCAACATAATTCCGTCTGAACCCCAGGGAATGAAGGCTGTTCATCTTATTGTATTTTTGCAAATCTTAAAAGTTATAAGTGCTCGTGTATAGCCAATGTTGATTGGGTTATGAATTTTATCATTACACTGCAGTTATTAAAAAGATCGATAGTACCTTGTTTTGACAATATGAGCTTTTATTCATGTTAATGTTCTTTATTGTTTGGAGCAGCATCTAACATTTCACCTGACAATTTCATGACTTAATATTATTAATGAACCATGCCTAGTTGATTAAGTATACCCATAATAGAAGAATATTTAAATTTTGGCCAAAAAATGCAAATATAAAGATTTGCATTACTTATTAGAGCAAGAAAAGCATTTTATATCAGAATCTTCAATTGAAATTGTTATAAGTTAGTTGTTATAAAATAGTTAACATTTGGTTATAAGCTCTTTCTTCTAGTTATACAGTTTGAATGTTGAAAATGAAAATTCTATTACGGGTATGCTTCATCTTCCAGTAGTTAGTTAACTTGTAATATTTTGATTGTTTTCAATGTTTTTGTTATTGATGTCAGTAGTGAAATAGAAACTTTACATTACAGATTTCTAGCAGTAATTTATAATTAGTTTATTCTACTTGGATTCTGAGAAAATGTCTGATCATGAGGATGATGGTTTTGATGAAGGATTTGATGATGAAGGAGAAGGGATGGAGGATGTGGAAGATGCTAATGATGATAACCAAGAAGAGGGAGGTGTTGGGATTCTAGATGCCCATGAAGCAGGCCCTATAAGTCCTGCGAATCGTATTACTTCACCTTATATGACGAAATATGAACGTGCCCGTGTGTTGGGAACCAGGGCGCTACAAATATCTATGAACGCTCCTGTGATGGTTGAATTAGAAGGAGAAACTGATCCTTTACAAATCGCAATGAAAGAACTAAAAGCAAAGAAAATTCCTATTATTGTTCGAAGATATTTACCGGATGGTAGTTATGAGGACTGGGGTATTGAAGAGTTGATAATTGAGTAACTTGGACTTTATGAGACCGTATGGATTACTACGTTTGTTTGAGTAAAGCTATAGCTACTATGCATGTTCAAATCGAACTAGGATATTGACGAGTGCAGCTGGCTTCCAAACTGTCATCTACTGGTGTACGACTTGAAATCTATTAAAATAATTATACTATTCCATGGTCTAGTAAAAATCTTGATTTTAAATTGGTTTTTAAACATTATCTAATAGGTCATTGTCGGGGTCAAAAAAATTTCTAACCACAATTGAAAAATGAGCCTTTACTTGAGCTGTATGACACAGAACAATACTCTTATTTCTACTTTGTGTGTTGCCAGACAAAATTAATGTCACAATTATGTGTATTCAAATTTTGTTTGAAATTATGATACTGCATACATTTTTTATTATCTTAAAACTGCCATCATTTTTTAGAATCTATATTGAGTATTCCTAAATGATATTCTATATATTACTGGGTAATTGATTCTTGATATCAAAATGAAAGTTTTGAATGTAGCTGTTATTGGAGCAGGGGCTGCTGGTGAGTTTTCAGATTATTTATGTTTGTGTGTGTTAGTGTGTATCCATTTTCTATATATAAAAAATAAGTTTTATAATACTGAAAGATTAAATATGAAGACTCATATCAGAATAGTTTAGAATTTAAGTCTGTCTTGTGAATAATTTTGTTAGATGAATTTAGATACGGTATATGAATCATTGTGTTCTATGAAAATGGGAATTCACAGAAAATCATCACTTTTTCCTATGAGTAATAATTTTGAATATCATCACACTAATTTCTTCCTAATCAAAATAATTCATGTATCATCTGTTCGAATGGCATTCAAATAAAAAAAATTAGGTAGAAAATATTACACCTGAATGGGATTTCTTGATCAAAGTGCTGGATGGTATATATTTCTATCACCTCTATAAATCTGCAGACACAATAGACATAATGTCACCGAAATTTTGTGACTCATTTCCATACACATGAAAATACTTATCATGAAAATGAGCTGTTTGTGTCCATATGTCATGCAACATTATATGATATCCGTTCAAATTAGGTTGCCGCAATTTTCAATCGTACATATATTATAAATATGATCAATTTGAATAATTTATTGATTGAATCAAAATTTACAGTACAGTCGATATGATGATATAGCAAATAGCAATGTTATTAGATGGAAGACGGTGCTCCAAAAGTGTGTGTACCAATATGGAGGTAACTAATTTTTCCCCTACTTTGCATCAAGTTGTGTTAAGGAACTGACATCTATGGGCAGAGAGTATATTAATTTGACTAACACAGACAGTCCCCGAACTCGTAATAGAACTAAAATAAGGAAATTTGGAATAAAATTATGGCCTAACCTGGTACACACACTACAGGAGTACCGGACGAATTTGGCAATTATTTTCTTCTATGCAAATTGAGCCTATTTTTACTTGATGTAATTTAAATTTTCAAAGGTCTATGTGCAGCACGTCATATAGCTGCTCGACCTGATTTGAAACCTGTTATATACGAACAGTCATCATCTGTTGGTGGTGCATGGTTTTACAGGGAAGAAACAGACAAAGATGAAAATGGACTTAAAATTCATTCAGCAATGTACAAAAATCTTAAGTTAGTATTTCTCTAACTGATATTATTGTCACCAAGCAAAGTCATTACTGGTTCAAATATTTATTTTGTCTGATTTACAGTCATGCTAATGTAGTAATGTTATAGTATTATATGCCTGGTGCGTAATGTGATAATATTGATTCTAACATTCCCAGTAATGTACACACACTATTAGATTTGTTACGGATTAGCAACTCAGCTAATTTGTTAACAATATTTTTTTTTGTCATTAAGCTCACAAATTTGGTTATTCAATTTGAATTTATTGTGCCTGCGTTAACATCTCCAAGCGTCTCGTAAGTCTATTATTATGTGATCTAGCAAATACAAATGAATAATAGTTGTTTTAAATAATAAATTGAAACCATTATCTCATCTAAAACATGCTTATTAAAACTGGAAGAAATAGATCCCTTTCAGACTCTAAAAGCATTCCAAGCTGCCGCGGTCATTGAAAGGATTCATTATTTTTTCTTCTTTTCAGGACAAATCTTCCAAAGCAGGTAATGGAATTCCCAGATTTTCCTTTTGATGAAAAACTTCCATCCTTCTTGTATCATGAACAAGTTCAAAATTATTTAGAAAAATATTGTGACAACTTCAAATTAAGGAAATACATTAAGGTGAGAAATCAAATTGTATATTTTTCGATAACTAGATTAGCAATGTTACCACTGACTACCATGCTGGTGGTCATAATAAGTTCAATGATTTTGATGAATACGCCCTCTGTACTCTGCTTTATTATTAGCGTTTATTTCTCCTATTCGCTGGAATACATACAGGCAGTAGATTATTATATTTGCCTGAAGCTTGGAGTAAGATAGAGTTTAGTTTTTGAATTTCCATTGCGATTGAATTAGATTATTTTTTGTTAATCAGTAATAGACCAAGCAAAGAGTTGTTTGCTTCTTGCCTAATAAGACATGATTTACCATTCATAATATCATGTGCAAGATGCAGTTATAGCTAGTATTTGCATATTATAGCTAGTACCGCTATATCCAAAATTGTCTTAGCTTATGCATTATTCATAACTTATGGTTTGTAAATACTGGTGCTTGAGCAGGGTTCTGCGATTGATGAATTTTCATGTACTTTTGTCTTCGTTGGACATTTTGATTTGGCATATTGTATAGGTGCCCTGTGTTGAAAGTGAATGTTCATTCATATTCTTCGTTAACCAAATTTCCCCAAAGTAATAGTCTTGAGTTTCTCTGTTTCCCATTCCATTTCCCATATTTCATTAAATTGAAAAACTTATCCATCTGGATTAGTTCAGATAGCTGAATATATTGGAAATATCGGTATAATTTTAGCCAATATCAGAAAAATGGCTGATATTGCCGATACCGATACGGCGATACCCGATACCAATATATCAGTACGTCTTTAATTTCTATCAATATGTCTCTGGATATATTGATACTGGAATTCCAAATTAATAGCTTTTAAACAATATATTAATTCACTTTCGTGTGACATAAACTAAGTGTTATTGATCTATTCTATCATCTTAGATTTCTATTTACATTCCTGAAAATAAAATCATAAAACAAATAATGAATTACATGTTGTGGTCTTATTTGAATAATGTATTAAAATAAGGTAATCTTCTGATTTATTCTTTATTTTCTTCAAAGTTTGAAACATTTGTTGAACATGTAAAACCAGTATCGCATTCTGAAGGTGAAAGGAGTTGGGAAGTGACCGTGAAAAATGTGAAAGAAAATACAACATCGAAGTCTGTTTTTGATGCTATTTTTGTCTGCAATGGGTAAGGAATATTGTAATAATTGTTTGTGGGTCGATGATTTCAAATATAGTTTATGGATGTGAGATTTTTGTTTCTGGATTCAACAAGGAAAACATAAACATGGTATAATTAGGTATAGTATGAAAACTCTATCTTATTCATGCAGAGGGGGAGGTTTCTTGTCCATTGGCTAGCCCCAGGTGGAGTTTGGAAGTGGGTAACTTATTGAATGATATAGATGCATGGTGGAGGAAGATTTTACTGGCCTGTGTCTATTTGAGCTAGCTACCCTGCGAATTCGTCTAAGAAATCCTCTCTTAAATACAACCATCATTTGATTCTAATCGATGGACCCATGCAGGGGTAATCATGGTACACAGTATGAAATCCATGATGATGGACAAGATTGGTTTGTCAACATATAACTGTACATACAGTAATTTTTGTTCTGTTTCAGGCATTACGCCTCACCACTCATACCAAACATACCCGGTAAAGAATATTTCAAAGGTGAAATGTCACATAGTCATACCTACAGACACCCAGAAGTATTTTCTGGTAAAAGGATCGTTTTACTAGGAGGAAGAAGTTCGGGACAAGATATTTCACTCGATCTGGCAAAACATGCGTCAGATGTTCATATTACTATTAGTCATCGCACACCTCGCATACAAGGCAAATTGCCTGGATGTATATCACAGGTAATGGCCTACTCGCAATTTTTGTCAAGTATTTTTGTCTTACTTTACCTGCTGTGTAAAATTGGGAGACATCCCTGTCATCTGTCAATTCCTGTTCGAAAAAGTTATGGTTTTTGAATTCACTCGTCCACATGCTGGTCTATTTATGATGTTTAATAGGGCATGATAGAAATAGTCATTTTTATGTCAAATTATTACTAAAAAACCCTCAATCTCTAAGTGATTTAAAAAAATCTGGCTCTGGGTCCTAACTCCACTCGGACAGGACAAAAATTTCCAATCCTGTTGACAACAGGAAATTTGATTAAGACTTGACTTTAGAACCATGACAACCATTTATTAAAAACAAATACTTTGGTGTATGCAAGTTTTATCAAATTGTCTGTTGAGAAATGAGAATTCAACTTACCGTAATACTTTTTTGGAGTTTATGTCGAAAATTAGAATATTGATCACCACAATTAAAAAGACTTCAGCTGACGATTCCAGTATTAATGAAAATTCGTAACTCTTCGACTCAGCAGCACAGAATTCACCACTAGCATGCTGCTTAACTGATTATGTTGGAATTAAGTTTTTGAGTCTAGTCAGCAAATATACAATAATTAAATATTTGTAGTTCTATGTGGGATAATGATAATTTGCGAATTTATTATTGTCTCACATTAAAGTAAGTAGTTATCTAAGGTTGTTAAAACCCAGGAATGGTTCTACATGTTCTACTAATGGTGGAAGACATGTTGGTTTGAAATATCAAATTTGCCCATGGTTTAGCACAGTTAAACAGTGTCACATTACACAGAATCGTTGTTTTACAGGCACAATCAATATCATCTTTCTTACCTGATGGGAAAACTATAGTTTTTGAAGATGGTAGCCAAACTGAAGCAGACTGCCTAATTTTTTGCACAGGATATGGTTATGGATTCCCTTTTTTGGACGAATCTTGTGACATAAGTGTGGATGAAGGAAGAATAAAATACTTGTATAACCACACAATCAATCCTTCCCATCCATCCATGACATTTATTGGCATATGTTCACGGATTTGCCCATTTCCCCAATTTCATTATCAGGTATGCTTTTGCTTTTATTTCTTCTCTGTCGTGGAGAGTTCGAAGTTTTGTTTTGATAATTTTCAATAACCCAGGTGCTATACAGCCTTGCGACTATGGATGGAACAATTGAACTTCCTTCCAAAGATGAAATGTTGAAAGAAATAGAGGAAGATTATCGTAATAGGTTGCAAGAAGGAATGCCACACAGGTATTCATATCAGAAATTTGTGGATTCTTGTATTTTGCGCTACAATAAGTTTTGAATTCAAATAAACCGAAAATATCTATTTTGCAGAATAGTCTCTAATCTATACATTTAAATTTTATTGCAATATAGCACATTAAATTCAAAGTTACTGGAACGTTGGCAAATTTACAAATGAATAGAGTGATTTAGTAAAATGCTATATTTTACAAAATTGTCTTTTTGTTATTCCATCGCCGAACCATTCGTTGCACTAGACCTGACATGGGCAAATTATGGCCCGTGGGCCAAATCCGGATCGTTGAGTAATTCAATCTGGCCCGCCTGATGCTGCAACAACCAAACTAAAACCAAATTTTTATTAAAAGTAGTTTAAGGAATTTGTTGAGATTGCAATTAAATTTAGTTTTGGCACAAGGCTCATTGTTTTTTTTTCACTTTTGCTTTTTTACACTGTAATGTGTTATATTGTTCATTAACTGTAACTTTTTGCGTCACACTTACATGGCCCGGCAGTCTAAGTGGGCCAAATTTTTGGCCCCTGGTTCAGTAATCTGACCTGCTGCACTGCCAAACTTAAAATCCGTATCATTAATTATGTGAAATGAATATTGTTTGTGCAGGGCATCACATGTGCTAGCGGCGAGGCAGTGGGCGTACAATGACAAGCTTGCTGATGAAGCAGATGTTCCCAGATTGAATCAGCGTGTTCAAAAATTGTATGATGACATACACCATACAAGAGTTGCTATGTTGCTTGATTATAAGGAAAATGAAATAGGCCTACTGGAAAACGGATCTTATGATGTTGTCTGCAGGAAATGATGTTTTCTATATGTGTTTACTATATAGTTTAATAATCCTATGGTGTTTTTTTTCTTTTCTAGACGTCAATTGAGCAAATTTTGCCATATATGTTTGTTTATTCACTGCAATATGCAAATTTTATTGACACTTTAAACTGTAATTGCTTACGTTATAAACATTCTCAATGTAGTAGAAAGCTAGGCATTAAATGCATTTTGTGAGTATCCATTATGCTATGTTCGCTCTCGCACCTAAAAATAGTTCGAACGAGGATTCGATGAAGAATAATTGTGCAATATTTTAATTTTCTTACCGCTTGGATATAACATTTGTATCTTATATGAACATGAATACATGCCTTAACTTTGTTTTGTGTGTGCGGTCTTGTTCATCTCAACGCTTTTCAACAAGGTAGGGGGAACAGGCAGAGGACTTTAACCGTGCCGTGAATACTTCTTGGCCTACAAGTTTGAGGTGGCGGTATTTGGGAGGTAAGTGTTTTCAGTACTCTCATCTGACCCGAGTATGAATGGGGCTATCTGTTGCAACTTGCAGTGCGTGCTGAGAGCGCCGGTCACGTAACTGGGTGAATTGGAGGAAATTCGCAGAAGACTTGGCTCAAGTAATTTGTGTTGAGAATTCTTACTATGGTGTTCGAACACATCAAGATTGAAGGAAATCCGCACAGAAGACTTGGCTCAAGCAATTTCTGTTGAGAATTAATACCATTGTGTTCTAACACATCAAGTAAGCTTTTATCGACAGCGTGTTGGATAAAACGTGATCACGAGCAAACGGTGATATTCAATGGGTTACGCGAGCCGTTCTTGGAAAGGCTCGATAGACAACGAACAAAAATGTCGTGTCCCGCTAGTCAAGTGCTTTATACTGTTGGTATTGATTCAATCAAAAATATATATGCACAATACGTAATTTAATAAACATGCTAAAATAACCCAACACATGTATGTAGTTCATCATTGTGGCTGATTGCTTTTACTTTTGACAAAGAACTCCATGTAATTCATCAGTTCCTCTTGTGTTCCACATTCCCTGTTCTTCGCTGGAGGATTCTTTGTTTACTGCGATGGTCATTCGGGTGAAAAATCGAGTGTCCGCTGGATAATTTTGTTCATAATTCAAATACGGAGCTGTGACCCCATTTGACAATTGAACAGCTCCAATCTGAAAATAATAATCGATAAAATTTTTCTTCATCGCATTTCCACAACCCGCAATGTGAACCATTAAATCAAATCCGTAGCAAATCGTAAAATGCGTCCAAAATTGATGTATTAAGAATAATGATATTTTTATACAGTAGCCTACAGTTTAAATACAGTATAATAATAATAGAAATGTTAATAAGGTGGTATTTCCATTTGAATTTTCTCAGCCCGTTAAAAAAGCATAATTCGTTCGGGCAATTGCATAGCGGCTAGGGCCCAGGGGTGGGCAACCCCTGGCACGCGTGTCAAACTTGGCCCGCGAGCTCATTTATTCGGCACGCGAGCGAGGCATCTGAATCGAAATCATTCTTCTTCAGATAAAAAGGTTCCAAGCTTCCGAATTATCTGATGAAACTCGGTGTTCGTTTATTCATTATCGTTTGGTATTAATTCGTTATTTATGCAAACTCTTTTTGTCCTTTCATGACATATGGCTACGAAGAAATATATTATGACTTACAAATCAGTGAGCTCTCGAGAAATTTTGTCGAGAAGAGCATAGCATTTATTTGGCTACATTCTTACTTAACATATATATAACATATATCGTTTGTGCCACCCTTTTTGTTCATTTCTGATTAATTTACGAAGTTGTACATTGATTTCGAAAAAAATATATGCGATTAGGGAAAGGAATACAAGAGAGAAGTGCAGAAAACAAACTATTGGACGAACTATGATTGGGATGCCATTCCAGAAAATTTTTCGTGTCTTGAAAATTTTGCAATTGCATTACTCTCCATGTTTTCATCTACATAATATGCTTGTGAATATCGTTCTCAGTTATGAACTTTATTAAGTCTTGTAATAGTAGTAGCCTGAAAGATGAAACCAGTAGTTCAATCAATCAATCGTCAATCATTTATTGCTGTAGGTTACTCTGACATAAAAAGCAAAACAGCACGAAAAGTAGACGAACAAACAAAATGCAGAGATATTTCTTTGAAAGTTACAAAATATAAGCCCAATGTAAAATCTCCATCAGCGATAATGCAGCTGCAGAAGTCTTACTGATATAGCAGAATGAGAAAAGTAATCAAATAATTTATCTGTCGGACTGATATTTTCCCGAATACTGAATCTGTCTGTGCATATTTCAAAGGTTTAATATTGTGTATTTTTGCGTTGAAAGTAGCATAGCAAAGCATTGTTTTTAATTTTGGTCGGCATGCATAAGAATTTTGTCGTTAAATTTAGCCGAAAAAGGTTGCCCACCCCTGGACTAGGTTGTTATACGGTGTTCCTGTATTATGCGAACCAAGATGGTGGACACCGGAACGCAGTATGTGAACCAGGTTAGGGTTAGGCCCTAATTTCAGGTACAAATACCACGAGAGTCACTTGGCTAGTGTCCGCACCTGTAATAGAACTAAAATAATGAAAAGTGGCCTAACCCTAACACACACTGCGCATACGTACACATAGGCTACTACGTTCCGGTGTCCGCCATCTTGGTCTTGCAGATCAATCTCCTATATCCAGTCGCAGCCGATATAAATAACTATAACTAATGACTCTTATCACAGGAAATGAGACAGATATGCTTGGTGAACATTTTGCCCTCGCCATATGGGAGATAAAGGCTTTTGGTAAGCTGAGTGGAAGCGCTTGACCTCCAGATTCATATGACGGAGACCACTAACAGAATTAATTTCCCCAGATCGGTAAATAACTGCCTGAATATCATCAACAATGTCTCATTCACCACATATTTGTCGTGTTAGTAAGTATAAAAATTCAAATTTGGTTTATTTGTCATCTCGAACATTCTATATTTGAGATCGACCGCATTAGGTTTCTTTTGGCAATTAGAAATACTTCTTTTTTACGATTTAATGAATCCCTATGTTGTGCCCCATTGGTCAGCTCTTTTACACTATATGACTAAGAAATAATTAATAAACATACGTGTGGTGTGATAGTCATCCCGAGCCACAGATACGTTTCTGATGACGAAATAATAGATCGAATGTATTCCATAATCAAATCATAATGTTTGGAATCGAGAATATCGGCTGGCTCTCCGGCTTTGTCCTTGCACAAGGTAACAGCTTCGCTGTAATCGGTATTTTCAATGGCATACACCGTGGCCCAGTAGCATCTTCCGTTGTAATGGAAGCCTCCACAGATCTCTGCAAGGAGTATTGAAATGGATTGAATTATATAGTATAGGATTTACATATTTATTCCGAGGGTGAGGAAAACCGTTAAGACGACCTAATCATATGGAGTACCCCGGCCTCTCGTCCGGTTACCATTTATGACCGGTATGATAATATTAGTTAGCGATCTACCGTGCTTCCCCGAAAATAAGACCTACCCTGATTCTCGTAATTCTCTACTTTGTAATTTTGTTTTTGATAAAAAAAAAATACAACACATCCTTCAAAATAAGTGTTATTTTTCGAAATAAAATTAAAATAAGAAATTTCGGGGAAATACGGTAGCCGTTCCAGATGCATCGTACTTCGATGTGCGCGGAGGCCAAAATTTTTAAATTTAGTGTCAGTATTGTATAGTCATATTACCATGTCGAGGTTCATGACAAAAAGGCGAATGTTCAAACTTTGAAAAAATTTTCCTTGGAGTATTTCAATAAAACGTAGAGAGATGTTTAAAAGTAAAAATGTATTTTTGTGTATTTTCTCAGTTTTGTCACCCTATTGGGTTTAAGGTCTAAATATGATAATAACGAACTCCTGTGTAGCCGCACTTGTTGTACACTTTTACTTATATTTCATCTGCACATAAACTGCGATGAATGAAATGCGTTAAATCGAGTTGATTATGTTTAAAACGTATAAGATTCCAATATTAGTCATTGTTGTGGACAGAGCCGTGTTTTAATGAAGCTACGAGTGGTCGCGCCATTGAAACAGCAACAGGTGATCGAATAAAGACTAAATTATAAAAAGCTGGGAGGCAGAGCCAGGGACGTGTCTAGAGGGGCCATATGGGCAGCCCGCCCGGGGCAGAACGGTCTGGGGGTGAGTTTGTTGCTTGGTTTGATGATTTAAATAATAAGAATACAAATATTTCACTCTTTATTTTGGTATTCTCGTAGTATGTGAACCAATATGGTGGACACCGGAACGTAGTATGTGTACCAGGTTAGAGTTAGATCATAATTTCAGATACAAATACTACGGGAGTCACTTGGCTAGTCCCCAACCTCGTGATAGAACTAAAATAAGGAAAATTGGAATAAAATTATGGCCTAACCCTGACCTGGTACACATACTACGTTTCGGTGTCTGCCGTCCGCCATCTTGTTTCGCATACTACCCTTACAGCCTTAGTTTACCTTTAATTTATTTATTCTCATGTATGACAATACAATAATTGCTCATCCCCCAAAATCATTTTCGAAGTTTGGTATGAGGGACAGCATTATCAGAAACCCGCCCCGGGCAGCAGAAAAGTTTGACACGCCCCTGTTGGCAGGGCTGAGGGAATGGATCAGCTTTTCAAATGGCATGAAAACGGTAATTACTGATGTTTCATTCACCTGATTGTATTTCTTTCTTGACTTGATGAAGTGATACTTTCAAATTGCTTAGTCTTAGTAGAAGCTTTTCTTCCATTTCCTCCATCTTTGCGATTATTGAACTTTCCACTGTTAATAAAACATAGGTGAATGATTAAAAAAACGAGAATGGATATTACATAGCAACGTGTGGTGCTGAGTGTTTATTATATCGTTTTAGACCTTAAACTTCGTTGGCAAACGTTGGGTTAGTTGCTGTTTGTTTGCGACTAACTATATATTCAACTAATCGTTGATATCAATCTCAAAAAGTAAAGGTATAATCGAGAAATGTAACCTGCCCTAGTTAAAAATTCATAAAACTGAATGGTGCCATTGTAAGAATAAGCAAGCAATACAGACTACTAAAAAGTGCTGTCGAGTTTTTTACAATTTCCGGGAACATGCAACTGACTGAGTTTTTCCCCACGGAGTAATCTTTTGCTTTGAGCATTCATTAATTTAAAGAATATGCATCAATGGAGTTTAACATTGTATATATATTTACAATTATCGTAATAACTTACTTGCTTCAACGTGTTCTCTCACTGTAGCATTAACTTTGTCTTGTTCGCAACTTCCTTCACCAAGGATATCAGCGTCATCATCGACAGCCTTGCAAAACATTCCTTTGCTGCCGTTCGCATGAACTAAGGCTACAATCCACAAGTTGACAAATACAACAGATAGGATGAACGAAAAATACTTCATGGCTCAAGCTTTTTTTAAAACTTTTTAAGAAACAGTCTGTGAATACGAAACATAAATAAAGTTTAGTTAAAGTGTTCCGTGATAACCTATTTTATGCTACCGGTATTGCAGAATGAAAAAGTAAAAAACGAGTGCAAGACAGTTCCCGTTGTGTTACACTTTTCCACCTAAACATTAGACTCGTGGAACAACAGTTGATTTATCGCCTTATTATCTTAGAGCTTCATCCCACATAATTTTCTTTTAAAATTTGCGACTTTCGAATTTTGACCTCTTTTTCTATTTACAGAAGTTGCCATCTAAGAGATTTTTACGGTACAGAATTTTAAAACTATCCATGAATACTTGGACCAGGGTTAAAATATTTTTGACGTATTTACGTACCATAAAGCGTACAAAGATCACTAAACAAAAAATCTCAATTACGGTTTTTGCATTTTATTCATAGAAAACGTAAAACGGCGGTTGTTGAAAAAATAGCACCGGTAAAAAACATTCATACATAAGGCGAAATCAATTTTTGGATACTGTTGGTCAACCTATACTTTGGCGTAGCCGTAGTTACCTTTCACGTTTTTGAAGCCTGACTGCATTATTATTGATAAAGTCCAAGCGGTCATTAAGGCATTTCACAATATCATGTGCCGAACATGCAAATGTAGCGTTTCCAAAGTTTTTACCATATCATGCAAATTGCATGATAACTTTGTTTTCATTGTCCCTGAAATATATTTCTTCGATTATAATTCTGCATCTTCTAGTCTCGAGTTATTTTTAAATGGAGATATAGTATTAAAATGTCGCTCCTGTGCAATTTTTTGTGTTTCCAAGTTCGTCATTCTGAAAGTATATACTTAAACCGCGCTTTTGAGACAAAATAAATTGAAATGCTACTGCAATTGCATATAGTAGTTGAGAGTCGTACGGTTTTCAGTCCTGCGTAGTTTCTCATTTTTCATGTTTATTGCCCCAGTTTGGGTAAAGCTTAGAAATAAAATAATATATATACCAATATGATCAAGGGGTTAGTCAAACTTTTCTGCCGCCCGGGGTGAGTTCCTGATGAGAAAGCCCCGTATACTAAACTTGAGGAGATAAACACATTCTAGATTCTGTTATACACGAGAATAAATAAATTGAAGGTCAATTGAGAGTGAAATTTTTGTATTATTTTTTAAATCACCAAACTAAACAACGAACTCATCCCCAAAACATACTGCCCGGGTCGGCTGCCCCTATCGCCCCTATACACACCTTTTGGGTGCTAACGTATTGGACTCTCCCGCCAAGCCATTTAGTGTGGCCCTCGTCAACACTCAGAATTTTATTATCAAACTTGAAATCTTAATACGAAAGTTTATGATTAAGAGGACGCTCATAAATACATAATGTTCATGTTCTTTGTCGCTGCTTTAAATCTTCTGCCGTTTTACCCTATTTGCCTTTCTTATCGTAACACTAAGCGATTGCCCCATTCTACATTTTTGTGTGGCTAAGCTAGATGACTGACGTTGGTTATTTGACCCGCCGACAAAAGTGTAGTACACTCCTGCTCTAGTATATCTAATTATCTCGTGCATTTGGAGCTACTAATTCAGTTAAACATTTAAGCACTTCTATTTCAATAGAATTGAAAGCTGTTTACAGAAAGTCTTGAAATACAAATAAAATGACTCTTGCTAGGATTAAAATAGAAATACATAGGTAACTGCAAAAGCGATATATATGGATTATTAAAAACTACTAGAGACGTTGCGACAGCCTCGGTTTATCGCGGCATCCTGCAACCTAAATTTCCACAGGAAACATTCAAATTGTTTAGAAACTAAATAACGAACAGCGGTACTCGAATCATTTTATATTGCATTAATTTGAACCAATGATACGGAAACATTAACTCGCTTCCGTAGAAAGTACCAATAGCAGACTGTATAGGTCGAAATGGCTTTGCAGTATTTAATATTAAGGTTCTCAAATACTTCCCAGGGCCCAACCAATTTCTTTAAATGTTGCCAAAAATAGAATCAAGTTTCCGCTTTCGTCATTTTGGATGTTGAAATAAGGCTGTGATACTATGACTAGGGCTGGAAAAGTTAACCGGTAAATCGGTTAACTATGACCACCAATCGGACCTGAAGAATAGCGACCTATATATCTGTTTAATTCGATTTTAGTGGCTACGCTCTTGCTTCATTATGGTGTTTTTATTCGTTTTAGCCAGGGTGACCCGTGACCGTACATTTGAACCCATGCATTTGCACTCGTATATCCGCGGTTCAATCTATATGAGGGTGCTAAAATCCATGGGTTCGGGTTAGTATGGGTTCAAATATCCGTAATTTTTTTTTTCATAGATGCAATGGTTTGCAGGTGCAGTTGTCGTGGGTTCAAATGTAATGGAATCTTTATCCAGATTACTCGACTAATATGGGATTCAATAGCGTTTTCCAAGTACATTGCGTACATTGATATGTATTACATGGGTATTGACGAGCTGTCGATGTGTTGTATCACCTCGTTGTTTCATATAATTACGTATCACCAATATTGCGAAATAAATTTAATTTGTTATATATTTAATTCATGCTTTCAATCAATATTTTAAAATAAATACCGTAGGAAGTATTCGAAAATGTAATTTACCAATTCTACAATGATTGGAAATATGATTACTTCATTTAGGTAGATTACGAAACGACGCAAAATAGAATTCACCTTTTGGACTTTGCTCTTTTATTTGGAAGAAGACTTTCACGCACAAGGAAAATGTCGCAAGTATGGATTTTTCGTGATTGATTTTAAATAATAATATGTAAATTGGAAGCTGGTAGAAATCACGGGCGATAAGATTTAAAAAATTTATATTCTTAAAATGACCTATCAACGTAACTTAGCTTGATAGTGGATAAATATATGAATTAAGATTGCGCAAGGTTGCAGTGGACGAATATTGAAATATATATATATATATCCGATCGCAAGATTCAGAAACCGAAAAATCGGCACGCGTGCTTATTCTGTTCTGCTTGCCTCTCCTGATTAATATGACCATCCTTATAAAACGTTATGCATATTTTTTTGTTTAAACCAGAAAAACAGTCAGGAACAGTATAATATTCCACTAAGATATGAACTTGTTGCGACTCTGCAGGTGGCCACGAGACGCGTAAAAAAGCATGGGCCGCGGAGATCTTTTCCAGTATTTTGAGCATGCGCAATAGGATTTTGAGCCTGGTGCCAAGTTACCGACGACTAGGGTTTTGTTTTTTATCAATTCTAAAAAAACATCGTGTTTTAAAACAAGGGCTTGTTTTAAATCGATTTTTTTCTGTATTATTTGCATCGCTGCGAAACTACGCCAAAACGTTGTATTCTGGCTGCCGCACACGCAGCCGGAATTATAATTTTAAAACTGTAATTAAAATTTTTTATTTTGACTTTTACCACTATGGCGTACTTTATACCTCCACCAAAGTCACAAGATGTAACCCGGAATGTTTAGCCGAGATATCAGAGAGACGTTTTGAATAAGAAAAATCATGAAAATTAGCTCACGAGCCTACTACAAAAGCAATTCGATCAAGTGCAGCCCTTCGGCAAAACGAGTGGGTTGTGATAATGAAGAATATGCTTATTGCTTATATCGGCGGTAATCTACTGATATGAACGATGAGACACGCTAACCCAGCCTATGTTAATTGTAAGAGTTCTCTGATGCAAAGACGCCACAACTAATCTGTTATGACGCCATAATATGGATTTCGAGGTCATGTATTCACATTTTTCTCCTAAAATGAAGTCATTGTTACGGTTAATGCTGCTCGGTTAATTTATGCTTGGCATACTTTGTTTTTTAAGGTTGAAGTGAGTTTTTCAAGGTTATACAAACTCTTTAATTCGATCGCATTCCAATTTTCGCAAGGTGGTTTCATCGCAGCAGGGTCGTTCACGTAATGGCTTATCGGTTGCGTCTTACTGCGCCAACCACTGAACTACAGCTTGAAAAGGTGTGCATGAGCCTCTATCGATATTTGTGGCGCTTTGAAGGATTTATTGCAAATAAGAAGCGCTTGGCAAGTTTTTACATCCATTTTTCTTCAACCTATTTAATACAAAAAAATCAAATAGTACAGCCATTTTGAACAAAACAGACAAAAAAAAATTATTTAATTAAAACAATTCTTTTCGAACAATCCCTACCGACGACTTATTTATCATAGGGTTGCCATACGCAATATTTTGCCCTGACATGTCCAGAATTTTAGTGGTCAAATTTACGCCAGGGAAAAATGTTAAAAAGAGTTTGAAGAGATTTTTGAATACAGCGAATCCCTGCTACAAATCATCGAGTTTTTAGATACTGCGCATCCACGAAATCTTATTTTCAGAGATATATCACATTATAGCATTTTTGTGCAACACGGATTGCGTCGTATTCAGATAATTGTGATGTCACATATGACCTGAATTGCAGGTATTTTGTAATCTGTATTTTAGTTGCATTTGCACTACCGGATCTGTACTTTATTCCGTGCTAGGGTTTAGTCCCTAGTGCTAAAGATTAAGCAACAATTTTGATCCTTTCGTTTTGTTCTGTATTTATTCCATTATCACTAGGAAGCGACGACAGCTTGTGTCTTTTGATACATTGCGAATTTATACCAAAATATAAGTGTTTTGGTTGCAAAATCGGTCAATGTGGCTCATCAAAATTTTGTCAGGGATTTTATCTCCCCATTTATGGTAATCCTACTTTATCATTGTAATGTAAATTCATTTCGTTTGAGACGTCGATTAACTACAGAGGGATTAATATGTTTAACCCGATGAAAAAGAAAAAGCTTGATTAAAATTGTGACTCTACTTTACAGTCAAGATTTAAAAAAGAATCACTGTCACAATTATGGACATCTCTTCATAACGAATACCCATCACTAAGTAATCGAGCAATCAAAACTGTTGTCTGTATTTTCAACCAGTTACTTATGCGTTATGCGAAAAAAACATTTTCATCACTAGCT